TTTTTTTTTTTTTAGAAATCGAAATCAGAAAAATTGGGGACGCAAAAACGTTTAAAAAGTTTTCAAGGAGTAATATATAGGATAATTTCATCAATGATAATCGTCAATGAAAATTACATGAATTTCTATATTTGAAAAATTGCATCAATTACAGTTTATTTTTGGGTACACTACTTAAATGTTAAAGACAAAATTGAAAATTTTATGAAAAAAACACGCGTGTCGTTCATCGCATGCGTTTATATCTGAAAAAAATCCAATTTTTCTGATAGTTGTTTTTCATAAGTACTAGTTATTTATTATCATTGTTCACTTGCAAATTAAAAGCTCCAACAACCAGCAGCGACAGACGATCATACGTGGAGATGTTAGCGTGAATGCGTTTCGATACCAATTCAATCAACATTACGAAACTCGTCTTCGGGTACTTCAATCTGTTTTCAAGAATAGCTTTGAAAAGTTTTTGAAAAAAATTACTTTATTCAAAGCAGACTACAATATTAAAACCGTGTATATTGGGGGATTGAAAGATAATCAAAGCCTTCTGTACATTCAATGCGGCCGCCCCATACTTACATAAGAACTTTTCAGCCGTCCGAAAGTCGAATCTCGACTGTAACAATTTTGGGTGGCTCGAAAGTTCTTTATAAGGCGAACGCAATGAATTTACAAAGTACTCAGGATCTCCAATTCCCAATATTGATAGTTAATGAACTGTCGTCAATGAACAAGCTGAGTAGTTACCTTCGCCCTACGAAATGTTGCTTTATCCTGTAATAGTTCCAAGGCAGCTATCATTGTAGGCTGAACGGGCACCTTAAAATGGGAGTTTTAGTAATTTTCATTTATTATGATGTGAAATCAGTTCGCGGTTGTATTTATTATTTTACATAAGGAAATTGGTTGGAAAATATTGGTATGTAGTATTATTATGTCAAGTTATGTTTTGTAAATAATGATTCGATTGTACTACGTCAAGATATTTGGTAGCCCTGAAAAGGGCTGTTAAATTGTGTAAAGTAATAGTTTACTTTTTGGCGGGTTTGGCAGCAGCCTTAGGCTTTTTGGCAGCCGGGGACTTTTTGGGTTTAGCTACTTTAGGTTTGACGGCCTTGGATTTTTTAGGCGAGGCAGTAGCCTTCTTGGGTTTGGGAGTCTTGGGCTTCTTAGCAGCGGTGGCTTTCTTCTCTCCAGCTGGTTTCTTGGCGGCTGGCTTTTTAGCGACAGCTTTTTTGGCAGCTGCTGGTTTTTTAGCGACTGGTTTTTTAGCTGCAGCTGGCTTTTTTACCACCTTCTTCTCAACCTTAGCAAGGTCCGCAAGCTTGAAAGATCCAGCAGCTCCTGATCCCTTGGTCTGGACGAGGACCTTCTTCTCCACAGCAGACTTGAGGTATTTCCTGATGAATGTAGACTGCTTCTCGACATCGACTTTGTAGTTGGCAGCGATGTACTTTTTGATGGCTTGGAGACTGGATCCTTTCTTGTCCTTCAAACTGCGGATGGCTTGGGTGACCATGAGAGATGTTGGGGGATGTTCAGACTTCGCTACAGCTTTTTTGACTCCAGCGGCTTTCTTGACCGCGGCCTTCTTAGGGGCAGCAGTAGCCGCGGCGGCTGGGACAGTGGTGGCTGATTCGCTCATGATGAATGAAGAGGTCGTGTATGGAACAACGTTGGTTCTGTACTGATACCAATGAGCCGTTGCGCCTTGTATTTATAAGTGGAGCGCGGACCTCGTAGAGACTCTGTTAAAAGTGGGGCTGATAGGCACGAAAAATAACATATGCTTACGTTTTTATCTCTTATACCTTTTTAATTATTTCAACAATAAACAATTATTCAATCATGTTTTCAACAACATTTTGAGATGTTAAATACTTTTTCATATCCTAGAACGTTGATTAAAGACGCTGATTTTTCTTCTAAAAACGATACTTTGATGTTACGCGATAAAAATATGCAACTGAATCTGAGATGGTTTGTTTAAACTCTTAAATAGTTGAAATTATAATATCTATGGTTAGTGAGTTGATGAAATCCCACTCATAAAATGCACAAGTTTATGGTAAAGTCATTATTAAACTTGCAATACTTATTTTTAGCAAAGTGATGACGAAAAATCGTATGTCCAAGACGGGATTTGTATTCACATTTTTTTTTATTCTCTTGTTTTCAAGAGAATAAAATTAATTATATCAAACTTATATTGAACCCCAAAATTTTAATATAAATTGCTTTGATTCTCAACTTTCCAATAATTATGATTTAGTAAGGTATGAAACAAAAGCATACATCAATTAATCTCAATAATCAAGTAATTTTACATAAAGCTAGCTATATCTATCTTCGTATCAAAGTGAAACACTGTCATCAATTTTGTAAAGCCATTTATGAAATTAATTGCAAAAGAAAGGGAATGATTGAAAATTTCATCGACGTTTAAGGTCAATAATAATTTCGTAAGTAAATTAATAACAACCAAACTCTCACTAAATATTTCTATAGTGAACCTATGGAGATGTTTCTTCTGTATTACAATCAACATTCAATAAAAGTATTTACTCGGTACTTTTGTAAACATCTATTTGATGCCTCTTACGAAGAGTAGGTCGTTTATATGTTGTCTTTAATGTAAACGACCTATTATTCCTAAGACGTTGTATTGGAAATAATAAAGTGAACTAAAAATCATTTCAAATTACAATTAACCTCTATTGATTGAGATCTCGCAGTTTACAGTAATTTTTTTTCATGTATTGTCAAAATACACAATATCAAGATAGCAGCACATAATTTACATGCGTACATTTATATACTATTATTAATATTATGAATATGTATATTTGCCTGTCAAGGTTAAATTATAAACTGCATTAGTTAGTTATTACATCAGAGCTGAGATCAGTTTGGAAATGCTTCGAAAACGTTCCACAAAAATTTCCTTCCTTCTATATGAACTATAATCCGGGCTTAAAAATCTTATTGAGATACTTTTCAAATATTCCCTACAAAATTTATTTTCTTTCGTAATATTAAAAGAAATAAAAAATATCTTAAGAAATAGAGATATTATTGAGCTATTGTGCCATGTACGATAATCATTTTCAATATTCTTGATTTCTATTAAAGCGAATCCCTGTTATTCGCATCTTCAGCTCTGGTAATTATCCTCATTCACAGATTGTCAAAATAGACAATTTCCTGTTATTTACATTTTACACATGACCATACTCACGGTACCAGTAATTTTCACGTGCATCGCTAATTTTTATGAACATTTATCTCATCTTTCTGTACATGATTGTCGCTCTTTTGAAATAATTTCCGTCCTTATTTTTAGATGTTTTTTTTTTTTTAAATTTGAATAAACACACTTCGTAAGCGTTCTGTCAAAAGATTAGTTGCAGAGCATTTTTGTTGCAAAAAGAATATAAAAATTATTTATTTAGACCTAGAAAAATTTAAAGAGTGCCGCTGAAGAATACTCAATAGATCATTGCATGCCTGGCAAGTTTAATGTTCAATTAATTGAAAGGTTCAAAAAAATCATTTCAGCTATGTTAACTTCTTTAAAACTGATGACTGAACGAGTTATCTCGAAAATAACGTTGAAATAATCAGTCGACATCTAGTAAATAACCGATGTTTTATCATACAAGGCTTTTTCAAATAAAACACTTGGGCTAAATAATCAAATCCATTAAAAAATAATTAGTCAACTTCAATTTTTGAAACAATGGCACTAGTAGAATTGATTTTAGGCAAGAATTATTACAGGTAGATAAATAAAAAAACAAATATAACAAGTTATTGATCAATTCAATCACTGCTACCCGCAAATCATTGATCGGTTACCTTCACTTCCTTTTGCACTTCAAATGCTACAAAATATACTTTAGTCTTTCAAGTTTTTTATTAAATGCCTGTGAGGACATTGATCCTGAATTTAAAAATTAGTACATAACTAGGCTCAAAGACGCTTCAATTTTTTCTGCTAATTAATTTTTTTCAAGTAAATAGTTTGTTTATCACATCAAAGTAAACGAACCCTTCTTACAGTTCAACCCAAGAACATTTTTGAAACGAATCGATATAACGTACGTTATAAATGGGTTATGAATTTCACTTACGCAGGATTAAAAAAAATTACTTGAACTCATTTATTTTTTCAAAAACTCATTATGATCGACGTGAAATGAATGTGAGTCCATTGTCCTTTTTCGAATGATTCATTTTAAGTGCTGCGATATTTCATAACAAAATTTCATAAGTTTGTACGTATCATTTTATGTACATCGTGAACGCCTAAACCCTTCGACTTAGTGCTGAGACTCGACTTAAGTGTACCTTTCAATCACCTTCGTTCGTCGGCTTTTTAAAAGTAACTGATCAAATAAGAGTTGCATTCCGATTCTTGGTGTTCAGAGACGAGGGAAGCAGCCAGCATGAAACTGCGTTGAACTGGCGCTAGTTCTTGATGTGTACAACACAGGAAGATCGACGTTAAAATGATCATTTGTTACGTTGAATTTAATGAGGTTCGAAGTTGTTGGCAATAAAGTGTTGAGATAGAAATAGTTGAAATATAAATTGTAAGTCGTATATTTTGTGCAGTTTGACAAACGTTTTAAAATTTGTTAGTCCTGAAAAGGACTGATTATATAGTTGTGAAGTGGTAGCTTAGGCGCGTTCTCCACGAATGCGACGAGCCAACTGGATGTCCTTGGGCATGATGGTGACACGCTTGGCGTGGATAGCGCACAAGTTGGTATCTTCGAAAAGACCGACCAGATAAGCCTCGCTAGCTTCTTGCAAGGCCATGACAGCAGAGCTCTGGAAACGCAAGTCGGTCTTGAAATCTTGAGCGATTTCACGGACCAAACGCTGGAAGGGCAGTTTGCGGATGAGAAGCTCGGTGCTCTTCTGGTAACGTCTGATTTCACGAAGAGCGACGGTGCCGGGCCTGTAGCGATGTGGCTTCTTGACTCCTCCGGTTGCTGGCGCGCTCTTGCGCGCAGCCTTGGTGGCGAGTTGTTTACGCGGGGCCTTGCCTCCGGTGGACTTGCGGGCGGTTTGCTTGGTACGAGCCATTGTGCAGAAATTGAGCGTACGACTTGGACGAAACTCAAGAAATGATGTGGCTGGCACTTATGCCTCATATTTATAGCTTCAAAAATGAAAGCAGTCGGCGCTCGGCGAGTGGCCATTGGTGGGAAAAATAGTGGAGGGGATGAGACTGTACGCGCTTTTTGCTCAAGAGGGGACGATTGCCGTTGGAATACTATAAAAAGATGGGTGCACACAAAAATTGTATCATTTGAATTGTGTCCGCTATCTCTAACGCACCTTATTCAATCATGACTGGACGTGGTAAGGGAGGCAAAGGATTGGGAAAAGGAGGAGCTAAGCGTCATCGTAAAGTTCTTCGTGATAACATCCAAGGTATTACCAAGCCAGCAATCCGTCGTCTCGCTCGTCGTGGTGGTGTCAAGCGTATCTCAGGCTTGATCTACGAGGAAACTCGTGGTGTTCTCAAGGTATTCCTCGAGAACGTCATTCGTGACGCTGTCACCTACACTGAGCACGCCAAGCGCAAGACCGTCACTGCCATGGATGTAGTCTACGCACTCAAGCGTCAAGGCCGCACTCTATACGGTTTCGGCGGTTAAACTTATTGTGCGTCGTTCTACCATAACTACCAAACAGTCCTTTTCAGGACTATCAATATAGTTCAATGTTGAAACATACTTTTCACAAAACATTAATTTTTAACAATATAAAGAATCGCACGTACAGATACATGTAAAATTCGTATCCTTATAGTAATTACACACGGTATCAACCCTTGGATTGACTGTGCCTACCATATCCTTGCAACTTACGATCATTGGCGAATAGAATTAGAATGAAAATCATGTAATAGTCGTTTGATTCAATATCGTCGGTAACTTCGAATAGTAGCTTCCGATAGTATCTACTGATGTTTCATTTGAAGTTGACTTTTCGATGGGCGACTCAATCAATGCTATGATTGATGATCAATTCAAAACTAGATGAGGGAAAGTAACTAGCTTACATTCGCAATAACCTATTACCGTCTAATATGAGTTGACGAAAATTAAATTAGACCTTAAGATTTGATTATACTGAAACACTCACGAAACATTTAAAGGGCAAACATTTTTCTTTAAAAAATGTGTGCATATTGACGAATAGATGATTGATGTGAAATGACCATTCAATGAATGTGCAAAGAATATACTAAATAGCATTAATCCTGATCGAGAAGATTGGATAGAATTCCGACTTTCCAAAGACAATTGCTCTTACTTTAAGTGAAAAGATGGTTTTATTTTAGCGAAAAATTGACTGTCGTCACATTTATGAATATGATGACGCACAAAAACTAAAAGTATTTTGACTTATTTAGTAGATTCTCACCCGTCGGATAATTTTGAGCTCTACTAGGGTTATGATGTTTTGCATTTATGCGATGATATTATCAGAACATAACACTCATTAAAAATGACAAAAATTAATTTTCAATGCATGATAATAATTTTTTTTATATTTTACAAATTTTAATCATATGACTTAGAAACACTCAAATTTTAATTTTTTTACACATCAACATTCAAATTTTAATTCTATGTAATTTTAAAGATACGTTCTACTAATGTTGAAATTATAATTTTTTAATTAAAAACTATTTTTCTTCGAGCTCAATTTCGATCAACATTTCAATCTTATTTATTGACAACGTAAATGACTAATGGAACCTTTATATTTATTTTCTTATGGTTCTCATAGGACCTTTTAAAGAAACATTCAGTAAAAGTTTCAAAAAACTTGTTTAAAAAGTTGAGTTTTTGGCTGGGGCACGGATCACCTTTAATGAAAAATTGAATGATCCCGCTGAATGAACTTGCATGCAAACAAAACAAAATATACTATAATAAAAACCCTAGATCGCGACATAAAGTTGGTAAGAAAATACGATATCTGATAGCCGAGCTAAGGCAGGAATCAGAATACTATCGTCGTCACATGACAGCGACGGGCCTTCTGCTGTGAACCAAGCCACCGACTTGGTACTGAAAGCTTTTAATATCGTTTACAGATCACTGTGCCTGTGATCGATTTCCGTCATCCTGACGAAAAACCACTTTAGTAGTTGCTCCAATTGTTCATACGAGGTGTGGATTAACATTTGGTCGTACCTTTTCCCGAAGCATAGTTACTATCAGTAGAAATACGCACAAAAGTCGACGATGAAGCTGCAAAACGTACTTGGCTACACCTTTACAGGCCTTGCCTCGGCGGCTGTTTTAGTCTCAGGTATGTATTTAGTTACTATCGCGAGTAAATTATTGTTCATTTTAGTTTTTATAACAAAAGTCAAAACTCTCTCATAAATACAAATTATTAGCAAGAATATTAAAAAATGAGTTAATAGCCGAAATTTCATGCTCTAATTACATGAATATCCAGTGATAACTGATAGCTTAATTACTGTCTTATGATTACAGTTCTATTTCATGTGTTTACTGGACGTGGTGAACGAGTCAGCATTGGATGGTAAGCCAACTTAATTGTTCAAATACATATTACTTGATATTTGTGCTTATAAATTAATAATTATCCATGTTGATGCAGGTTTTTGGAAAATACATCTCCTTATATGTGGGCTTGTGTGGGAATAGGTCTCACTGTTGCCCTTTCTGTTGTTGGTGCTGCTTTGTAAGTTCATTTAATATTAATTAATTTTTCATACTAATACAATATATTCTTATATAAAAAAATATATTTTTAAATTGATGAATTAATGTTGTTTAGGGGTATTCATACAACTGGAGTATCAATTATTGGAGGAGGAGTAAAAGCTCCTAGAATCAAAACTAAAAATTTGATATCAGTCATTTTCTGTGAAGCTGTTGCCATTTATGGTCTCATTACAGCTATTGTTCTATCTGGCATGCTTGAAGAATTTAAAGAAGAAGATATTATCAATAGTTATGAACTAAAATCTCAAAATTATATGGCTGGACATGTCATGTTTGGTGCTGGAATTGCAGTAGGGTTTGTAAATTTGTTCTGTGGTATTGCTGTAGGAATTGTTGGTTCTGGCGCAGCACTTGCTGATGCTGCTAACGCAGCTCTTTTTGTAAAGATACTCATTGTAGAGATTTTTGGCTCTGCTATTGGACTTTTTGGGCTGATCGTAGGTGTTTACATGGTAAGGCAGACAATCTTTTCATTCATCATGCTTTAATTTATACTTTTCCAATTATCTAACGATTACTTTTCTTACAGACTTCGAAAGCCAAAATGGGAGTGGACGTCAAGTAAATAAATTTCATGATAATTTCGTTAGAAGTATTGTCACACATCTTTAAAAATAATTGTTAATGTTCTTTAAAAAAACAAAACGTTTTTCATTACCCTTGTATCTTTTAAAATTACATCATAATTTTATTAGGAAAAGCTAGGTCTCAACCCATAAAGAAATAATACTAAAATTTGTTTTTGAAAACGTGACATTGTTGAGTGAATGATCTTGAGTGCAAAACATATAAGTAAAAATGTGTAAAAACTATATTTGGTTTTCTCAAATTTAACATAATGAATTATTTTGAGATAAATTATCAACCATGAAACAAAGCAGTGATCTTATTGTACCATCATTGCAAATAATCATTAATGTAAATATTGTTTATGAATATATGTTGTTCCAAAAATTTTATCGAGCATTAATTTTTTCTCCAGATTAACGCATTGAAATGACTTAAAAAATAGTTGCTAAAATACACACAAAGTATTGTACACTTAAAATTGATTCATATCAATAAAATGATTGAGCTTTGTCTTATAAAATTTAACATGAGTGTATTAAAAATCATTTTTAATTTTATTTTATAAAATAAACATACAATATATAAAAAATATCTATTATAAATGTAAATATGTAAGCATGGTAATATGCAGAGGCACTTAATAATTGTAGACAAAGTATTAATTGATTTCAAATTGATAGAAATACAAGCCTTTACCAGTGAATTGCAATTGTAATTTGTAAATAATTACAATTATAATTTGATTGTAGAATACATTATAACAAACAAATAAAAAAATGTAAAAACTTTCATTTACTTAGCAAAACTTTATGAATGTCTTTAAAAGATGCTTCTAAACTATTGATATATTCACTTGCACTTTTTTTGTTACGATAACTAGTGACAACAACTCCAAGTTTCTTATCTTGTATCATATATCCTATGCCAAATCCATCTTCCACTACTGGACCAAATCCACCAGCTATAACTACAGGACTAGAAAGAGTAGATGTAGATAAGATATTGTGATTTATAGTCTCATAAGCAGAGTCCTGGAATAAGTCAACTTTCATTCCAGATTTTTCTGCAATTTTTCTCAAAGCAAAGAGATGCCTGTCAAATCCTTGCCCTAAAATTAAAATTAGTCAAAACTATTTCTTTCAAATATTATTAAAAAACTTTAAGAACCTACCCATTGCAGCTTGTTTCATTAAATTAGTGTGAGCATTACTGCAGTCAACAATCATTTTTTTAATCTGTTGAATAGATACATTAGAAGCATTCCTTGTCATAGTAGAACATAAATTTTTAGTCTGTAATGTTAAAGGTCTAAGAGTTTCAGTTCTTCCATGTTTAAATGCAGCTGTACTGCATGACTCATAAGTTGCTACGAATTTAGTTTCTTGTTTATATAAAGCCAATTGAAAAACTAATTGCATCACAGCATCTGGACTTACTCCAAAACCTTTGCACTCTTTTTTTCCAAAACCTTCGTATATGAGAAAACCAACATCTAAATTCTTGGTCCATGTATCATACTTTGTTATTTCTTGTGAAACAGATTCCTTTATTTTATTGTCCACTTTAAAATCAAGTTTTTCAACTTTTGCAGATTCAGTTCTCAACGTTCTTTCACAGTCTGGATCAAAAGAAGGATTTGTAGATATATCTTTCTTGATATCTTGAAAATATCTCAGAACAGCAACTCCATCACCCCAAGAATGCTCAAAATTCAAACCAGCGTGACCATCTTTGCTAACAATCAATGAAAACGATTTATCAAACCACCTATTATCTCCTCCTCCATGTAAAAATCTTCTGAGTAACTTATTTTCATCAGAACCAATTGGTTCATCATCTAAAATAATCATAAAACAGGCTGAGTCTATTTTTTTTAATACTTCATTGTTCCCAATTTTTACAAGGTGAGATCTGATGTTAGCCCAATTGTTTCTTTCTGAAGCTGTTAAAATACCAATTGGCACATCAATAGGTTTGCTTTGATCATTTAGTATATAATTTAAATTTTCAGCAACTTCCTGCGCAGAAACAATATGTCCTTGTCCATTTAAAACATCGAATGCATAAAACCTTCCTCCACGCATAACAACAACATGCTTAGCTGATTCATCCATGAAAATTCTATCTTTATCTGTTTCGGGAATCCTTGTTGAATTAAATAAATTACCATATTGTGACATATCCAAGGGGTAAGCCTGTGTATAACATATAACATATTGATAATTATAATTATGCCTGAAGATGACTATTGTAAGATTAAGAAATTAATTTTACATACGTTCATTAGGTAAGCTCCATACCATGACAAAGAAGATGGTAAAAGACGAGTGAAAGTACGAAATAATTTGGTATCAGATTTTTTTGGATTTAAATGAAATACTTCTGGTTCTAGAATATTTGCTCGAAGGGATTTTAAAAATTTCATGGATGATATAATAAGATTTGTTGCTTTAGTTAATTGACCATTATATTTTTCATTTTCTTCAGGACTGAACACCAAAAAAGGATTGTAATTTATAGGCAATGGTCTACGATCACGCAGGTACATATCAAACCATGGCTCACTGATGTAACTTGTATGTTTATTCATAGAATCTAATTTAACCAATTCTGCATGTAACTGAGCTCCATCTTTTTTTAAAAAATCATTGACTATGGCTTCTGTCTTTTTCATTTGTTCATCATTTAATAAAGGTTTTTGAGCATTTAAGTAACGCCTGCATGTATCTTCAAGATTAGGTATAGGTAATCTTGGAAGAGATGGCTGAAAATGCATTGTTGGTACTCTACTTTGTTGAATATAATCATTATTAGATGAAAATTTTCTTCTGCAATGAGAAAATTAATTTTTAATTTTTATATTGTTACAAAATTTAATACAGAATCAAAACCATTACTTTGAGAAGTAAAATTCAGAAATGACAGGATAACTAACTACCTGTAAATAATAATTTTTTGATAAAGTTTATGAAAAAAATTAAATAATAAAATATTACTTCAAAATTAATTTGAAATTTTTTTAATTCTAAAAAAAGCTGTTTTTTCTTTAGATGAAAAACAATGACATATACAAGTTTTTATTAAAAAGTAATACTTTACACATTACTTTAATAATTTAATGAGTTACCAGATAAAAAATAAACTCTTACTCCTCTATTTAAATGAATAATTTGCTTGGCTACTAGCAATGACATGGTAATTCTCTTTTCACTGAATTAGATCACTCAAAAAAAAAATGATTACTCAACAATCATCTGGCTGCGATGAGTGTTTTTTTCGTTTTTATTTCAGAAGTGAGTCTTCGCTATGAAATAAATTACTGCTCACATACTGTAATTGGTGAGCATTTAAATATCTCTTTCTGGCATATGTATCAATACGCCTGAAATTGTAAATCACCAGTCACCACGCAAAAAATATCAGAAGCACTTTATTCCACTTGTCAAAGAGGGCGCTGGTTCATTTCTCGGTAAAATAAAAATCAAAGTTTTGGTGATTTAATATACAATAAATAAATAAATCGAAATAAATCCTTTAAAATAATTGTTTTTATTATTGCACGTAAGAGAATCAAGTTTTGATGATACAAAAAATAACTCTGTTATAAAAATTCTAGATACAACCCCTAAACAATAATTTAAAGTTTGACGAACAATTCAATAATAAACAGAACCGCCCAACTCAAATGAAAAAGTTGACACTTGTTGGGACGAATACTCAGCTATTATATCGTGAAATCTTCACATTAAAATAGATTAAATTTGCAACTCAGAAAACGTAATTCAATTTTCATAATACAGCCAAATTCTTATCGACATTAAAAATCTTTACATTGCAAACAATTTTGCACGGTATATGTCATATGACGCATGACTCGAACCTTATCTATTTTTAGAACCAGCAGGTGAACAAGTTGGATGGCATATCATATTAAGATACTTAAGAAGGCGAGCATTTAATCGAAGAACTAAATACGAACTTTGTTGATTATATGAAAAGATATTTGATGGACGATATTGATTTCAATTCACTTGCAAGCAACTTATCGAGTTGAAACAAAGATAATAATTCATGTAATTTTAATTAACCATAAAACAAGGAAGGTCGATAAATAAATTATATACGCTAAAGTTCTTTAAATGTATGATACGTGGAATATTTTTCGATATCAAAAACGATGCCCCTTACTAAACAAAGGCAATTTTGACAGATCAGAGTAAGCTTGGGGGGGCAGGACGTGTTTCACGTAGGTTCGAGTCTGAAAATTCTCCGAAGTTCTTGTCTACGACCACGACTCCCAACGTCGGCGCGTGAAACGATCAGCCAACAGCTGATCGTGAAATGGAAGGTAAGGTCAGCGAACGTTGAATGTATAGAACAGTAGTGTACTTATCAGGCTCAAATCATTACAATAACAGAGCCACTCACATTGTTTTGGATGACCTTTGACAGTTCTGTGCTATAATCAGTGTGAACATCTCGAGAAGCTCTCGATCATTGCGTAGGTACCTACTTGCAGTCTCAGTGCTAATGAATAAAAGTTAGTGCACTCTCTCTTTTGACTTATAAGCTGTTTTTTTTATATTTAGAAGTGCTCTACATATCAGCCATAGAATATCTTCTCAACGAACCAACAGATGTTTCACGTGAGAAATGTCACATATTGATATACAGGAATTATTTGACGAAAGCAGGTAAATTAATTATCTAAACTAATGGTTGCGTCGCGTATGTAAACATTTACCTGCAAATGATGATCTTGTACTTATTTCTCCTAAGTTCAGCGCCATATTTACTGATTGCTCCTTTTTTGTCAAAACGCCGCAATAACTATGTCTTTTTTTCCACTGCATACGCATTTTTTTACACGTGATGCAACCACTACGATTTTTTTGCCTATAAACGTCAGAGTCATATTTGAAGTACTAATGTCATGCTTTATTTCAGATTTCCAAGTGGATGGAAACTCTTATTAGTCTTGCTGTATGCACCTATAGGTGTTGCATTATTACTATCTAGGTTGCTTATTTGTTTTTTAATTTGGTTACTGGCAACACTTTTACCTGATTTTCAAGTGCTACGCACTTTTCTTAACCGTGCAATCTTCTTTGCTCTTGGGATTATTATCAAAATTTGTCCTAATGGAGAAAAAAGAGATGAACAGACTAGAATCGTGGTGGCCAACAGTATCTCAGCGATTGATGATTTTGTTCTCACAACTGTTTCAAATACGGTGATGCCTACTACAACAAATTTGCCAGAATCTTTAAAATCTGCTTTAGGATTACGCAAGATGGATATGAGTAATAAAGACAGTTTAATAGCAGATATTAAACAATTTTTGCCCACGTCAAAGAATGGTGTTGCTCTGCAACCTGAATTTAGTACAACCAATAGTCGTAAAGCCTTACTGAAATTCAACACATGGCCTTTCAGTATAGAACCAGCTGTTCAACCTGTTGTTTTGACTGCGAGTAGACCAGAACTTATCAATATACGACTTACCTCAGTTGCATCTACATGGTGGACAGACATAATGTGGTTTATGTTTGTTCCTTACACTATTTTTACTGTGAAATTTCTTCATGTAAAAAGAAATACAGAAGCTGATATTCTTGTTCGAGAAGTTGAAAAAGATATTGCTAGAGTCCTAAAAATTGAAACTAGTTCACACACAGTTTCGGATAAAACAGAGTTTGAAAAACGTTATATTTTAGAAAAAATTCATAATCGTGGTCCCCAAAATACAACTGGAAATGGTTCACCAATTGTTGCTAGTGCAGAAATGCAGAGAATGGCAAGACAAGTGAGTGAAGTTCTACCACTGGTTCCTCAAAATGTCATTCTTCGAGATTTATGTGAGTAGAAGAGTTTTTGATTTTCATGGAATAATTTTAAAAAACACCAATAAACGATATTAATATTATGATATTACTTTAGTGAAAACTAGAAATGTTGATATAACAATTGCAAATTTTTTGGATGGCGTTGTTACTTATACACCAGAACCTACTGCATCAACTTCAACGCCAGGAAGTTCAAGGGCTTCAATAAATTCAACGAGTAAAGGCTCTGTGTCGCTGAAAAAATCCAAAAATGATGTTTATTTAACTTTTGCAGAAAGAAAACAAAAAATGATTGTTGAAGCTAGAGAAAGGTACATGTTAAAACATGGTTTAAAAAACTGTTGACAATGCTGATGCAATTTATGTTAAAACCAAGTATAAATAAGAAATGTACAAATAACAAGCAGTTTTTATTCTGAAACTTATTTTAATATTTATTACGTAACAGAATGTATACAGTAAATTGATACAATTTATTAATTTATTTATGTTACTTTAACGTTGCACAACTAACCCACTTGAAAAAGATTGCAATATTCTTTTATTTGCTCCCTTTCTGTTGGCTAGTATGTTTTGGAAGACTATTTGTGGAAGACCATCCAAGAAATTTATTTCTTAGCAATTTATTGTTCATTCAAAATGAACTTTCTACTAGATCTTTATTACAATTTAGAATAAAACATCTAACAATTTAGGCATACAATTACCCCATACTTTATAATACTAGAAAATGTTGAACACAATAACAACTGAATTAAAATCAGAGTCTCAAATATATCTTTACCATTTTTTCAGTAACATAATTTTCAAAAAGCTTTTTCAATAAATGTATCGATTGACTAAATTTTAAAAATATCACATTTTTCATTGCTCATTTTTTAAAAGCATTATTACACTGTGAAAATGGAGGTATAATTGTATGGAGAATAGATAATTAATATAACCAACTGAAAAACACTACTTTTTGACTATGAAGCTATTAAAATAGTTTTTATTTGCATTCATTCAAATTGTGCTGAAACATTGCAATATTAGTTTTTTTTCAATTTAATCTGTTTGTAATCTGTTTGAAGATAAAATTTATACATCTGATCTGCATTGCATGTAATAGATGTTGAGTCATTTTAACACTGACAATCATTGCTAGACTAACCATATATTGAACTTGAACAGTTTTGATAAACTGCACATCCATTATGTTGTAAGATAATTACATATATTTATTAATTACTTGATAAAATAGGTTTTCAATATTTATATATTTAACAAAAGTCTTTTTTTTTATGAATTCAAATTTAATGTGTATAATTGTAAACCTCTGAATTGTTAATTCTTGTACAGTAAAAAACATAATTGTTAAATTTTCTCTTTTTAAAATTGATTTTAAATTAAAATAAATATATAAGAGCTTTTTAGAAAATAAAAGCCTAAATATTAAAAAGCATTTACTCTTTTTGCATATTTATTACAATAATAAAAAAATTACTCTGCCAAAAAAATGTACATTGAGTATTAAATACTTTATCACATGCATATTTTTAATTATAGTTATTAATCTAAATAATTTTCATGGTAAAAGATAAACTTTACATTCATAAAGTTTTGTAGTAATAGTAACAATAGTTGAAGTAAACTCACATCTTTACAAAATAATCGTGAGGGATAAATGAGAGCATAGAATAAAATTGGACTTATAAAAAATAATATCCATTAAATATTTTCATAATTTTGCTTAATTGGAATAGCATACATTTTTAGGACAATATTTTCCTTAAAAATGAGCTTTTTACTACATCTAATTGATCTAAAATATATTTAAATGTTTTCAATTCATTCTTTTTATATATTGCATAAAGCTTTTCATATACATTTAATGGTGTACATTACCAATGCAGAGATATTTAATATCTACATACTCATCGATACCATGGCTTGAACCTTCCCTACCAATTCCAGATTCTTTAACACCACCAAAAGCTGCTTCAGCACAAGAAATTAAACCTTCATTAACACCAATCATTCCTACTTCTAAATTTCTTGCTACTCTAAATATCTGAGAAATATCTCTTGAAAAGAAATATCCAGCCAACCCAACTGGTGTCTCATTAGCTCTTTGAATGACATCTTCTTCATCATCAAATTTATGTATCACAGCAACAGGTCCAAATATTTCTTTAGCATAAATTTCCATACTCTTAGTAACATCAGTTATAACTGTAGGTGCATAAAATAATGGTCCTAATTCTGTTAGAGGTTTACCTCCACAATGAACAGTAGCACCTTTTGCTTTGGCATCATTGACTAAATCACTTACAATTTTGAGTTGACTTGATTTGATCAACGGTCCATGAGTATTACCCTTCTTACTTCCATCACCCATTTTAATTTCACTTTCTATTTTAGTCATAAATTTGCAAACAAATTCATCATATATCTTAGAATGTATAAAGAATCTATTAGCTGAAATGCAAGTTTGTCCTGAATTCCTGAATTTACTAGCTATTGCTCCAGAAACTGCCAAATTAACGTCAGCAGATTCAAAAACAATATAAGGTGCATTGCCTCCTAATTCAAGACTTAAGCGTTTCATAGTATCAGCACATTGCTTATATAAAGTCTTTCCTACTGCTGTTGAACCAGTGAATGATAAGGCTCTAACTTTTGGATTACTGCAAAGCTCTTGTCCAACTGCAACAGAATTCTCTGTGCTTGTTGTAAGAACATTAATTACACCTGCTGGGAATCCAGCTTCTTCTGCTAAGCTCGCTAGAGCCAAAGCAGAAAGTGGAGTATCTTCAGAAGGTTTAATCACACAAGTACAGCCTGCTGCCAAAGCTGCACCAGCTTTTCTTGTTATCATAGCATGAGGAAAATTCCATGGAGTTATAAAAGCACTTACACCAACTGGTTGTTTAATTAAAAGTAATTCTCGATTTTTTACAGGAGACTGCAAAACTTCACCATTGATTCTTCTAGCTTCTTCAGCAAACCATTCTACAAATGAATTACCATATCTAATTTCAGCTCTTGACTCGTCCAAAGATTTTCCATTTTCTTTGGTCATTATTTCTGCAAGCTCTTCGGAATGTTTGACCATCAAATTATACCAAGATCTTAGTAAATCACTGCGTTCTTTAGCAGTTGTTTTGCGAAATGTCTGAAAAGCTTTATGGGCAGCATTTATTGCTTTTTTAGTATCTGCTGCATCCATGTCAGGAACATTTTCAATGATTGAACAATCAACAGGATTCATAACTGGAAAAGTTTTGCCACTTGCAGCTCCAACCCATTTCCCATCAACAAAAGCACATTTTCTTTTGGTACTCATTGATCTTAGAATTAATTCTGACGATTTAAAAAAAGTTGCTTGAAGTAAATTAATCCTTGACAGCATTCTCTCCTTGTGAGGTGGTATCTTAAAATATATTTACTTTTTATTTAAAATTCGAGAGAATTGAACGTGATTTAATATATACAACTTCAATTCATTACATATAAGCCTTTGACTACCTTGATATTAAATATCATAATATGTATCACGTATGAATTGTCAACTTAAATCAAAATGACTGCACAATGTCATATCAATAAAAGTAATGTAATGATTCTTACCTCTCAGAAACTGGAGTTTTAAACTTTTTCTACAGACGAGAAAAAGAAATGAATTTTTATTCAATCTTGATTTCAAATTTATCAGTTTGAATCAATATCTTCTTATCTATAAATGTTTGCTATTAACGTGTAATCTTATTTAATTTGCTGAACCAAACAGGCAAACATCAAAACACAGCTTCAGTTATATCGTCTGCTACAGGCACTGGTTTATTTGACTTGGCTAAGCTGGCTTGTCAAAGCTCCAATTTTCTCATATACATCTATATCGTGTCACTAGTACAGTAAAAGCCTGCGCTTGGGCAGCACTTGATACACGCCGGTGCAATATTTTTCAAGTAAAGTAAAACCGCTCGCTTAGTGCAAACGTTAAAAGTTGACATTTTTAAATCATAGATAGAAAAAATAAAAATGAGTGGAAATGCAAAAAGAACTGTATACGTAGGTTAGTACGGCTCAGCTTATTTACTTTTTGTGCAATCAAACATTGTTGTTTCGAAATGAAATACCAGATTTATTTTAACTTTTAATCATATTAATCAATAACAATTCTATTATTTTTATTTACAAACGATCTTTTAGTAAATCATTATTTGTGCTCAGGTTTTTGATCGCTAGATATTTACTAGCGATGTATCAGGTTAAAGAATAAATAATTACTCGCGATTAAAATAAATTTTTGTGATATAAGATAAATAATATGCCTAACCTTTGTAATGATTTATAGACATCATTTTTTTACTTGTATGTCATTAGACACTTGGAAGTAAACATTCTCTTAATAACGAAATTATTAATTTAATAGGTGGATTGGCAGAAGAAGTGGATGAAAAAATTTTAAATGCAGCTTTCATACCATTTGGAGAAATTATAGATGTACAGATTCCATTGGATTATGAGTCAGAGAAACATAGAGGTTTTGCTTTTATTGAATTTGAATCTGCGGAAGATGCAGCAGCTGCTATTGATAATATGGTAACACAAAGTAAAAATTATAATTTATAATGCCATAACAATGTATTGAAATGAAATTCTTTTTTACTTTATTAAATGTAACGATTCTTATAACACAGAATGATTCAGAACTATTTGGCCGCACTATTCGAGTAAATATTGCCAAGCCTCAAAAGATAAAAGAAGGTTCTTCTAAACCTGTTTGGTCTGATGATGTTTGGTTACAAGAACATGCTGGCGAAACATTAAATTTAGAAAATGACAATGCTGAAAAAACAGGTAATAAACAGGTTACGGAAGAAAAAACTGCCAAAGGAAAAACAAACCCTCAAGTTTACTTCGATATAAGCGTTGGTAAACAAGAACTAGGCAGAATTGTTATGATGCTAAGGGCAGATATTGTTCCAAAAACTGCTGAAAACTTTAGGTGTTTATGTACGCATGAAAAGGGCTATGGCTTCCAAGGAAGTTCTTTTCACAGGATTATTCCAGACTTTGTATCCTTTTACATAAGATTTTGAATCTACTTATTTTCTTGATATATTTTTGTTATTTCCTTACAAATAATTGCCAGATGTGTCAAGGAGGAGATTTTACAAATCACAATGGAACAGGTGGTAAATCAATTTATGGACGTAAATTCAATGATGAAAACTTTGAACTCAAGCATACCGGACCAGGAATCTTGTCAATGGCCAATTCTGGTCCTAATTCTAATGGTTCCCAATTTTTTTTGTGCACAGCACGGACAGAATGGCTTGATGGAAAACATGTAGTTTTTGGACATGTTTTAAGTGGTCTTGATGTTGTTAAAAAAATTGAAAAATATGGTACAAAAGGAGGTGCACCTACTCAAAAAGTTGTGATATCTTCTTGTGGAGAACTTGCTTAAGAATTGAAAAAGTTATATCAAAGTAATGATAAACAAAATTATTTTTATAAAACACTTTAAAAAATTTCACCTATTTACAAATATCCCACATTTTCCCAGAAATATTTCTTATAAATCTAACAACATATTTAATGAAAATTTTGTTTAGACCGACAAGCAAAAATAACTTAAAAAAGATCCTCCCTTTAACTGTATGCTATTCATATTGAAATTAGAGTCTTGATTTCATTCCACCAGCAGCAACAATTGTTTCACCAGTAATATATGAAGCATCATCACTTGCTAAAAATGCTGCAACAGATGCAATTTCTTCTGCTTCTCCCAATCTTTCCATAGGGACCATAGAAACAGTTGTTTCATATGCTGCCTCCGATTTATACAACTGAAAACGTTTTATTAATATACATGGATTTTTGTTTTAATAATGCTTAAAATAAAACTTACAGGTTCTGAAAATTTAGTTTTTATTACACCTGGTGCTATGCAGTTGACTCTGATACCTTCGCTTGCAAGCTCTCCAGCCACAGTTTTGCATAAAGATATTAAGGTAGTTTTACTAATGGAATAGACTCCAAGTATCTGTGTCAGAGGATTTTTCTGTTATAATTATGAAATATTTTCCTTTTCTTAAATTTTACCTCTAATGGTTGGTATCCAGCAATTGATGACATTATCACAATATTTGAAGACTTTCGTTGCCTCAGAAAAGGCAGTGCCTCTTTCATAAGTAAATAGGTACTCTTGACATTGATATCAAAAACTTTATCCCATACTGGTTCTGCGGTTTCTAGCACAGGTCCTACGGACGGGTTAACGGCTGCATTTGGTATTAAGATGTCCAAGCCTCCATATTTTGATACTGCCTAAGAAAGTTAAGATTTTTAAACATTTTAAAAATAGCTGATTTCTTTGCCCTTTTTTTTAATTACCTCCTTTAAAAGCTTAATTCTATCTTCAGCTTTTGCAACATGACAAACGATACCAGTAACATCTAAACCTTCTTGTTTTAATTGCTCGACTGCAACTTTTACATTTGCTTCTCTTCTACTGCTAATGACTATTTTAGCCCCTTCTTGTGCCAAACGACGAGCAACAGCAAAACCAATTCTAAAAAATGTTCATCATTAAAAAAATTTTGCTTTAGAAAACAAAATCTTTCTTTCAGTTACCCTTGTGTTGAGGCTGTAACAACTGCGACTTTCCCTTCTAGTCTACGGCATTTGGGAATGACTTTTACGGAGCTCGAAAACGTTCTTGCAACTTGATCCATTGCGACTCGTAACATATTAGCATAAATAATGACGACTCACTTGTTGCAAATTACAGTATTCATTATCATACGGTTTTAAAAAGATACGATAATAACGTAAGCTGCAACTACTAGCGCTACTCTCGGACTTATCGGTATGCAACTTGGCGCGCAAATATGATATCTATAAAATCTATAAATGTACTTGCATCAGTAAATCAGTGGTAATCGTAAAAGTAAACAAATATTGCTTAAAAGAATAATATTTGAAATATATATTTTCAATATGTACAAAATTTTCATAGCTTATGCTTATCAGTAAGTATCTATTGATTATCAGTTGATGATAAAATCAATGTCTCTTAAATTCATATTATTATTTTTTCTTTTTCATTAAAAAATTAATATTTACAACACATGAACATTACTTTGCTTAATACTTTAAAAATAAATTCATTCTGAAACAGTTTCTTATGTATGAGATTGCTTATTTAGCCATAAAATGATTAGACCCTGTTGATCACCAGATGCTAGAAGAGTTTCGTCATAATTGAAACATAATGACAGAGCTGGTGCTGAATGACCTAATAATCTGTTCACTTGAGCAGACTTTGCATCTTTCCCGGTATGTAACAGATGTATGGAACCATCATCTGATCCTGTTGCTATCAATGAAGTACTCATTGGAGGGCAAAATGTTGAATGAACCAAGTATTGCCTAAAATAAATATGAGTTATTGAACAATTTATTATAAAGAAAGGTTATTTTTAGATAAAATGTAACCTGTGTTTAATAGGATATTTTTTCCAAATTGAAAGAGTTCCTTGATCATCATTAACTCTGTACAGTAATACTGCATTACATGCACTACTCACTAATACAACTGGCCAAGGAAAATCTAGTGATAATCTAGGACGCCAGGATAAACTAGTTATCATCCCTCCAGTAGCTTCCATTCGTTTCAATTTTGTTAAATTTCCCACATTAGCTTCTAGACGAAATGAAAACATAATACCTCTATCATTTCCAGCCCATACTAAAGTTCCTCCACTTTCTTCACAAACTAGACAGGAAATCTAAATTTAAGTAGAAAACATTATATTATTTTACTTGGATAACTAATTACTGATAAATGAATAAAATTCACCTTTCCTCCAACTTTAACTGTGCCTCCACGTGAATACTTTCCAGTAGAGACATTTAAAATTTGTAACATTCCTTGAGCATTACCAACCAAAACTAAATTATTATTTGTGGGAGCAAAGGCACAGCATAAAGTTTCAGCTTTCATCTGATCATATACAACTCTCAAACAATCTGCTTTGAAATCTGAGTGGATTCTCCATAATCTAACTGTTGCATCCAACGAAGTAGAAACTAAAAGATCATTACTGATACTCCAGTCAATTGCTGTTACTCCTTTTTGATGCCCTTGTAACAAAGCAATAATTCTTGGTGGTATACACGCAGCTTCGCAAATTGAAATTGTTCCATCAAACGAAGCGCAACAGAATCTTGATTTGTCATTATTTGCAAATTTGATAGCAGAAATTGCAGCAGTATGTTGATCGAACACGTGATGCACACCAGTAAAACTTTCAACAGCAGGTTTTGTAGCAACGACTCTTGTTTTACCGTTAATATCAAAGCTTTTTTCAGATGGTAGGCTAGAGGTATCAGCACAAGTGCCATATCTACGTCGTAGTAATTCGGACCGTAGTTTTAAATATCGCGATTGCAAGTCGAAATCTTTGCACGGTAATTTTTCTTGTAAAAGTTGGCTTCGTCTTCGAATGTATAACGTCCCTGTTGAATAATAATTCTTGTTAACATTTTATTTCTTAGAGTGAGAATTTAGACTCAAATTTTAACTTTGGTACCTAAATTAGAATTGATAACAGCTCTCTGAGAATTGTATTTTGCATCAAGAGCAAAGACCTGTTGATGCCACACAACTGGCATGCTAATTTTACTAGGTGTAGTCGAATTGGATCTCATCTTGATCAGATAATAACTCTAATTAACTGTTTTGAAAATTGAATCGTTCTGTGAGAAAATTTCATCACTTTCAAAAACGAGCATCCTCATTTTTTACTTTTCTCTCAACTTTAAACTTGAAATTCTTCAATTGCCCGATGTCATTTAACATCGCAGTTAATTGAAGGACAAGAATAAGAGAAGACATGTAACTACAAAACAGATGTGATGAAGGAGTACACAAACGAACTTACAACATGTGTATGTACATGAACTGTCACCTTCGGTTTTCAGACGACGGTCGGCTCGGCCACTCGAGCTTACACTAGTTACCCGTCAAGCAGACGAGGGCGCCACTAGTAATATCATATGAAATAATATACTTTAAAGCTTTTTTCCTTCAACAATTCGACGTCATTTTTGGAGATGAACATTCACTTTTTAACGAAATCATTAATTTAGTAGATGCATAAATAGAAGAAGAGGATGAAAAAAATTTTAAATAGAGCTTTCATACTGTTTGGAGATAATTTCATTGAATTCTCCATTCGCACTCGTTACATACGGTATTCATAATTTTAGATACATTAAATACTAAACATTTTAGATTGTTAAAATTACATTACATACTAAAAATAGAAAACTTTATCTTATTACGCTTGTCGTCAGTTTTAGCTATCCTTAAAAAAATAAGCAGCTAAATGTTCGGATCAATTACCTGTAGACACGATCGCGGATTAGGAGGCTATAATAAATTTTGAAACATCAATTGTTTCACAGTGTGTAACGGTCAAACATTAAAACATAATTAATTGATAAAAAGTTCTTGAAGCCAACAATAAAACATGTGGATATCGCAGAAAGCATACCATCACATTTTTCATGAATAAGAGATGAGATTTTTATGTCAAGTTTATCAATGTTTAATTTTTCACACAATATTTTTACTTTGGATAACGCAGCTATGTTCGAATTGTTCAAACTAATAAATCAAGATTTTAACCACCTTTTCGATAAATAACTTAACATTCAAACCCCAATGTTTTGCAGTAAATGAAAACACTTTTATATCTGTGGTGGAAAGACATAACGACTTAAGTCCATTTTTTTGAAAATCGATTTTATGATGAAAAACGTGTATATTTAGTGTCTATTTTAATGTACAAGGGTCAGAATAGACGAATATAGCGTCTAGCGTTAGTTGCAGCATCGTGCATAACGACTTAAGTCCATTTCGCGAAGACTGGGGAAAGGCAAAACGACTTAAGTCCACCCTTGCGAGTTTCAAAATGCTATAGAGAGTCTAATTTTATTTGAAAATGAAAGAAAATGATATTAGAATGTTAAACATAGCTCCACACTCTTCGAATGTTGTGAATTACACTATATGATTGTTACATTTGATACGCGAGGGGCAATTTTCTCGATTTTCAGTTTGGCCTTTTTTCGTTGCAAGATTTGAGATCTGACGGCAGTATAACGTTAAATGAGCTATCTTATCAATGTAAAATCATTAAATGAGGTTGTGCGAACAAACTGCGCGAAATTATCGATATTGAAAAAAGTGTGACCGCCAAAAGTGGACTTAAGTGCAAACCGTGGAAAGGCAAAACGACTTAAGTCCATATTTTTTGCTCCCTATCATCGCTATGATGCGCCTTTCAATTTCATAAGTACATAGTTCAAAAGCTACCTCATAGTAGCTTAAAACATCATAGGTTCAGACCTCAACTCGTCCGCGTCTATTTAGGCTGGCACAATCAACTTAAAACGCGTTTTTCTCGAAATTACGAAAAATGGACTTAAGTCGTTATGCCTTTCCACCACAGATATAATTATTAATCTTGATGTCACATTTAACATTTAAAACTCGAAGATAATACAAAACCTGCAAAAATAGTATTGCAATACTAAGTTTTGAAAAACCCATCAGAATAACTTCCAGTAATCACGAGTTCGTTTATCAAAAATTTAAGTTATCTGAAAGAAATTACGTGGTCGAGTTTAGTGCTGCAACTCGATCCGAAAACATAATATAGCGTTTAAGATTAATAATGTCTCGCCCATACGAGTTAAAAAAAATCTGTTTTATCTGTAAAATTAGTCAGGATGTTCAACGAAGCAACATAAGCTGTCATAAGTCAATTAATTATGAGTAATTTTAAACATTATAAATATATTAGCTTATTGTCTGTATAGATAGATTGCATGAAAAAGTTTGAGTTATTAAAAAAAAAATATGTAGCGCTACAGTATTAATTTCGAACTAAATAGAAAAATAAAATGTTGATTAATTTGATAGGAATAACTTCTTATCTTTAATTTAAGTTTAAAGAAGAAATTTGATGACTCAGATCTAATCAAGTGTCCAATTGAGTTACAATGGACCAATTACTAAAAAACTACAGTGTTGATTGCAACTTATACAAGTTTATGCATCAATAACAAAACATATAAAATGTCCCTTACGAGTTACGTTACGTATAATCCTCAATAAGACGATTTGATCATTTGAAAAAAACTGTATGAAATACAATTTTCTTAATTTGAAATTGTATAATACAATAAAATAAACGTAAGAGAATTTAATATTCATATGCAGCTTCCAGAAATACTATTCCTGAGTGATTTTTACAAGGCGATCGTCTTTTTCCATCTTACTATACATTAAACGCCACTGCTAATCGTATCATTTTTTAACGTCTCCACATACTCCGGCTACAAGATTCTGAGTCATTCACGAGATCCTATAGAGCGACAGATATGCTTATACGTCATTGGCACTTTCAGGCGATGAATGAAATCAATGCCGGTAATTCATTTAATTTTGCAATCGTTCGTACGGGTATGAACTTTGTTATTTGGAAATAGCGGGCCAAACCAGAGTAATCCAGAGAGCATTATTTGCACTATAAATAAGTTAAAAAAGATAATTAGCAGTGATGAACTCAATAGTGCAAATTCGACAACGGGAAAATGCATTGATTTACGATCTTTCTTTTGTTTTTGAATCGGCAACTCAGGCAATAGTCACTAACAGGAATGCGAGATCACGGACACAGGAATCACTAAAGGCAATTTTTTTCTTTTTTTTAAATCAGTATGAGTAAGATATGTCGGAAAAGCAAGAATCATCTCTGACGTACTCATTGAAAACTGAATATTTTGCCGATCGCTCCGCTGCGTAAAACTTTTGGGTTGAAATATTGAAAATCGTGACATCGCGCGAGGGCCAAATTTCAAGTTTTCCTCGCGTTAGAAACTCATTTATTTTAACAGCTACGCAGATAATATTATAAGATATAATGGCAGAAGATGTATCCAAAAATGAAAGCAACCAAACCCCCCGGCTCGGGAACAGTCGACCTCCCTGAAAGAAGAGCCGACCGATTCGGAACGCGCGAGTGAAGCGATGACAATGACGTTAGCGGGTATTCCGGTGCTGTTAACCTCCAGTGCCGCATTGTGCAGTGAGAATAAAACTGGAGTCTCCTCATGTATAAGCAAATGAGTCTCGTGCACCTAAATGCTACAAGGTGTTGCGTGGCGTTGATACAGAATCAGCGCGTTGGCTAATGTGCGGTCTGCAACAGCTCGAGTCCTCCTCTTCGACCAATATACCTATTACTACATACGATATTGTATTGTATACATGTTTGCCTATATGGGATAGGAGTTCATACACGCAGGCACATTATACGCGTGATACCGACGCGTCGTCGTCCCTCTCTTTCTGGCGCACTTTGAGCGTGTTTCTCTCTGTCTCGCGAACTGCGAAGGCTTTGTCACGCTCTCTCAGGCGCGATTATATATAGAGAGAGCCGAGAGAGGCAGTGACTGGCCGCTGTGTGCGCGCGCGCCGTTCCAGTCAGCACTCATAGCCAGCCACAGCCAGTGCCTGCCTCTACATATATTATATGTGCTCTGTACACCAGCGATATTATACATATACACATATTACTACTACCACTACTAGTAGGCCATCGTCAGTGCGGCAACTGAGGAGAGTCTCGTTTTCCAGGGTGTGTGCGTTGCTGTCCGTGCTGTGCAGCTCGCGATATTGTCGTTCACTGGCGTGTCTACACGGCTGATCTCTCTTTCTGACTTTCTTGTGACCGCTGCATCGTGTGCAGCGAATCCAGTGAGAAAAGCCCAGTGCGTTTGCCGTAGTTACTTAACAGTTACACAGAAGTCGGATCTCGCCGAGAGGACCCGCTTCCATCGTAAACGACCAAAATGCAGGCGATCAAATGCGTTGTTGTGGGTGACGGGTGAGTTGAAGAAGAAACGATCCAACCGAACAATCTTTCCTCTCATAACTGCATGATAATCGAGCCTCTTACCAACGCACTGCACGCATATAGCAAATGAATCGAGTGACTTGGCTTCTTACATGTTATTTATCGCATACGCTGCTGCCGCTGATATCATTTCGTCGCGAGCCGAGTCTCCCGTCGTCGCTTGCCCACAATAACATACACACAGTACGCACGCATGCATGCACCTAGTGTACGATTCTAACGATATGCACGCAATCTGGATAAGGTAATTTTCCGGTCGTTTGGAAAATTGCGCTGCCACCAGTTCTTGTGCCCTAACACGTTGAATCGCACGCATAATTATTCATGCTCTGTGCTATACGTATGCTCTACTATTACTTATATGCTCCTTTCGAGGAGGATGAGCCTCTCCGCGCAATCATGGGCACGTCCGGGAGAGCTTTGTACTGTCTTCTTGTGCATACATATACTAATAAATACGCGAGATAAGACTACCCTATTATATCTGTCTTTCTCTTTCTTTCTAGCGCCCGCGCGCGTTAATTGCTACTCTCGGCTCAGCTCTCTTTGCCTCTTATGCCGTTCCGCTGACTCGCGTATATACTTGTAACGCCTGTGTGTGTATACATGTATGTAAAGAAAAACACACACGCACACGGTATACAAGTCGATAAAAAAGTATTGTTTCCTTTTTGCATTCCATTGCTACTCCTCCGCCGTGTAATCGAGCCAGGATGATAATTTCAACGTCGACGATCCCGGTGTAAAGCACGTATCGTTGGGCGTGGTGAACTCGCGCCAATGATGATGAAGTTATGTAGAAAAGAGCACATTTTTTACGCGCACTCTTGACACTTTATCATCCTTGCATGCGAGAACTCTCGAGATCTTTTCTGTCGCTTATGCTCATTCCGAAATTTTTTTTCATCTCCAAACACCGCCGAGCACATGTGTACAAAAGCAGATGTGCTTTCCTGCATTTATGCCACTGAGAATGACTCGATTTCTTTGCTGATTCTAAGTTTTTTTTATCAGTATTTCTAATTTTATATACAATACGCTTTTTTCAGTTCATATCCGAATATTAGGCTTTTTATGTAAAACTGTCCATTTTAGATGAAACTACAAATTTTTTTTTGTGTAACAAGGCAAAGATTTCTGAGAAAATGATCTGTATATTAACTATAGCATGCTTACGCTAATTGTGAAATGATTCACCATTCTTGAAATATTTTTGTTATTGCTTTATTTTATTTAAAATATGTAAAAATTATACTGTTTAACTTACATGTTTAAAGTAAAGATTTATAAACAAAATCATTAAAAAAAATTAATTTTTTTACAGTGCCGTGGGTAAAACTTGTTTACTCATCAGTTACACTACTAATGCATTTCCCGGGGAATACATACCTACTGTGTTTGACAACTATTCTGCCAATGTTATGGTTGATGGAAAGCCAATCAACTTAGGTCTTTGGGACACAGCTGGTCAAGAAGATTATGATAGATTAAGACCTTTGTCTTATCCACAAACTGATGTATTTCTCATTTGCTTTTCATTGGTAAATCCAGCCAGTTTTGAAAATGTCAGAGCTAAGTGGTATCCAGAAGTACGTCACCATTGTCCAGCAACTCCTATTATACTGGTTGGAACAAAACTTGATTTGCGTGAAGATAAAGAAACTATTGAACGGCTGAAAGATAAAAAACTTGCTCCTATAACTTATCCTCAGGTAAAGAAAAAAATTCATTTCTACAAAATTTTTGTTGCTGAAAATTTGATATTTCTATTGAGTTCATTTAATAGTAATAATCCAATTCAACATTGCGTTTTGAGTAGAAGCTTTTTTATTTCAAATATTTGATATCACAATAATCGAGGAGGATTAAACAAGATCAACTTAAGTTGTGGGTAGTGAAAAAAGCAATTAAAATGTATTTTACACATTTTCAAACGATACATCATCTCAACATATTAAGACCTATTACATGATTGAAGCCTTGTATTAAAGAGTTGATGAGCATCAATGAATTAGTAAGTAATTATTTATCTTTGTGATTGCAGGGATTAACTATGGCTAAAGAAATCGGCGCTGTCAAGTACCTCGAGTGTTCTGCTTTAACGCAAAAGGGACTGAAAACGGTATTTGATGAGGCGATTCGTGCCGTCCTCTGTCCCGTTCTACAGGTGAAACCGAAGCGCAAGTGTTGTCTCCTATAATATTAAATGTTCCGCGTCGCCGCTAATATACGAAAAAAAAAATATCAAATGTGTTAAGTGTGTGAAATAACACCACAAATGGAAGGTAAAACGTGTTGAAACGTCGATCTACATCTTCCATTAGACATGCTCTTTGAAAGTACTGACGCTGTTATAGTTAATTAACGTCAAATTGCACAAACAACCAGTTAAAACAGCCAATCCTCTCCCCTCTTTCTCAACTTTTTGAAAACGAAAAATTTCACTCCAACAACTATCATAATATCAAATTTCAAAAAATAAATACGAGAGCGAGATAATTTAGACAAATTATTGTTATCGTGCCGAAATGCAGAATGGAACTTATTCCTTTGCACGTCGACGTAGCATCAATGATGTCCGAAGTCTTCAAATTTCTAAAGGGTAATAATGTTGTCATGAATCAATACACATCTCGCCTTCGTTAATATATTGGAATTTCGCTCGTTTACGGTAATGAAATATTGAAAATTCAATGATAAAAAATTTTTAAAAATAATAAAGCGCCTCGATGTAAAAGCGTTTATGTACAGTATACTAGAGTATATTAATAATAATAACTGAATATCTATGAAACGGTAAGAAATAAATTATATATATAAAAATTATATTATATGATACATTCACGCTCTAAAATAGACGACTACGTAAGTTGACTGTGTAATTTCTCATAGGGTAGGCAAAGAAAGCGTGAAAATCGTATGCGTCTGTGTATAGAGTGAGAGATGTTAGCTCCAAACTGCTTATTTATCTTGAATACTGCTTCGAATACTACCAACTCTGTGATCTAAACGCACAATGTGCTTTAAGCGCACAAAGATAATTTTTGTAGGTAGATGCAAGCAGCTTGAAAAGTTTACCAACGAGAACATTTTCTCGAAAAAACAAATTTAATAGAAAAGCTGGGGCGATAGAGTGCATGTTTGTTAATTTTGATGTAAATCAAAGAATTAATTATTGAGTGTTTGCTTGATCGAACACTTGGAAAGAATCAAACTGTATGAGGCTTAACAAGAAACAATTGAGGAAGCGATAAATAAATAAAAAATTTATACATTTAATTGTAAATAATGGTTAAAGTTCAAACTCGATCCTACTTGCTATAATCGGCTATACCTTATTAAGCTAAAAATGATTGAATCTTATTGTTTTTTTTAAAGTTACTTGTTTTTTATATATATATTTAGCAAAAAAAAATGGCATATGTAACATCCAAGACTGGGCTGATGAGTTTGATCAAATTTATGTGTAAATTGCCATTTTACATGTTTTTTTAACAAAAAGGAAGAAAGAAAAAACAATAATGAAAAGATATAATCGTTTCAGTCCTGAAACTATAAATCATTTATTGCTATTAACATTGATCTTTTTCAAGTGAGTGTTAAAAATGAATGAAATTGAGTCATTTCAGAATGTTCAATTTTCGTCTTTAAAATGTAAGCAAATAATTTTTTTTTATTTTATACAATTTACACATTTCTGCATAGATTTTATCTATAAACTAATTATTTATAAAATAAATACCAATATCAAGTCATACATTCTGTACAGATTATTATTCATAAATTTATACACAGAAACCTTTTTACAATAACCTCCATTTGATGCTGTTTTACAATATCATCAACATTAGATCTCGTAGTGATCGTATATTTAATTTTTCACTTAGTACAGATTTTGTAACTTATTAATAAAATGATAATTATTTATTCTTTTTAGAAAAGAGTGCTAAACGATAGCTTTTGATCAGTTTCATATTTCTGAAATAAATGTCATGCAAAAACAAATGACAAACTGATTAGAATTGAGAAATTGATCTTCCGCTTTGAAAAAGTTATCAGCAGCTTGCAAAAAATTTTACGCAGCGGAATCAAAGAAAGTTTCTATCGTAGCGGTAACTTGTTCCGGACTGTATTTGATATATTTTGCAGGATTTTTGGAAAACGATGTGTGCCGATATTTATGATAAAAGTTGGTGTAAAGCGGTACTAGTGAGTGACGCAACTCTCTTCTCAATTCTTTACGGAGCCGTGCATCAGGAACAGCATATGTTCGTTGGAATTTCGCCGTTTCCTCGAAGTCACGCGTGAAACTCGAGAAACGATCTTTTAATACCTTAGAGCCTGCAAAATAAATTATATTTCATTTCATGTTACTGTTATGTTTAATTCGTGACTTGACCTATCATTCAGCACAAATTCAATCGTTGTCACTTATAAAAGCGGTCCATTCATCGATAGGAAATGTATGTGTATTTATAAATGTATGTCTTTAAACATGAGATCCATTCACATAAAATGCATTGAAAGACTCATTAGAACTCGTTGCTTACATCAATAGATTTCGACTGAACTGCATATGATATCCACGTAAGTCTTCCTCGTAAGACAAAAAAAATGGAAACAATACCGTCGAGCACTTAGACTATATATAAGCGTAATTTTTTATACACACCAGGTTCATCATTATGATTATCTATATGTCCACGTGTCTTGGCAAAAGTCGTGTTGACGTAAGTATGCCGATCTCGTGCAAGCATGTCGAGATAAGTCTGCTCAGCTTTGGGTTCGGCAAGGGACAGCAATTCCATCAAAGAGCTTCTTCTCAAGGCGTTTATCACATAATTATGATTGTTGAGTCGAAATAAGGCACGCAAAGCTGGATCTGAATACGACTGATCACTGCGACTGACCAGAGCCAAATTCAACAGAGCCAATACTCGTTCTGAGAAAAATTAATTTTTTTTTATAAATGATGAACAGAAAACTAAGTACAAATAAAAATGGCCAATGCTCACTGATGTAGAGGCCAACGGCTATTCGATGCTCGTTTTGTAATTGTTTGTTGATCACCAAACCAATGGGATCGGGATCAGTTTGTCGCTTCAGAACAGCGCCCACCGTATCGGCGTACTCGATCAATTGCTCCAGAAATATAAGGACGTTGCTGGTGCTTTCGGCTACCGTGCCGTCTTTTGGCAATACCGTACCCGACTCATTACGTACACTCTCTCCAAAGCATTCCAATGCTTGAGCACCCTTTAAACAAATTTTCAGCTCATTGTATTGAGTTCTCGATGACGATTGGCAAACTTATTCTACGTATTACTTACGGTATCGGTAAGAGTCTGAATAACCGAAGCAAACTTGCTTCTCAGGGCATACTCGCATCCCTCCACGGTTCTTTCCAAATCAGGTTTCAGCTCTTCAAGATGCTTGAGAATTGGAAAAACAACAAGTACTGCTCCGAAGTCTCTTCTTGCAATGCAACGTTTTGCACGCGACGCTATATTTTCACCGTCTTGAGCCACTAGATCCATGGCATCTTGGACTGTCGCCTCGAGAACTTGCAGTTGCAGAGAAACTGGCAGAATGCGGCCCACAAGAGTACGTTCAGCTTGCATTAATTTGTGAAGTCCAGCTGCTAGTAGCAAGTAATTATCCATCTCTTGCTCGTCAGGTGCAGCATCATCTGAGCCATGATGATGATGTAAGTGGCTGCCAGGTGATGGTGCACCTTTTCTTGACGACGGAAAGGACAAACCGGTCGTTTGAGATGCTTTTTGCATTATTTTGCTGGCCTTTTTTTCCAGTGCTTGCTGAAGACGACGAGAAGTACGTCGTCCAGCTGTTTCGGTTACACTTAAAGAATGACGATGAGCAAATTTGACTCTCTGTTAAGAAATTCATCAAATTTAATTAACGGTCACTAATCATTTTTATCAATTGCTACAATTTTATAAAAAAGCACTTACAGGCATAGGACTTGAAGCATGAGTACTTCCACCACTAGCACTTTTTTGATGTTCTTTCATTAATTGTAATGATTTGAGAACAATGCCTGAGCGAACATTGGAGTAGAGTTTAGCATGTCTACGATGACCTCTTTCTTCCAACCAGTTTGAAATTTTAATTAAATCGGCTAAAGTGCTTTCAGGTAATTGGCATAGTGATTGAGGTGAGTCTTCGCTGCTAGTGTCTTCATCTATACCAATGAGATCCAGAAGCATTATAGGCAAAACAGGTTTACTTTGCCTAGCTAGTATATCATGAAATTCAGCATAAAGTGATTCAAGTCCTGCATCAAAAAGAGTCGATATGTTTTCGAGTTCAACAGAGCTAGGATTGTTTTTTTGAAAATAGCATTGTGCATTGTAAAGTCTATTCATCGAATCCAAAAAACCATCTAAACCACAAGCTCCATTGGGTCCTCCACGAACCGTACTTTCAACTTCTTGGCATACTCCATAATAGCCAATAGCGTGATCCAATAATGTCAATGTTTTTTCAATATCTGCATATATTTAAATAGTACATTTAATATAATCAACTCGAAATATCATTGTATTTTGAAGAAACTTACTAAGCTGTTGTCTTTGAAGATTGCTAGTTTCATTGTAAACAGGTAATATAGTACTTTGTAAAGTAGCCAATCGATCTTCCAAAGATGTTAAAATATTTATCATACCATTTGTCAATTTTCTATTCTGTTCTTCGGCAGATTTTGAAGTTTCTAAAGCTGCCAATTCTGCCTCTAATTTGCATTCAATTTCAAAACGTCGCTCTGACGTGTCCTCGCTGTTCAATTGCATTTTTGTTTACTTTTTTTTAAAACTTAATTGGTTAATGTTTTCCAAACACTCAATAGAAATCATGGATTAATTTCCTACAATATGATCGACTGCAGATGTCAAATTCCTGACATTCTAATCAAAACATAACCTGAATAACAATGATGTGGATGATCCTGCCAGAACTATGTTGTGTACATAATATAAGAGTCTATGCATATATATAAGTTCTGTTTCATTACATTGACACTGACTGCCCAGCGCAATCGCGGAATTTGTATTTCCAAATATTTAATTTTTAACAAAAAGCTTCACAATGCTTGAACCGAAAGTCTAGAGCGGAATTACTTCAAAAATTCACTTTCAATTTTAAGTGAATACAAATGCGATTGCAATATTATAATCACCGATGATACACACGTGAACACTGGTGATAACGTTGCAATTACTTTGACAATTAATTCGAATAATTCCAAAGCATCAATCAAAGTATTGATAATACATCGTTCTCTATTTTCTAGATTATTTAAACGATGCATTTAAGCCTCAAAGGCAACTAGAGAATTTTATTTACATAAAAGACCATCTAAAATTATTTTATAGTAGATTTCATTAGAATGTACATCAAAATAAGTTAAATAAGGTTGAAAGGCAAAAGCAACCATTTGCTCTAAACTAGGAACTCAAATGTTTTATCAATCAAACTCTTTCCAAATCAAGTTTTTGTTTTCAAATGTTCAATCAGGATCAGGATAGAAAATAAATTTTTACTTTGTAGACTATATGTTTTTTGTATTCAACACATACTTGACTTTTTGATGATTATTATATCATTACAAATAAGGCACCAATTTTGGCTAGTCATATAGACAGAAAACATTTAATTTTAATACTTTTAACTGGAACATTAACACATAAATTATAGAATAATTTAACAAATTATTAACTAGATCAACTTTAGAAAAATAAAACATTTGTAAGATATCTTTGAATCTTAACGGTAATATTTTAAGTAGATCTCTCTGGTGCATCCAACCTGAAACAAGTGTATAATGTCATTGATGTATGGCAACTTAAACAAGAATAAATGTTAATTTTATCTTACCTATGAATAGTAATTGTACTATCAGCTGTAACGTGAGAAGTATCTAATGGCGTTAAGAAAGTAAACTGACACTGAGGTTTATTCCTAGCAAAACCCAGTAGAATATCCATGATAACACGACGATTTATTTTATCCTTAAAAATGTTTAATGTAATTTATATAAGTTTAATGTTTAATCTATTGTTAAATTAACATTAGTTATTTTACTAACCATGAACACATCAAATTCGTCAAGAAAATAGAATGGTAATCCTGTACAATCCCACAAAGACAAAATAAAAGCTACAGTAGAGTAGGAACGTTCACCTCCTGATAATGCTTTTGTATCTTTAGTGGGACGCTTGTTATCAGTACTTGGAGCCACTTCCAAGGACAATAGAAGTTTTTTGTGATCTATATTTATTTTTCCTTTATACTGTCGCAAGCTCAATGCATTTTGGAATGCTAGTTGAACACGATCGCCGATTTCTTTTTTCATATCATTATACAATGATTTACGTTTCTTCAATCTTTCATAATGGTTCTATAAAATAAAATATTACATTTTTTTAAATTTTGAATGAAATCAACAAAGATGTGTAAATAAAATGAATGTATCTAACATCTTTACTCCTTTGAAGTTCACAAGCAAACTGTAAAATTCCGCCATGTTTTCCTTTTTTCTCATTCAACTCTTTTATCAAATCTTCTTTTGAACCATGTTGTCTTTCAACACCCGATATTTTGGATGAAAGTTCTTTCATTTCTTGTTCGATTTCTCCAATAGATCTATTAAGGTTTACATACAGAAGAGAATAAAGTAAAATTATAAACCATTTATGTTAGCTCAATATTTTCGCTTTATATATCTCCAAATACCTTTTAGATGATATTTTTGGACATTCTTTTTCAGCTTCTTGCAATAAAGAAGTTACAACTCTTTGCTGTTGTTCATGTTCACCACTTAATCTCTGTAGATTCTTCTTAGTCTCTTGCATTTTACGACTAGTGCCTTGATTTTCCAAGTTCATTCTGTTCTTTTCATCTTTCAATTCTTTTATTTGATCCTAGAATTTAGAAATGGTTTTTTAATATTAGTTTAATAAAATAATTTTATGAATAAAGCAAAAAATTTACCTTGATCGGATTCAATCGAGAATCAAGGTTTTGAGCTAAATCAGTATATTTTTTCAATTCAGCTCTAGCACTTTCAACTACTTTATACGATTTACGATCTTCTTCAGTTAGTACGTTCATTTCTTCTTTTTTCAAAGTTATTAATCTTTCAAGTTCTTCAACTTCAGTCGCCTTGTAATAAATAAATACCATTTACAGAGGTGTTCATTAAAATTAAACAAATTAAAATAAGTACTTACAAAAGTATTTAGAGTATTGTTGTTCACAGACTCAAGTACTTCTTTATTTTCGTCAATCAGATTTTTCAATTCTTGATGTCTGATTTTGAATTTTTTAACTTGTTGTTCCACCTCTCGATATTCACTTTGATTGAGTCGAAGTTTTTCTCTAACTTCAGTGAATCGCATCTGAGTGGTATTTAATTCCTCCTCAATAACACTTATTTCCTCGTTTAAATACCTATAATTATATTTTTGTAAGTTTAGTTCTGAGTAAGATGAACATTCATTATTTGAATAATTGATAACTAACTGAATGGCTTGAGAAGTAGAAACTTGAAGATATTTCGGACGACCAACTTTACCACCATATGTTCTGTAATTAGGATCTGGAAAAAATAAATCAGCTGCCATAGTGAAAGCTCGTTTTGTATTGTGAGGAACCCGGCTCGCCTCATTCATAATATTACAAGCTTCTTCAGAAGTAGGAATAAGAATTGTACATTCAACTTCTCTTTGATCAATTAGAGAATTAGCAATAACAGGGTGAGATATTTCCATTGCATCTAATAAGTTTGAAAATCTAGATGACCGGACGCAACCTTGACTCACATCATGCATCTACGGAATATAAAAAATGGTTTCAATACTCCCTTATGTAAGTTAAAACAATGACAAATGTAAAGATACTAACATGATCATAAAATTTGCTTATAACTACTTGCGGCACTCTGTCACCACGAAAAATTTCTTTCATGATAGTATTCAAAATGCGTGCATCTTGACTATTATCTACGCAGAAAGAAGACAGAGTACCCCAAGTCAATTGATTTTCAACAGCAGGAACCCAACTTTGATCTTTTATTTTGATAAAAATACCTAAGCAAATAACATTGATTTATTATAGTTAGTATACTTCTTTTAAATTTGAATAAATTATGAACAGACCAAGTGGACCAACTGGCTTTTCTATGAATTTCCCTTTTTCATATGCTTCATCAATGCGCTTCAAAAGCCTGGGCATGTTCGGTCCATAGACACTCAGAGCATTATTAGACTCATTTTTCAACCCATTCAGTCGTTGTTTATGTTGATCTGTAATTCAAGAATGTGGCAATTTATCCTGAATTCAAAATTAAAAATTATTTAAAATCAAGAAAAACTTACTGAGTGCCATGTTCTTAGAATCTAATTCCATTTTAAGTTTAGAACACTCATTTTCTAAACGTCTTTTGTTTTCTTCCAAATGCATCAAGTCTGTTTGTTTTGTTCTTAAAGTTGCTTCAACTTCATGACTTTGCTGCTCATAATTAACTAAATTAGCTTTGGCTTCTTGCCTTCGATGATCCAGGGCACTAGACTCCCTATAAATATTGTTTATAAGTATTATTACAATAATTCATATGAAGTTGATTGAATTTAAAAATAGAAAAACGTACAGTTCCATTTTTTTAATCTCGCTCTGAAGCTGATTCATATCTTGTTCTTTTCTTTGGATACTGTTTTTAAGATCAGTTATTTGTTTTTTCCTTTGTTCATGATCTCTTTTAGCTGATGTGTAAAATTTCTTAGCATCATTTAATTTAGCACTGCTATCAGCTGCTTCTGATTCTGTTTGAGCAATTTCTTGGTGCAAGCTCCTAAAAATAAATGAAAGTGTGAGATTTTATATTTGTATCGTAAGATACAGTGTAAAAACATACTCTATCTTTGAATCAATTTTTTGTGCTTTGATAACTTTAGTTTGTTCTAAATCTTTTAATTCCTCAAGTTTTTGTTCTTCTATTTGCTTCAACTCATCAATTTCGAGTAATTTTTTTTGTTGTTTTGCAACCTGAAAAAAACCAAAATAAAAAAATAATTAATTCCTGTATCAATTTTTAATACTTTTGAACATAGGTATACCAACTTTCACCCATTTAATTTCGTTTTGACATAGTTTGAGTTTATCTTTTAGTTCATCGACAGAATTCAATTCATTCAATTTGTGTTCAAGATCTTCTATATCTTTTTGTGACTCATTCAAATAACCTTGTGCATCTTTTAAGCGTAAATCAGCTTCATTACACTCTTTAATAGCAATTTTGTAGTTTTCACCGATAACGTCTAATCTGGTTGCCTTCATAAATAATTTGTATTTATCATCGGAACCTGTTGATGATAAAAATGATCTTGAAACATCTTGATTTAATACTGAGATTGGATTTTCAACTTGAATATTTAAAAATTGTAACATATGATCAAGCTCTTCACGTTTAGTGGACACAATTTCACCTGCAAAAATATAAAACAATTTCATTATGATTTTTTATTCAACTAATCTCACTTTCTATGCAAACATACAAAAAAAAAAAAAAATGAGGTTCAAAAATGTAAACTGACCTCTCCAATTTTTAATTTTGTACGAGGAAGATGTATGTGAAATACTTCGAACGACAGTAATTTTGTCTCCGTACACATCATGTTTATAGGCCATTGTTCCACCATTTGTTATGGTAATATCAATAAGAGCAGAATTTCTACCTTTTTTAATAAATTCTGTGAAAATTTAAATAATTAAATATCGACCGGTATGAATTATTACTGATCTCCACATATACTTCAAACTTCAGCAAATACCTTTGATAGATGGTCCTCGATTCGTTGCTTTAGCTTTTGCACCCAAACCAACAGTGAGTGCAGTAAGAATAGCACTTTTACCACTACCATTTGCTCCGACAATGAAATTTATTTTGTCATTAAATTTAACTTCCATGGCATCGTGACACATGAAATTCTTCATAAATATCCGCTTTATTTTCCCAGCAACGTGCTGAAATGAACCGAATTTAGAATTCAATTTACTATATTATCCATTAATAGAGTTGTTGCAGTGTCAGAAAAAAACAATGGCAAACCTCGGGATCATCCTCGGGCGATGAAGAATTACTATCACCTTCCTTGACGCGTTTAGACCTGCATTCTTCATCGTTATTTATCTTCCTCTTCCTACGCTGAGACTGACTGGCCGGTGGTTCTTCATCGTTACTTGAATCCATTTTTCTATCGTTTGATGAAATAATTTATAAAAATAACAAGAAGTGCATTAGATATTGCGCGATGTATTTACGCGCGCACGTTAGTTTCGTTCGACGAAAATGTCAAAATCGGAACGGTTGAGAGCTTTCAATACGAGGTTATAGGGCAAATTATCGACTTCGACACTCAATTGTTTCTTGACAAACTTCATACAATACAACAGAAATCAGAACATTAATAAATGAATACTAATCACAATTAAAAAATACTCTTATTAAACGAACAAAATAAGAAACTTCACAGTATTGCAATGGTTGTCATTACCAATGTTACATATACAATACGAGCACGATAGTCCGTTCTTGGCAGTTGACTAACAGCGACTAGCGACCAATGTGCTGTTTATGCCTCTTTCCCGCTTAGTTTGGTACAGCGTCGCGATTCGTCGTTTGTTTCGCTTGTGACGAATCGCAATGCGAAGAGAGGGGGTTGTTTTAAAAGAAAAATCTGATAAATTTCTTCGTGCGAAAGGACAAAGCCGCAAATAAATGAATGCTTGAAAAATCATTTTGATTGGCAGAAACGTGCCAGTCGAATTTCTTGGACAAAATTGACTCCTTAATCAAAATAGACGTTACAGTTTTCTATTTCGCGACATTACATGCACTTTATTCCCAAAGCACATTCAAAAATAACAACGATCATGAACACGTATATTAATGATTTTCTTTATTTCTTCTTACGAAGAAATATACCTATTGAGAAAAATGGAGAATCGTGTCCTCGGATTGAGTGCGCTTAGTGAGATTTGCCGCTAGTTGATAAAAACTATGAGGAAAATACCATCGAATATCAATGAAAATAATTAAAGACTGTAATCTTTTACGCGAAATAAACTAATTAATAACTAACTAATCTATCACTGAATTATATCACGTTTCAATTCCGTTTGTAGTTGGCCATTTTACGTCAGTAATAAATAGATAAGAATTTCCAGATGAAATAAATACTAATAAGCCCATTTAGTGTGCGAGGATTATAAAAAATAACGTTATAAAAATGTTATACCACAAAAAAGAAATATTTTACCTTCGTGATGTCTAAATTACTTCTTCTTTTTATTCGGGTAGGAGTTGAACTGCCGCTGTTCAGGCTTGATCACCAAATGAATGTATAATTTTGATATTATCGATTACATGCATCGGTCGATCCGTATAGCAGTTCACGAGCAGAGGCTGAGGGTCACTGCTAAACCTGCAATTCATTAAAATGAGACAACTTCCGACTACTCTCACTCTGTTTTCTACATTCTCCTATACCGCTAAATATGAATATCGAAGAAGTCAAAACACTCTCATCAAGAACCTATATTTTCTGACGTAGATTTTCATTGAAGCGTGACGGAAAATATTCATAACTAAATTGAAAACGTTTATCAATCTATTAATGATGAGAAGTATTAAATTTTGATTAATTTACATCGTAATTTAACATTTTAAATTACAGACTTTTAGAGAGCGATTTAGCCTTTTTTTCAATAATTATGAATCATTGGTCAAAACAAAAGTACTTTATCAATACTTTTTAAGATATAGCAAAAATTGATTCAGTCTATATTGATTTTTTTATCACTCCCAATTGGACAGAGATTTAGTTCAAACTGTCTTAATATTTTTCAACATTAAAAAAATAATATTATTGCTTCCTCTTGTAAATCTCTGATAAATCTGTTTAAAAATATTTACAGTAAAAAATGGGGATGGTTGTGGGCAAGCTTGTTTCAAAAATAACCTTTTGGCTCATTTTTAATTGTGAAATATAACAATACAAAGGATATTTTTATAGAGGATTAACAGTTTCTTTAAAAAAAGTAGTTAAAATTTGAATTTTAAATAAGTATGTTTTAAAAAAATAAACAAATTATTTAGTTTATGAAAGCTATCTTTTATTTAATGCATTAACTTATCATAGGCACAAAATAATCAATGATTATTAATTAGTGGCCTTCAAAGTTTTGGGTTTGGGCAAACCCTCACGGAATCCATTTTTGAACTTGCGACGTACAATCTTAAGATGACGCATGCGGCCAGTGCCAGTGGTCTTCCTCCTTTTAGCCTTGATGGACCAGTTGTCTATAAATAAGAAACACCAAATTAATATGTAGTCAAAACTTGTAATGAAAAATTAATGCATACAATTGGTTGGCAGTCATCATATTTATTTATTGTTTAAAATTAAGAAAAATATATTTTTAAATAAACTTACATGATCTCATCTTCTTGGAAGGATATCCACATTGAGCACATTCTGATTTTTGGATATGGAATGAGCTACGACCACAACGCCTGCATAGCGTATGGGTCTTATTACGCCTTTTACCAAAGCTTGATGTACCTTTGGTCTAAAACAGAAAGTAATATCAATTAGAAATAAGGATATAATTAAATTTTATATGGTGGAGTGTTGTAAACAAATAAAAAAGTTCAAATTCAACTATGAGTAAACATTTACAATAATTCCATCTTGTTGTATTCATGAAAAGTTAAACGCAATTGATTAAGAAATTATTGATCAAACTTAAAACATTGCAAAAATTTAAAACTATATCAATTGCAAAAGTAAATACATTCACACATGTACGACTTAACCTTGAAACTACGACGTAATCTATAAGGTTTTTGTATTAAAAATTCGTTGTTATAGAAATTTAAAAAAAATTAAGTAAAAGCAATTTGCAAAACTGCAAATGTTAAATTTCCACCCTGATGGCTACATTGATGTACTGTAGTTTTTTAGTTATTTAATATTTAATTTATGGAAATCAAAATTACTTGCCATTTTGCTCTGTGTTCATCGGCAAAGAAAGAGCCTCGTGCGACGTTTCTGTAAGCCGGGATCTAGCCAGAAGTCGCAGACGCAGTGCGTTCAAAATTCGAGATTACCGCTACAGCGGTAAATTTGAAAAGTTGAATGAACATTTGTTGCTGAAAGTATATTTTAATACTGTTTCTAAGTGTAAAATCTACCTAAGCTACTATTACGTAAATTATGTTCAATAATAATTTTGCTAACAAATGAAATGAAATGATAGCATGAATTAATATAGTTTATTAACTTCTTTAATCGAATTTTATTCAGTGATATGATATTTTTTTAGAATATTTGAAACATTTCTTTTTTTTTTTTTTTAATATTTAACGTAACGACCCGAACGTAACGAGAAAATAAAATTACGCTTTCAATAATAAAATTTAATATTAGGATTAGCACGATTTCAAATAAGGAAATATTAAAAATAAAAAAACAGTTTTTTTTGAAAAATACACTACTATAAGGCGATTCATCTTGTTAACAGCTCAAATTGTAAACGCAGTGAAGTCGGGGCTGCTTGTGTGCACAACATAGGCGATAATTATAACAGTAGTATGAGGATTAGCATAGACAGAGCCCCGAGATCACTTTTTTTAGATTTTGAGCTGTTAACAAGATCAATCGTATACTCGCGGTGGGAATGATCAATGGTTCTTCAAATTTATATTTGAAAAATGACAAGTTCTTCAATACATGAAATAACACGAGGTGGTAATGCATCATATATATTATTATGCACACCGCAAGCGGGACGCCTGCATGCAGATTGCAGTCTTAGCAGTCAACACTATAGCAGCAGCCACGTGTAGAAAGCATTGCATCAGCTTGAGACGCCACCGGCGGGCAGCTACTTTCGAGTATCCTAATTTCACAGCTTCACACCACTACGTGGGTACTAGATATTCGTTCATTTTAACCGTAAGAAAAGTTTATAAAGTTATAATTGGAATCGGATAAGTTCAAAAAGCGTAAAACAATAATCATGGGTGTCGAAGATAAAAGTTCTGGTGTGACCACGGGTCAACCAAATCTTTGTAAGCAAGATTTATCCAAACTCGATGTCACGAAAGTGACGCCTTTGTCACCAGAGGTTATCAGTCGACAAGCTACAATCAACATAGGTACCATCGGCCATGTAGCTCATGGAAAATCAACCATCGTCAAGGCCATCTCCGGTGTGCAAACTGTGCGATTCAAGAATGAGTTGGAACGAAACATTACCATCAAACTTGGTTATGCCAATGCAAAAATCTACAAATGTGATGGCAACAATTGTCCTCGACCTGCTTGCTACACTTCTGGTGGCTCAAACAAAGATGACTCTTTTCCTTGTTCAAGAGTCAATTGTTCCGGACGTTTTCAGTTAGTGCGTCATGTCTCTTTCGTGGACTGTCCTGGTCACGATATTCTTATGGCTACCATGTTGAACGGTGCAGCTGTCATGGATGCAGCTTTGTTGCTAATTGCTGGAAATGAGTCTTGTCCACAGCCTCAAACATCAGAACATTTGGCTGCTATAGAAATCATGAAATTGAAACACATTGTTATTCTACAGAATAAAATTGATTTGGTGAAAGAAGGTCAAGCCAAAGAACAGCATGAACAAATTCTGAAATTTGTCCAAGGTACCGTAGCAGAAGGAGCTCCAGTTATTCCCATTTCAGCCCAATTGAAATACAATATTGAAGTTTTATGTGAATATATTACTAAAAAAATACCAGTACCAATGAGGGACTTCACATCAGAGCCTCGATTAATTGTCATAAGATCTTTTGATGTTAACAAGCCAGGTTGTGAAGTAGATGATTTGAAAGGTGGTGTTGCTGGTGGTAGTATTCTGAAAGGAGTACTCAAGGTTGGCATGGAAATTGAAGTAAGACCAGGTCTTGTATCAAAAGACAATGAGGGTAAATTAACTTGTAAACCCATTTTCTCAAGAATTGTTTCCTTGTTTGCGGAGCAAAATGAGTTGCAATTCGCAGTTCCCGGAGGTTTGATTGGTGTTGGAACTAAGATAGAACCAACTCTATGCAGAGCTGATCGTTTAGTAGGACAAATTTTAGGAACCGTTGGTGCTTTACCCAAAATATTTATTGAACTTGAAATTTCTTACTATCTATTGAAAAGATTGCTTGGAGTAAGAACAGAAGGAGACAAAAAAGGGGCTAAAGTACCAAAACTGTCTAAAAATGAAGTCCTGCTTGTTAATATTGGCTCTCTGAGCACTGGAGGACGTGTTTTAGCAACTAAAGCTGATTTAGCAAAAATTAGCTTGACTAATCCAGTTTGTACAGAGATAGATGAAAAGATTGCTCTATCAAGAAGAGTAGATAAACATTGGCGACTGATTGGATGGGGCCAAATTCGTGGTGGTGAAACAATTGAACCAACTTGTGATTGAATCAAAAATTTATTCAATTAAAAACAACTTTTAACAGCTTAATTTGTTATTATAGTACTAAATAAATCATTATATTCCTACAAATAGCTCATTAAAATGTATTTCAAATAGTTAATAAAATTAACTTGATTTAAAACTACAATATATGCAGCTAGAATTTTCTTATGTATTTTATGAAATTGATAATAAATGAAGTGAGAATTAATAAAACAGATAAATATTGTTTTTATTAACTCAATTAAAACTTGTCATGTATGCAATCATTCAAACAAGTCAATTAATAATAGTTTTAATAATTATTAGCTTTCAGTTTAGAATAATTCATGCTCAAGTGTGTTTTTCTCCAATTAAAGCTCAGAATAATAACATTTATATTCCCTTTTAAATTTGACGATAAAAATATATAATTAGAGAACTTTTTTTATCGTTTTCTTCGTGCTCAAGTAATTAAGAAAATTAATAGTTTTGTTAGAATATTGACTTACTATACATTGAATTATTGTATACGTTCATAATTAATAATTCTCATGTTGTATACAATTAAAATACCTAAATATCTTTTTAAGATCCCAAGCAGTGATACCGAAATTAATTAATTTATGACACATTGATTGGCATGATTTAGCTAGGTAAATTGTATACCAAAATTCAATCAAAAAATTATGGGCACAAAATTTTATCTTGACTTTTTTGTGTGGTATTTAATTAACTTACAATTAAACGTAATATGTTGAAATGTAAAGAGCTTCTCGGTAATTGGAAAATAGCGCATTCAAGACAATGCACTTCATGAGTTGTTTCACAATCGAATATTATTTTCTCAATGAAAATTGTCAGATGATTTTACTACTATTGCACCCTTTTAATTTTTTATATAATTCGAGTCAAAATTAACTTAAATTCGTTCATCAAATTACACGAAATGATGTATTTAGAAATCAAATATAGAAATTAGCAAAAACAAGATGAATTTAAATCGCACCGACTTACGGGCTAAATCGTATAGTAATAAAACTGATTCATTCATAACTCAAACACTGACGTGACTGACGTGGTGTACTGCACATAACATACATTCCGCTCAGATGTTTTTATCATATTATTATTTTGTTATTAGCTTTCTTTAGAAAATTAAGAATTTCTAATATTCTTGCATCTTATTTAATATATATTCTGATTCACATACCGGATACTTTCATTTATGAATAACTCATCGAGATTAAAAGACTGTTAACCTAGAATTTTTCTAGAGTTTGTTGATATAAGACATTAATATAAAGGTAAATTGAGAAGATCAATTTGGACAAATCAATAATTTTTAAGAAATTGCTTTTTGACGTTTAATCAAGTCTTGATTTTTAACTTTAATTATTACAGTGATTTGAGTAATGAAGAGGTGGTTGAAGTTTGCGTTTGGAGTGGCGGTGGCAAGTGGTATTTGGCTGTCTTTATACCTAAAAAATTTGGACAAAAATAATGATTGCGAATGTTACTTAAAGTATCTTCCACTCATTTGTGTATTTGTTTTTGGCATTTATTCACTTACAGTAGTGATTTATAGAACTTTTACATTTAACAACTGTGAAGAAGCTTATGAAGAATTACTTGATGTCAGTACATTTTATAAGAAATGAATAAAACTCATTAAAATTTTAACTAATGTATTTTGCTATTTACAGGAGATCAAGATGGCCCGTAAAGACTTGATAAAGAAAGGTGTCTTATTTGACAAAAATTTTAAATCTGTTAAAAAAGATTAATATTTTGTAATAAGGATTTGTAAATAAAATGCTTACGATTGATATTTTATACATTTATTTATCATCATTCATCATTTTTTACAATATTATCTTTTACATTTTTCACTCAATTTTTTATTTTATTCTTTTTTTCTTAATAAATAATTCATTTCAAATATATTTTGACTTAATCATATACTATAAGTATGCAGCCAATGACCAGCTGCACCTGAAAAATACTTAGTAACATAGGATATTGAGGAAATTTACTACGTTGGGACCATTTTGAATATAAATTCAAAATACTCCAGGGTAAGTAATTAATGTATGTATACTTAGATTACAGCATTTCTAACTTCACCTCATGACAATAATAAAAAAGATGCCTATAATTACAAATGAAATGAGAGTGCAATTTTTTAAAATGAAGATAATGCAGTATTCCTCAAACTCTAGCTCATTGTTATTTTCAAAATATGAGATAAATTTGAATTCATGTTCATTGTAGTTCAAACTAAATTATACTATCCATTACTTTTTGGATAAATGCTTGATCAATATTTACATCAGACAGCAGATTGAAAAAGATAATTATATGAAAACTTTGTTAAAAGTTTTGTAAATATTATATTATAAAAAAATCTAGGAAATATCTTTTTGAAAACATTAGTGTTCACTTAAATGATCATTAAGTATAAAATGGATTAAAAGATTTAACTCAATGGTAATTACAATATCTGCATGGATTTATGATGTAATTTGAAAAAATATTTCAATTATAAAATTAATTTGAACTACAACGCTTGATTGAGTGGATTTATAATTCATTTTTTTTTTCTTTTCGACTTTCGTGTTTTTCTTTCTCTTTTTCAAGAAATATTCTTTTCTTTTTTTTCCACTGTTTTTTTGTTTTTTTCCTTTTTTTTCTCCATTGCGTTATTTCTCTCCATGTGTTTTTTTTTCTGTGGACATATTATAATTTTTTCAATAAATTTATATTTTCAGTACTGGAAATTCAGAAAAAAATTGCACTTTAAATTTGATTTAACTCAGCAAATCAGAAAAGTTGTTGAAAAAACTGTTTTAAATAATTATAAATGTGATATAATACTAATAGGGATGATTTTGAAAAAATACCAACTAATGCATGCAAATGAAAAGAAATTGTGAATAAATTAAATATTAATGTTTTAGTAATAAAAATTATCTTAATAGAATTAATTATTTGGTCACAGTAAAAAAAATGTGTAAACTCACCATGAAGACCGTCACGAATCGGTTAAAACTGTATCATTAATAAGGCATGTAATATCCCCGTCTATAACTTCTTGGCCTTCTCGTTGGTCTGTACCCAAAATAAGCAGAACCCCTGGTAACTCCACGAGCAGCACCTCTGTACCCTCGTGCACCTCTAGGGGCTCGGTTAGTTTGTGACATTCCTGGACGATTGGTCCTTTTTGGCATAACTTTAATCTGACGACCTCTAAACATGGAATCATCCATGGCCATTGCTGTTTGAACAGAATCACGCTCTGCAAACTCAATGTATGCAAACCCTTTGGGATGCCCATCGAATTTGTTGCACAGTATAGTCACTCTGTTGACGCTACCACATCCATGGAAATGTTGTTCCAGCTCTTCTGCTGTGGCTGCGTAATCAACCTTCAAACAAGACGTAATGGAATTAATATCAAATTATACAATTTTTTAATAAGATGTTTACAGTTTTAATGAAACTTACGTTTCCGACGTATACAGATCTGTTATCCACTTCCATTTTGTCCTCTGCTGATAAATTTAGTGGGCTTGCTATGAAAAGAAAAATTACAGTTAACAAATGCTGAAAAGTACGGGGTTAGGTTAAGAGAATAGAGAAGGAGAACGTAAAACGCACTTTTTGAGCTATCTTTTATGTACTTACTTCCCGGAGGACTGCCCAAACTCATTTGCTTGTCAACTTCGCATTGAAGTTCTTTAAGCTTAGCCGCCTCTTCCTCCATTTCCTTGACTCTAGCTTTAATGGCTTCGAGTTCTGGGTCATCGTTTGATTCTCCAAAGCTTCGTTTAACAGGATCACAGTTCATGGATTCGACTTCTTGGCCATTTTCTAAGCCATCCAAGCCGTCGATTTGGTCGTTTGCTAATAAGTCTGACTCCGACATTTTTCTGTAACGCAGTCACAAGATTTTTGTCACAAGATGTTGATAGCGAAGGATATACAAGATTATATGTGCAACAATCGAAGCTCTTTTCAAGAATGAAGTATGAAAATTAGCATCGAACAAAACAAAATAAACACTGCAGATGTTCGTATTGAGAAGAATCTCGATAGTTTAGAACATAAATAGAATTTAATAACTAAAACAGCGTAGGCAAGAACTAGCCGAATGCCGGACAACCGGGTAGTATAGGTATAATATGTTTCCAGAATACTACACTAGACGATGTACGGTGTACGAATGATGATATTGATGATAGCTGGGCGTAGAATACAAGTCTCTACCACGTGAGACATATGGCAGCACCGTCAACGCCGCACGCTTGAGCAATGAGCAGTCAGAGGCTCTTGAAAACAGACCCACAGTGAGCGCGAAATTCAAATTCGTGTAAAAATGTAATTTAAAATATCTATAGTAAAACATTTTTTACATTCATTAAAATAAAAACATAATTACCACTTTACTATTGTGTCGGCAATCATTTTTATTATTAATAAAATGAAAATAAAATTTTACAATGGGTATTTTAAGTTACATCTTTACACAAATTAGAATTTCGTCCTCACTGTACGTGCTGTTTTTGAGAGCACAGATCGAGCTCTTCTTGTCGGTACTCCCACGGTCAGAGCTCCGTAAAAAGATACATAGACAGCGCATTGTGACTGTCACTTAAAATCATGACCTACCTTTTTACACAACTCTGCCCACTGTTATTTTTTATTATAAAAAATAGACCGTTTCTAATCTTTCCCAAATTTGCAAACGAGGTATTTATTCTTGGGTTCGTAGTTTTCGGACGATGGCCTGCGTTACTCTCAGTACACAGGCGTAAAAAACATCGTATGTCAAGACTCAAGACTCCGTACATTTACGTGAGTCGTGATACGTCAAATAGATTAGATGTGTCAACAATTTTGGGGTTTCAAACTACTTACATGATTTACTTTTTAAAATATCAAAAACTGACTCCAGTGAAATATAAGAAATTTCAAACAAGTACAAAGTGGATACATAAAAATTATTTTTCATAAAAATCGATTTCCAAAAGAATCCAAAAGAAAAACTACCAATCGACATTGGTTTGTTAAAAAGCGAAACTTGAAGTACTACTAAAGAGAAACAACTATAATTTTCAAATTTTGAGGAAATACGCGACGATGTGCATACAATGAGATTTGATGGAGACCAAATTGAGAAAAAATAACATAACTCTATGCATTGACGAAAATAAAACTACTTGTGACGCAAGTTTGTTATAAAACAAAACTATAAAGTATTAATTAAAATTTGAAAAGTATGATATAATTTTTAAATCTGACGCATGTTCAATTTTCGATAAAGATTTTATGAAAGAATGATTGACAATCAAATTGAAACAAAACTAATACGAAACGCACGTTCATTGACAATTTGATATCAGAAATTGAATGAAATTGAAAAAACCAAATCTCATGTTATAAACAGTACAATTTGGTTAAATCAATTTACCTTTTGACACAAGTTGGAGCGAAGATGAAAATGTGTAAATTCCCACGTGATTGCAACGGCTGGAAGGACTGTATAAATAAGAGATCTGTGTGCAGCTACGATGTGTTAGGCTTCACAATAAACTCGATTATGCTAGCAATTAAAAGATATATTTTTGAAGAAGTCCAATTAAAGTAACGCGCCCCCTTCGCCTCCCATGGACACCAAAGTCAAAAATTTGTCTCTTCAATCGTTCTTATTTTAATTTTTTTTCCATCTCTCTTCTATTCCTCATTCTTTGAAAGAGTTAAACTTTTGAAGCCATGCTATCATGATGATCAATTATTTAGCTCATATTATTAGAGTCATTTTGCTTGGCAATCACCAGTTGTATTGCAGGTATTTTTTAAAAATAATTTTTACATATGATAATCTTTTCATCAAAATTATTATTGTCAACAGTATTGAGATTTTTGCCTGTATTCGATTTTAACATTAAAGTAATTAATTTTTAATGTACGAATCTTGACGCAGACGATAAAAAGTTTAATTTTATGGATAAAAATTATTAAATGAAACACATTGAAACATTAAATAACGTTGAACATTGAAATTTATGAGAATAATTTTTGTCAAAAGTGATTTTACGTAATATACGTACGAAGATGTATATAAAACTGTTCATAACACATTTGCGAAAAAATGTGTTTATTACAATGCAATTTTTGATGAAATTCTTTTGATAAAAGCCTATTATGGTATATTTAGGTCTTTTAATCGTTACATGTTGTTCGAACGGGCCTGGTAAGTCCATACATAATATATGCGAAGCTGTCTACGACTACACCTATTAGGAGTTAAAATGCTGAATTTTTTGATGCTCGCGAGCGGTATAATATCCCGATGTCATCTCTGTCGGTTCAACTGTGCGCGTTTATGTATGAAGCCATGTAGGTATGTGTTTACAAATGTTGTATCATGCATCATGCGTGTGATGCGTATGAATGTAATAATACTACATAGATATACAGTGGCGAGGTTACAAATTTTCCCGCCAATTCTGTCGATGAAGTGTGCGTGTAACGCTAAGATGTATGTAGGTTGAATAGTTTAGATTGAATAAAAATAGCGCTAAGAGTTGGCAATTGACGCACAGGCGCACACCAACGGAGTCAAGTCCTCCACGCTTTCAAGACAGTCGCGAGCCCATGTTAGCCAATAGGCTGCGTGAAACTCCAAACTCGACAGTCGACGCGCGGCCGTACATACATTCAATTACTCACTCACACGAGCACACGGAGCACTCGCTCACTGCTCGATCCAAATGCAGCATATGCCGCCATGTATATAGGTGTTACGTACTACGTCTATACGTGTGCGCAGGCGGTATCGTAGTGCGCGCGAGTATACGTCGACCGTCGACACTGCTTGATAGCTGTATGGTAGGTGCGCACGAGCCACAAGAGTCGGCTTGCGGCGGCGCATCCAGTCTAGTACCCTCATCGTCTGTGCTTAGTGTACACACCGGTGCGCGGATTTTCCGCCGAGAGCTAATTGCATTTCGCTTAAAATCTTGCGACTTATTTCGTGAGGATTTGGTGATCGTCCGAGTGACATCGTCGCTGCGCCGAGTCGCCGCCTCAGTAAAAAAAACTCGCACGTCCGTCACTGCATCGCGAGCTCGTTTGCGGCATTTTTTGCTGGCTGCAACGAAACCAGATACCGTATTGGCGTACATGGAAGCAGCGCGTATATATAGATATATGCGCGCGCGAAGCATATAACTGTTTCCCGTGCATCAAAGTGGCGCGTCGTCGGCAGCTCCTAGAGCGCGCGCGGACTCTCGTCGTCGTGTGTTGGCGGGGCTCAGTTTAGGAGTAGGAAAAGTGGCTCCATTGCTCGCGGATTCGCCTGCACGTGTTAACCGCGAAACAGACTAACTCGCCATACTGTCGGGCAACGCTGATTGTATATGTACATACAATCCTTTTGTGAGAGACTATCGTGACTTTGACTGTTGTGTGCGCACACATATTATATACACATGTATATATAAGCTTGACCGGCGAATTTGTGCGGGACGCGCGTTATGCTCATTTAGCGCGCGCTGAGCTTGCGATAACGAGTCGAACCTACGATTCTTGCCACCGCCGTACCAAGAAACATGTTCTCGGAATCCAAGTAATTAAAAAGTGCTACGAGCTTGATTGATCAATTAATGCTAGTCTCGTTGGTGAATCTATTCAGCTTAGGCGTATGTAACATACGCATCAAAGACGTATACAACAGTCGCGGCAAGTGGCTGCGATTCCGCGCGCTATTTTCGTGCTCTGCTACTAAATACTGCTATCGCGTGCTGGGGCAGAAGGCCGCACGCCAGAGTTAGGTTAGCTGCATCCCAAGTGCCGCTACTGGCCGGAGTGTGGACGACGCTTTCAAAAAACATGCTCAGTATCGCCCAAGCAGTTCATCCCGAAAGTCAAGGTTCGACACCAGGTCAACGTTCGGCCTTGCGTAAGTAAATGCGCTCGCTTGCTATTCCTATTCAAGCATCCCTCAAACAAGCTCTGCTTGCTCTATACACGTTTATTGCTAGCATGTCATGTAATTTAACAAGTGGCTATGTTGACTTTCTAGCCCGTTCTTGGTCACCGTCGCCGGAAAGAAAAAATGCCGCAAAGCGCCAGAAAACATCAGAATCCGACAACTGCGCCTCCACGGAAGACAATTATTCGTTTAAAAAAATTTCAGAATTCAACTATAACAACCCAGAAATCACTTTGACAGTAATACCCAAGAATTTATCTGTTTCTCGAAAACAAGAAGACAAAATGGTTGCAGAGGAATACGTAAATACTTTACCAGAAAATGTACCACCCGTAGTTATGTCATTCTTTGAAAAATCTAATGAGATTCAACTTACCAAAGTTGACTCAAAACCCTGTGTTAGGTTTATTAAACAGGTTGACTCTAACGAGCAATATGATAAAGATTCTGAGTCTGTTGAAAGCACAGAATCCACAGATGTAATATACAATAGAAAAGAACTAAATGAAGTAACGATTGAGCCTATAGCTGCTAAAATTGCTAAAGCTGAGAAACTGTTGCAAAAAAAAGAACCGAATCCTATCATAGAGAGCTTGGGTCTTCTTCCTACAAACAAACAAAGCCAACCACAAATTGTTGAAGAACCTTTTGAAACTAAAATTGAAGAAATACCTACAGATAATTTCATAACTGATGAGCCAGAAATCGAAGCAATAACTTGTTTGAAATCAAATGGCTCAATATTTGATGAAGAACCAGAAAATCAACCAGCTTTGGCCCTTGTACAATATGATCCATTTATGAACGTTGGAATGTTTTGTGATGAGTTTTACATTGCTGATGATAAGCCACACTATGCTACAGGCTTTCCTAATCCACCTGGAGAAAATCGTTGTTGGATTAATTCGATGTTGCAAGTTTTTTTTGCCTTACCGATAATGGAAGAGTTACAACATTTGCATGCACTAAGAAAATCAAAACTAATTTCTTTATTATTTGATATACATACATGCTGGGTGAAGAGTTCCACTGACACCAATCAATTTGATCAAACTTTTCGCGCATTCAAAGATGAAACAATAGTACTTGATAAATTTTACCCATCTAAAATACAGCAAGATGTATCAGAATTTTATATGAATTTAGTGAATCACATGAAAGGAGAATATAAATCCTTAATTTCTCAAGAATCAAAACATGAAATTGAAAATATACCAAATAATGATCAAGATGCTCTTCGAAGGATGCAGAATAATTGTCAAGATTTCAACAAGAGACTTCCATTAGCAGATATTTCAGATTCTCCTCGTAAGCTAAGAAATCATCAACAATCTAATTCAAGTCAACAAGATAAAACTGATTTAAGTTCTAAAATTTCATCAAATTTGTTTGATGAGCATTTTTTATTAGATATGACAGAAAATTATGTCTGTGAAGGTTGCAAAAAACAAAGACAACGAAAAGCAGACAATTTAGTGCTGTTAATTGATTTACCTCATGAAAATGAAAATAATCCGGTTCCTTTAGCTGATATAATCAACAAGTCATATGCTTTGGAACATAGATCAATGTCATGTGAGTCATGCAATCATGATACACATAGTATGCAAGTTAAACTAAAAGAAATTCCCAAATTACTTACAATTCAAATTAAGCGATATGATATGGCACCAGAAGGAGTAACTAAGAATGTCACATTAATTGATGTTCCAAGAGTGCTTGAACTTGATTCTTTAATTATGTAAGTATCCATACAATTGCACTAATATTAAATAAACATATGAACATTTGATATTCATATTTCATTTTTATTTTTTAGCTACAATTCTGAAGAATTTGCCGAATGCCCTACATATGAGGCAGTTGGTATAATATCTCACATTGGAGATAACGTGGATTCAGGACATTACATTAGTTTTGTTCGACACGAATCTAATTGGTTTTACTATGATGACAGCAATGTGAAAATTTTGACAGAAGAAGAAGTATTCAAACTTATACAAAACAATGCATATGTTGTTTTCTACAAAGTAGCTGATCTGGATCAAGAAATAATCGAAGAATCATTGGATATCAAAGATGTCAAAGAATGTGATGATTGTTAACATTAAAAAAATATAACCTTGATAAGGGTTTGTTTTTGGAAAGAAGACATATATGTATATCATAATATAATAGTGTATATCATTTATGTTTAATGATCTGATATGAATGATACAAATGATTTATTTGTTTTTTTATCTACGATAACTCTATTTTCTTATTTGTCTCAGGCATAAGATTACTGCGTTTCAGAGATCAGATAACACTAGATTTTTATGTGACAAAATTAGAATTTTTTCAGAAGAAACTTAAATTTAATATTTGATTCATAATGTAATTATGTAAGTAACTAAATAAGATTAATTAGGAAAATTACAAGTTCTGTACTAGTATCCATTTGCGATTTCTAAAACAATAATATGTGTATTTCGAGTCAAATTTAGTTATACTTTTTGTATAAAATAGTTTTCTTAAACTTTTTTATAATGTCGATTTGATGAAATAATGAAATAACGATTTTCTTGAAAGGCTAATACCAATTTTTGTGCTATTGGAAAAAATCAAGTGTTTTATATAAATTCCACAAGGGACCATATTCCTAGATTTTTAATCGTATTTCGGTGATTAAAATATGCGATTTTTAATGAATTGTTTATAGCCGTCTGTGTACATAAAATTAATGTAAAATAGTGTTATAAATTAATCTTATGTGATCAGTCACATGTGTATCATATATTTCAGTGTGAAGAGAATGGCATTAGATAGAAATTTTATTTGTATAAATGGTGTTAAATAACTAAATGTCAAAACTGCCTAGTGTATGCAGATCTATTTGCACAAGAATCGACGTTAAAAATATCTGTATCTTTAAATGTTAGATTCTATATGGGTGTACCTGAAATTTTCACCAAAAAATTAATGATATCAATGCCGTCTGTTCGTTACAAAGTGTAAGAAATCATATTTATGATTAATTTGAAATAAACTGATTTAGCTACAATTCAGTTTAAATATTTTTCGTTGTATATTCAAAAAACAAGCATTTATGAGAAATAAAAATACACGATGAACGAACTTATTCTATTGTAAATTTTTTTGTCACCATAAATAATCATTCCCTTAGAAATATTCATTTTAAGTAACTTTTTCACAAATTTGACTCGAATGATATATACTGCAAAGTAAAGTTAAAGCCCATCTTTAATTTCGTTACAAATAAGTATACATTTTTCAATTTCTTTACTTTTATATTGAAAAAGTTCATTAGTTGAATTCCTTGCTACTGTAGCCTTAAGTTTTATCTTATTTCAGGAGTTATTATTAGTTCGCAATTCCAGTTTGAATTATTAAAAAATTAGTCAAGTTATCTATTTGGATTGAGGACTTTGTATGAAAATAAAATTACAAATAAGTTTGAGTTTTTTACACAATATATATTAATCAATTATATTGTACAAATTGAGACTTCAAACGTTTTAATTACACAATATATCTATATATGTACAAGTCGTACCAGCGAAAAAAGCTACTTTATAAAAAAACCTAAGCAAAAATACCATGTTATGAAAATTTTTTGCATAAATTTTTTGATCAATTTTGAGTAAACAATATACATTTTATAGATCATTTGTTGTTTACATTAGTCTTTTGATTAGTTTTTGGGGTACTCCGCAAATAATAGTAGAACGATAAAAATTACAGTTTCTTCTCCAGTAGAATATTTCCATGTTCATTCCAGTTGACTGAAAGTAAAAATTATCCTAAATGAAGACATGCTAAACAGACTTTTGAAGATTTTTAACCATTTTTTTCTCAAAATGCATAAAAAATATTTGATTAAATGTCATGAATATGAGTTGCACAATTCACAATGAGTCACGAGATGAAAAGTCACGTGCATTTTGATTAATTACATATTTTATTTTGCTAGTACAGACTTGATCATATTCTGCAACGTATTAAAATAAAAATCTGTCCATTCATTGATTTTTATAATTTATCAATTTACTTTAATGATATGCTATAATTTGTAGGAAGTTAATGAAAATGTTGAGTGAAATTACGGAGTAATCATCAGTTTGGATTAACGAATCATTCAATTTTTTATTAAGTAACTATGATTGGTTTGGTCTATAACAAGTAAATGTAAAGAAATTTACATGTTACATTAATCAACATCTCTCATTTAACATATTAGGAGTAGATTGTTTCAAACATGGTCATTGCTATAAGAAATCAACAGCAAGTAAGATTTTTTGCCACTGCTGAAAATCTTCACTGTGGATTCATATTAAAAAATTATTTTCTATCTGTTATTTACATCATTCAATTAAGGTGATCTATACCTCAGTTCAAAATTCAAAATTTTAAACATGTTCTTTGAAACTTCTACCGAATATTTCTCTAAAGGGCTCTATGAAAACCTTTATTTTTATGTTGTTAAGGTTCCTATAGAGTCCTTTAAGATAATATTAAGTAGAAGTTTCAAAAAACTCTTTTGAAAATAGAATTTTTGACTGTGGTAAGGATCGCCTCAATAAACAAATTTGGAAAATTTAAATCAAATTAACAATTTAAATAATAATTCCTAAAAATTGGCTTCAAGTTTTGTATCAATTATAAAACAATACAGTTAACCCATACTCATTAACCTTTGAGATTTTCATAAATACAATAATTTTATCTTTAAATTTTTTAGACTTTCAAGCAGTAAACAAAAGAAAAAGACTAAAAATAGTAATTGATGGATAACGTCAAATGCAAAACCATGAAACGCTTATGCAACAAAAATAATACATTTCTATGTTTGATCATCACAATTGTTTCAAGAAAATTTGACGTCTTACGTAGTAAATTATATTGGTTGACGTGTATTTTTCTGCGATGCATTTAAATAATTAGAAATGTTATCACGGTATTCATATTGTGAGAACAAAAGATAACAAAAACGATCACTTTCAGAAAAAAAAATGAATTTGATTCAAAACATAAAAGTGACTTTTAATGTATAAATATAGGACACATTTTTCAGTTTATATTAAACAATTTTAATGACTAATCAATAACAACGTAAGGCAATATGTGAAGGTTTTCGCCATTGAAACTTGGTCTTGCAAGCATTTCATGCCACTCTCTGAATTCATAATTATCATATTTTGAATCCGATGGCCTTTTTAAACCAATTGAATTGGTTATTTCATCTTTAGTATCATCAAGCTCAGTTTTGACACACGCGAGTTTTGGTTGCCAATTTCCATTCAAACCTTCAACACACTCTGTATGGTATTTATCAATATCTGCATCTGTTAATTCGCGTGGTGTTGTATTGAGATGAACATAGTAATTGTCTTCATCCCAGTTAATGGTATTTCGATCTAGTGGTGGTAACGTTGGAATGTCGAAAGTTTGTGTATTAGAATTTGAAGAAAAATTGTTTTCAGATTTTTTAGGTCCAACTGAATCCACTGTATCTTCATCAATAGTAATGGTTGGAATCTGTTTGTGCGGTGATTTCGATAAACTTTCTTCATACTTGCAATTAGTTTTACCAAAAGTACCCTCAAACGAATTTTTTATGTTCAACGGATATTTGTCCCCAGCAGTACTTTTTCTTGAATTACTATCTTCTTTTTTGATAGAGCTAACATTATGACTAGTATAAAAATTGGCATTCACATTTGAACCACGCTTCTGTAAGTCTTCAAATAATTCTTGAGTTGTTTTCAGTTTGGTACTACGAGATATGCTAGCCAATTTTTCTTTTACACTATCTTCTAATAAAGGTGTGTTTTTTATAGATTTGCTACCTTTCTTTCTGCCTCGTTTTTTAGCAACGTGAACTTGAGTGTCTAAATTTACAGGTTCTATCAGTTCTGGATTTCTTTCCTTCAGAGTTAAACTAGGCACTTCGTTATTTACACTGCTATCGCCATTGTGACGTAGCTTTTTATTTGATGCTAAATCTGCAGAATCAAAAGAATCCTCTTTCCGTAACCGCTTGTTGGAACTGTGTGTTCGTGGTACAGCCTCTGACAAATGATTTTGACCACTTTGTTGATCCAACTTTGGGACTGAGGAAACATGATTACTTAAACCAGCTGCAATCGTTGGTGGCCTAATTGGAGACTCAACTGGAGAGCGAGACTGGTCACTGTGCAGAGATAGCGCCGGACTCGAAATCTAAAAAACAAAAAGGAAGGAATTAATTAATCGATAAGTTCGTAATAGGTGCAGATGAATTTGAAATGTAAGAAATACAAGGATAAAACAATTGAACTTACTCGAGAGTTGACGGCAGCATTGCGCAAGAGAGGAACAGCTGGACTGTTTGGCTTGAGTCCTTTGAGAGCTGGGCTCTGCGGCTTGAAACCTTTAAACACCGGGCTTTGAGGTTGAAGACCTTTGAAAGCTGGGCTCTGAGGTTGAAGACCTCTAAGAGCTGGACTCTGAGGTTGAAGACCTCTAAGGGCTGGAGTCTGAGAATTCAATGCTTTAAGCGCCGGGCTCGCAGGCGTAATATTTCTAAATTGACCATTGAGGCCAGCGGGAGCATGTGCGGCATCGGCCACTTGGGCATGTTGTTGTTGCTGCTGTTGCTGATTCACACCGGGCAGCATCTGATCACGCCATTTGCGTACGAGGTTTTTGGCTCGCCTGGCCAATGCCTCGTCTTTGGAATTGCGTCGGAGCTCATTGACGTGTTTGCCGAGCCGGGTGGCTTCCAATACTTCCTTCGTGAGCGTGGTCTTCTCCAAGACCGTGAAAACTTCAATGACGCCTCGCAAATCGACAACCTGAAAAGTAGGCCAGTGACCGCGTAAGTAAATCATCATCGCAAGCATATGTGTGCGCGTTTTGGCAAATCGCGTCGTACATATAGTAGTAGTATATAGGTGTAAGTTTAAGAAAGAACGACGCCTTGCCACGCGTTCTCGTCTCGAGATTCGCGGACACCGAGAAGGCTACATGTATTTATGGTCGGAGCATAGTCGGCGCTGACAAAATCATCGTCCTCGTCGTCGAATGCAAGCGACAAATATCGGGTAGTTTTGGAGCATGCACATGTGTGCAGTTTGATTCATGTTCATGAGATTTTGCACACACACAGGCGCGCGCTAGCACGTCATGCTACGTATGTGTCTGTGTGTGTGTGTGTGTGTTATAATATAGCACGAGAGCAGCTACACACGTAAACGAGGCTGGCACGCGCAGACATTGTCAGTTGGCGACGCGCGAGTAGAGCTGCCGCATGCGCGAATACACAACATGCTACGCTACGTTGTCCCAAGCCCGACACTCGCGTTACTCGGCAGTGGGGTTCGCCCTGCTTCGCGCGCGCCTGTGTATTGCTCATAATGATTGCGTTTAGGTAGTATCCGCGCCAGCAAGTGGCGGTGTGTGTCGGTGCTTTGTCGAGATATACCGCACGTATATAGATATACATAAATATACACACGTATATAGATATATTGCTATATATGCATATGCACGATATATAGGAACGATACATATACAGGCTAACAGTAGGTATGTATACGAGAACGAGCGAACGAACGAACGAAGAACGTCGTCTCGTTCGTATAATGCTCGACGTTATTTCCCGAAGACCGATGCGAATCCGATGTGTGCGCGTGTGTATGAGTATTCTTGCATCGGTGTGTCCGTAGACTCATACGCACGATACGTACGATAATCGTCAATAAGTGTGCGAGGTTTCTGCCTCGGTGTATATTTTTATATACGCATACATATAGGTGTATCTCGTACGTACGTATGATGAAGCTTGGTATTGTACTTACATGATAATCGCTGTCGAGCGATCGCAGGAGCTTTTCGGTAAGCTCGGTGCAGTACTTCTGCATGAGGTCGAGCGGCGTCGGGTAACCGAGGATCGGTCGTTACCCGAAAGCTCGTGCTCGCCGCCTCGGCTGCTGCTGCGGCTGCTCGTCGTGATCGTTGCTGTGGCAGTCGTGTGCCTCCGGGCCTCCTACGAAGAGCAGGCCTGCTGCTCTTCGTCTGGTTCCTAGCAGAGTTGCTGCACTCTGGCAGTCAACTCCTCTCTTTCTCTCTCTCTCTCTCGTACACTTCTTTTTTCTCGGTCAGTCGGTCTCTCTGATAGAAAACCAGTCCAGGAGCAGCTGAAACAACTTGGGGAACAAAATCGACAGGCGATCAGCAGCTGGCCATTTATCCTCCTCGATTCTCTGCAGATTCAACCTTTTTTTCAATATTTTCTTTTTTCATATAATAAGCGTATATCTGTATTTTTCTTTTATAGCTGTGTGAATAGTCTCTCTTTATATTACACGTTTGTACACATATATATGCTGATGGTCAATGTATATGTATATACATCAATGCATATGTGGTCTATGGGTAAGGTGTATATATTATATGTATGTATAAAGTGCAGTGGCTCGCTCTCTATGTAGCTTAGCCTTGCTATCTCGCTCTCTCTCTCTCTCTTTCTCTCTCTCTTGCGCTTTGCAATTTCTCTCTCTCTCTCTCTTTTTCTCTCTCTTTCTCGCTCTCTCGTGTATGTATGTCGGTGCCAATGCGGCGGCGGCTTCGCTCGCAGTGCTGCAGGACGTGCGCGTAGCGGCTCACTCTCTGGCCTGCGTTACTCGTCTACCAGACGGCTGCGTGCGCGCTTCACGGCAATGACACACAAGGCGCAGCACCAACTGTACAGACTACTATATGTATATATTGTTTGCCGTCAAGCTTGGTAATGTACGAAGGAGATATACGACGCGTCCGCTCAGCGGGGCTGCAATGGCGAGACTAACACGGAGCTACGTTCGCGAGCCCTCCCTGCCTCCCGAGTGCCGTGAAGCAGCGGCCGCAGCACCGAGGCGAGCCCCACGCCGGCGCCAAACGCCGAGAGCCTCGACCGTGGCGCCGCGTCTCGCGCACCCGCTGCTTTGCAACGCCATCTCTGACACCCAGACTCGACCTTGCCGCCGCTTGCTTATTTTCACGATTTTGCCCTTTCGGCATCCCAGAAAATCCGCCAAACATCCTCGACTGACTTCTTCTTAAGCTTATTCAACCTTTGAAACAATGCGCTCAACCTGCTACTCGAAAATTCTCAATAAAACTCCATAAGCCACGCTGCAGCGATGATCCCGAGATCGAAACTTCCGCGTTCTCAAATCGGACAAATGAACTATTTGCGCGCACGCGTAACAGAGACGCACCAACGCTTGCGCGATTAATCAACACATGCATCGCTGGCGTTTCTCCTTCTCCATTTTCTCAGTAGACTAATGAAACTTATATTAACGGGATATAGGGTTCCAAAGCGACCATACTCAATGATCCGCTGGAAAGTATAATCCTACACCTACCACAAACACGTGGCTTCGCTAGAAACAGCACCGGCCGTATTGTTCTACGGCTTATTTATTTATTCATCGATAGCTTTTTTTTATTGCTATTCGAATATTTTTGACGTAAAATTCTTAAGCGCTAAATTTGATACGACTTAAAATAATTTTCAAATCAATGATTTAATAAGATTGATAGGATAACTGTCCAATGTTAATTTTCTCTTACAAAATGATTGTTGGGAAAATATTTATCATCCTTTTTTTCACAAATTTTCATGATCGAGAAATATCTAGTCTAGTAATTATTAAATGCTCATGACATTGAAAAAGTTTCAATGTAATAATTAGTGATATATTTATTCCACTATGTCATTGGCTACTTACAAAACAATAAAATTTATTCTATGAATGAAACCTTCTTGAAAACGCTCTCGATCAAATTTTTTACAAACAATTTTGTTTGTAAAAAAAAGTTTCAACTTATGTACAGAAAAGTTAGTTTTAAGTACTAACATGAACCACGTGTTACCTTCAGCTTCAAAAATTCTTTAAACCGCATGTCTCCCGCGAAGCACACGCACATGGCATGATGGTCGAGAAAATTCATTTCCGAGATATTCAAAGAGCAAGTAGAGAAAATTTTAACGAAAGTTTCAAGAAAATTCTTCCAATCATTAAGAGTTGGCAGCCCGAAAAAATTTAAATTAATTTTGAATTATTTAAACTTTTTCTTTTTAAATTTAAAATTCATAATTTTGGTAACAATTCTAATGAATTTAAAACATTTTGAATCATGAAATTTTGAACAATGTATTGTCAAATTAATAAAATCTCAATTTTAATTTTTTATTACATTACTTATATTTCCATTTCTATTTTTTTATATACAACTGATTTTTTCATCAAAAATCATAGTTTTTTAAATTTTAAATGTGAAATATTTCTTCGTCGTAATATATACAATGATAAATGTAACATATTTTCAAGGTCATCTGTAATCGTCTTTGGTCAATAATTTCTTATATAAACTGCCATTTCCACTATTTTTTACAAAGTTCATGTATTTATACTATATACAATAAATCACTAAAATCAACTCTCACGCACTTACTTGACACTTTGAGTATTAAAAATATCAATACTAAATTAACAACAGAATAAGCACCTTTTTACAACTTTTATTTCATCATACGCTGAAACTTTCTCCACAGCCACATGTGCCTTTTATGTTAGGATTGTTGAATACAAATTCAGAGCTGAGTTTTGTTTCAATAAAATCCATTTCTGTTCCTAACAATGATAATTGAGCTTTTTTATCAATAATCACTCTGACACCATCCTGGACAACTTCTTCATCAAGCTTACTCTTATCAGTAGCATAATTTAACGTGTAACTAAGTCCATTGCAACCTCTTTGCCTGACACCAACTTTTAATCCAATCTATGAATTTAACATTATTAGTTGATTTATTGCTATTTGTACACATTGCGAAATTTGTTGATAATGATTGTAAACGCAAAATACTTCAACTTACGAATTCTGGCTTGTCCTTAAGTATTTCTTTGATCTTTTTCACTGCATTAGATGTCTACAAAGGAAAGTATTATTTTAGTCAATAACAATGCTATCAATAGATTATAGATTATGATAAATTATTTATCGAAAATTACAGTAAAACTAGGATCTAGGTTATGTATCATCAATTATTGTCGTGAATATTATTGTAAGGGATTTTTTTGTCATAGTAAAAATAATGATAAAGGACGAATAATTAAAGAAGAAGAAGAAAACTCACTAAAACCAAAGCTGCTCGAGAGGGGAGAATTTTTCTTCCTTTTACGGCTCGAACTGTAGCGCTCGCTGCGATGCGTGACGCCATTTTTAAAATACCCTGTGAATTGAGAATTTACAATCTGCACGTACACTTCGAAGGCGACAGCAGTATAAGTCGGGTCAGCGGAGCAGTCTACACCACCGACATCTTATGATGGTATGTGTGCACACACTTGCACAAATACATACATATACGTTATATATGACTTCATATATAATGCCTGTACTGTTCTGCTGCATATATATCAACATGTATTCGCGCTCATTATGCACAATCATCGAGGTTTTTTTCTACGTCTGAACGAATAATAAATACTATTTCGATGCATTTGGGATTGCTTGTTATCGTAAGAACAGCAATGCAAAAAAAAAAACAAATTACAAATGGGCAAATATTTTAACCTCGTCCATGAAGATGCAATAACTGCATTGCACAAATTTGTGACAGTTAAGTTTGAAGTTGCAACTTTTAAAAAGTCACCAAAGACTATTAAAAACATCATTTGACAAGCGTTTAATCAATTTTGAAACATTTGATTTTGATCTTTGTGATTACCCGAACCGAATAAAATTGAAAGTTCGCTAAAGTAATGATACAAGGAACAAATATTTAAAAGCTTCTTAATTATGAACAAACAGTATGTTATTTTGATGATATTAATTTAAAAAATTTGGATAAATGAATATAGTTAGTAGTTATTATGATACAATAGATCTGATAAATATTAATAACAACACTCATTTCTATAAGTAAACAAGTTTGATTTTAAAACTTTGAATAGGGTAAAAAAACATCTATACTGCAATTACAAAGCAATTACATTGTCTTAGTGGTGTGTATATATATAAGTACATAGTGCATAATAAAACAGCAGCATATGAACTTGTATTAATTTTATATTTATAAGTAGCAGTTTTGTATACATACACGATGAGAATGCAAAACATTTATATATGTACATATTTACAATCCTTAAAAATCATAATTTAAATACAAACAAAATATTGTGCTAAATTTCGTCAGTGATACAACAGCACAACCATTTTCAAATGTACTTATATGATGTTGCATTCTCATTATAATAGCTACCGGCATAGATATTAGATGCACATCTGTTTCAACCAAATTGCTTATTTTTTTACATTTTAATTTGTTTTTTGTTAAAAAGAAATAAATTTTCTATGAAACAACAAAATATTTGTTTCTAGGTCTCACATGAAAGATCTTAAGTTTTCTTAAAGCTTAAACTTCAAATAAAAGATTATTCAGAGTTTTGGTAATTATGTTGTAATTTGCCAATGAATTGGCGACATAATAAAGGTATAGCAAACCCAGACTATTTATAACAATAAAATTATTTTGTCTGCAAGAAGTACCTTGATTATGTCGCAAGTGTCATAAAAAATAATTAATCATCAAGATTTTGAGCTAACAAAAAGTTAGCAGCAAGGTTTTCATTTTTTTCACATGCAAAATATGCTTGAACAACTAAATCTTCTGGGAATCCAAGGGCTTTCAATCGTTCAATAGCTTCTTTATCTTGAGGAGTTATGTTAATCAGCGCTCCACTTCCAGTACCACTTCCAGCTGTAATATTGCTTCCTCCAGTGCCACCACCACTAGCTGCTTCGGCTAAATTACAAATAAAATATAGCGTTAAATTAATTCAATCGAGCAAGATATTTACAATGTCTCGTACTTACCACCAGAAGGTGCTTCATTGAGCATTCGAACAAATGCTTCTTGATTCTGTGATATTAGCTGAAGAAGTGCTGGGTTCGTTTGTCCGATTTGTTGTAGCACAGGGTTAAGTAATTGTGGATTTTGTTGGATAACACCTCTCATTTGATGAAATTGTGGTTGACTGCGTAGAAAAGCAAGAGGATCTTGACCTTCTTGAAGAGTATCAGCTGCAGGAGCATCAGCAGGAGCAGCAGGATCTTCTGGAGGATCCGCAAAAATCTGAGGTGGTATTCCTGTTAGTAAATATTCAACTGCCCTGTCCGGATTGTTGAAGCTAGCCCTTAGTGCTTGTTCTACTTGATCCCGCTCATATCTTGCATACAAATTTATAACATTATCCAGTTAAATTAATTTAATCAGAAAATTAAGAAAGCTCATTTTTTTCATTTTTCATGAAACTTTACAGTTATGAAAAAATTCTGCCATATTGGTACATACCCCATGTCCATGATATTATTGACCATTGTATTATAATCATCTCCTACGAGTAATGCACTTTCAGGTTGATTTGTTCTTTCAGCCCTTGCAGTAGGTACTGCTGGGTTACTTTCAGTCGGTCTGGTTGATTGAGTTGTAGGCTGGGCAACTGTTGCTGAACTGAATGAAAAATATGAATTCAAATATATTATGGTTACAATTACATACAATTCAATAATAAAACTACCTAGCAGGAGTTTCAGTGGTTGGAGTAGTCGTTACAGTCGTGGTTTGTTCACTACTACTTTCAGAGCTTTTATCGTCACTAGAGGTACTGGCAGTAGTTGCTGGTGTAGTTTTTGGGGCAGATACCATAACTACAATAAACTTTTTCTCATCGATGTTATAATCCTTCAATGGTTGGTCATCGACTAAGATTTTGCCTATAATTAAACAATAAAAGCATTACAAAGATTACTCTAACCTATCAAGAGGCAAGAGAAAAAGAATGAGTTGCATATATGAGGTCTTCAAAGATAGAATACAAAGGAACAAAAATAAGATATTGAAAAAAAAAAGATAAAAAACTATTGTCACAAATAAAGTTATTACCAAACATCAAGGACAATAGAGTAGGTATCACAATGAAAAAAGGAAAAAATTGTAAAATATGAATGAGCAAGGCGGCAGGCGAAAAAGGTTATGTTGATGAAGTTTGAAATGAATTACCGGCGTAAATAAGCTTTTGATGTAGAGCTGGCATACTCTGCTGTGCTTCGATCACATCTTTGAGGTCTTTCACCTAAAAATAAAGAGTCCCAACATTAATTATTTACAATCGTAAATATGGTTAACCAACATTTTTAATGAAAATAGGGCCTTATAGGTGGTACGACATATGAATTTTAATTACCGTTTTCGACGCGTCGATCTCGACGGTAAATGTCTTTTGCTGAAGATTTTTTAATGTGAGCTGCATATTGATGATTTCAATTAATATCTACGGCTTAAATGATAGATGTTGATTAAAGCGATCCACTGCTCGTTTAATGTGTGTGTAGAGAGAGAATCTTGCGTGTGCGAGTATAACAGGGCGGATTGAGGCAACGAACAGCACACCGTGTATATATACAGTGTTTTTGGCGTGCTCGATTTCCAAGAGCCAACAACTGCTAGTGCCCGAGAGTCGAGAGTCGAGGCAGAAACAACTTGGAAGAAAGCATGCGCAGTTTTCGTTCCGAATTTTCAAATTTTACCAACTTTTACAATTTCTACAGCAGAAATTCGTAACGTTAAGTTCGTTTAGTTATTCATTATTTTAAAAGAAATATGTAGATATAAACATTTTTTATTCGATTAAAATCTCATTTTGTTTATAATATTTGTGAAATAAATCTAACTGTAGGCATCAAATTAGAAAAAATCATTCAATTTTATTATTTCAGTTGTAGTGGATAAGTTTCGAAAAATATAATTTTTAGATATTTTATGTATGATTATGTATGAATGTATATTGAAGCTTATAATTCAAGTTAATTGGCAATTTGATAAATCATGTCCTTAAAACGTTTTTTATTCTAGAATTTCTCTCGAATCAAATTCAAGTTCAACGATAATTTTTTTTCAAGAACTTAACAATGAAACAAAATTATGCTAATGAAATGGATACACCGTAAAAAAACATGGGATGATGATTAAATCGGAAAGACAAACAAAAAAAGTACAAGTATTGCCTTTTCTCGAATCAGAGACCTGATCCAAAATTGATTGTTGTGTCATTGTAGAGGTCGCTGGTGAGGAATGCACGAATAAAGTTAAATGACAGAGTTATTGACTATAGATATCATGTGTGTATGTATATTTCCCCTTCCACAAGAAACTATCGTATAGCAGTAAGGTTGTGCACTGTTTACTGTTTGATATTTACATTTGAAGCGCATAATTTAATTTATTTTATTGCATTATTGATTTAAGAAAGAAGTCGAGTTTTTTACATCACAATCTAGTCGTTTTAAACATAAAGTTGCACAGAAAAAAGATCGTTAAAAGTGAGTAATTGACGAACAGTTTGTTGTGCAGATGAAAAATTGGTATTTTTTCTTATTATTAATTTGAAACCAATATAGGTTGAATTAAACACAATGGTTGACCTACTTCATCAACTTTCCTCAGAAAATGAGCAAGTATTTTCTCAAGCTTTGCAAAAGTTTGTCAATGACGTATGTACTTGAACACCTTAAATTGAATATTATATTTTTCATATTAAATTAAAGAATCAGGAATTTGTATTATTTTTATAGTATGCTGATACAATGAAATTAGATTTTCTTAATGAGAATGATCTTAGAACAAAAATATGGGATGCTCTATTTATTCATTTACTAAATAAAGATCAGGAATTCCATATAACTACTTGCTTACGTGCATTAAGAATCTTAAGGTGTGAGAAAGTAATTTCTTTTAATAACTTCCATATTTTCTTAGTATTATCATCTAAATTTTATTTGTAACAAATTTATAGTCGAGACAAAACAGATATGAATAAAATAATTACCAATGATCGTTTAAAAAGGATTCTATATTTATCTGGTCTGGATGAAAAATGTGATGAATACATTTATAATGATGGTAAGTTTTTCATATTTTAATTAATATTTTTTAATTTAATTTAAAAAAAATCTTATTTTGTAAATTTTCTGTTGCATTATCTAGTTACACAAGAAGCTCAGAAATTGTTGTGCAATATTCTATTTAATTGTCCTGACACACTCAACATGCTGCGTGAAACAAAATGTTTAGATGTTGTGTTTGATAGAATAAAAAAATACAATAAAAATGTGAGCCACGAAACAAAATTATTTGATATGAGGATAGTATTTCTAGCAACTGCTATAAATCATGACTTTAGAGATTATGTTCAAGATCAGTTAAGAGGAGATCGGCTATTGATTGAAGTCATAGATAATATTTCAGCCGAAACTAATGAATTCAAAACAATCAAGGTATTGTAATCTATTCTCAAAGACCAAGTTTTAGTTATTAATGCTTGTTAAAGGAATATTGAACAAGCATTATGATGAATTTTATTATAATTTCCACTTAAAAATTGTTAAAGATGTTTTGGATTGTAACCAATTTGAAATTACTCAAAAACATTCAGAACAATATTTAATGTAAATTACTAAAAATATTTTTAATAAATAATTGTCAATATGTGAGCATAAATTTTCTGTACATTCAAAAATGTATTAATAACTGGAATGAACTTTCTAGATGGAGGACGAAAAGTTGATCTGTGAAACTTTAAAAGTGCTCTTTAATCTTTTCATGCAGTCACAATTTAATGATGAAGATTCAGATATGCATTTTCAAATGGTTATGTGCCTAAGAAAGTTACTCACAAGCAATAAAGGAAGTTCTGACGATTTGGATAGGTATTCTGTTTTTAATAAGTTCTATTAGTGAAGTTCTGAAAATTTTTAAATAATAATAAATACTCTTTCAGCAATATTGTAAACTTGCTACTCATAATTCCACACAAATTCTATTCTAAATTGATTTCAATCAATTCAGATACTCAGCAAAATGCCATTTTTGTACATGATGCCGATATGACTATTGTACAGTTGTTAATAGATTTTCTACATATTAAATTGAATATTGAAACTAATTTGGCTGAAAATTTATCACCAATATTGTCCCTTTTTATAAAATTTTGTAAGGCAGAACGATTAGTTCGTAAGTATGTAAGAATCCAGGTATGTATATATCAATATTGTTTACGAAGAATATAGGCAGAAATAACTACATTCAATTTTGTTATTTACAGATTCTTCCTCCTTTGAAAGATGTCAAAAATAGACCGGAAGAAGGTCCAACTATCAGAAACAAATTATGTAAATTACTTACCTCTCCAGTTACTAATGTCAAGGACTTAGCTGCTGAATTTCTGTTTGTTCTTTGTAAAGAAAAAGGTAAATACATTCATGTCAATTATTCAAGATAACATCAAATTATAAGAATAATATAAATTTTTTATATAATCTAGTCGGTCGAATGATAAAATATACAGGCTACGGAAATGCAGCTGGTATGTTTGCTAACAAAGGATTACTAGGTTCCGATAAGATGACAGTTAACTATTCTTCAGAATCAGAAAATAGTGACACTGAAGAATATGAACAAATGAAAGATCAGTAAGTTTATGATAGAGTTAATTATCATTTAATTTTTAAGTTCAGTTTAACAGAACTTATTACATAAATTAAAAACTTACTTTATACTTCAGGATCAATCCAGTACTAGGATGCTACGAGAAACCAAAGCCTAATCCTTTAGAAAATATGACAGATGAACAAAAAGAGTATGAAGCCATGAAATTAGTTTCTCTTGTTGATCAATTACAGAGGTGATGTAATAACATTATCAAATTTTATTTATTCCATAACTCTTAATAACATTAACAACTTCTTTTTATGTTCCTAAATTCAGAGGAGGCGTGATACAACCGTGCCGCATCGGAGAAGATGGTAAACCTGTACCCATTGAACATGTTTTGGAATTGAAAAAAGAGTTACCCAAGCAACAAATTAATAGCATTCACAATAATTCCGATTCTGAATGATTTTAGCAGTAATTTTGAAAAGTGTTATTATTTCAATTTTTTTGACCAAAAGTACTTGATGTTGTGTATTATTTTGTTATAAAATATCATATATATATTTATGCTTAATATCAGTATTAAAATTTAATATTGTATGTGATGACTTTAAAGTGTGTAAATTTTTTTTTTTTTGAAAATCAAATAAATAATTATGTGTTGATAAACAATACTATTTGTATTACACTTGATTTCTGGGTTAAAAATGAAACTGAAAGGAGGATATTAAATAAAGAGATATTTGTTAAATCTTTGTATTTGCACGCATTTTTATGGTGTATATACAATAATTGTAATTATAATATTATTAATATATTGTTTTCGGTAACTTTCGCATTCTTATAAGCTAGTGAAAAATACGTCGAATGTTTGTACTTTAACTGACTAATAAAGAATAAATAGTAATTATATTCAACTAGTTTAATGTAAATCTAGAAACATCACACCGTTATAAGAACAATAACACGCAAAAATGTATATGTAATTATAAATTACTATTAAGCGTCTTAAAATTAGTATAGATGTGTATAATGTTCCAACTTCTTACAGTTATATATTATATTATACATGTATAATGTATATATATTATATATATATTATTACTGTCTATATAAACTTATTTTTTTGGCACAAAAGTGATAAATCAATGATTTGGTTTACGATTACATTGTATAAGTATATATATTTGTAAATATACAATTTTTGCGTATAAAATTGCTGAATGGACGAAGAAAATTATGAATAAAAACAATTGTTTTTTCGTAAATAAGACTAAAAACTTATTATACGAATCATCAACATTTGTATCAAGAAAATTTTCTCAAGATATAATTTGTTCACACCCTAATGCATTTTATTGTAACATAATAAGTTTTTATGAATAGAATGCACTTTTAAAACCCTCCGTCATTTAGGTAGAACAACATCAAAAACTACTTATTTTATTATACAGATATTACTGATCTTAAATGCTATAGTTTCCTTATTATAAAGTATATGTACATTTTTCATTTCAGTAGTTTAATTTGAGTATTAAAGCGCTCGGATCTTAAAAGCATTTTTCAGTGTATTTAATAATGGCATATACCATTGATTACGATTTTGAAACAAAACAAAGTTTAGATAGGAAAAACAATAATGAGTTCAAGAATAACTTATAGTAACGATAACTTACAATATAAATTAATTACGAAAAGGAACAAGTTAGAAACACATATTTTACAAAACCAAATACCATCCATTGACCAAGTGTGCAAGAGCTGTACATTCTTATATTTTATTTTATTTTATTATTTACTTTTTGGCTTATATAATATCATTAATATTTGCTGGTATTTCCAAGTCTAGTTTCGCTTTTTTATTTATTTTTTACTTTTATTTTTGTATTTTTTTAAAGCATTGTAAAATAATGCATAATAGTAGTTATTGAAAACAAATGTGTCAAATAAATGTTTATTTTCTTGGTTTATTCTTTAATATTCGTTTTTCTGCAAAGTTTTGATTACTGTATATTAATAAGTTTTTTCTTTAATTTGGTTTATGAATCGATGAAAAAAATTTTAATTATATTTAATCATAGAGAAAAATGTTTTTCAATGATACAAAAATTATGTTTCATCGTGTTAGAAACATCGATGAAATAGTTATAAAAGGACAAAATCCTCTTTTTTTTTACGGTATTTTTTATTGATTGAGCATAAGCACTCATTTGAATATTCACAACATAGGAAACCACATCGCTCATAAGTTTTTTGTTTCTAGGAAGACTATGATTAATCGTAGGCTAAATTGTAGCTTATTTTTTTCTTATGCCTACAGATAAAATGATTGTATACTCATAGCTGTAAAAGTGCTTTATTTCATTGCGTTTTATTATTGAATTATTTGATGTTTTTATCCGTTCTTTAGTAAAATATACAAGTGTTTATTTATCTCGTTAGCATTAAGACTCACATTTTAATTGAGGAATGCACGTATGTTTGATATGACGATACTTTTTACCAAACATTAATTTCATACATTTTTTCATCGAGGACGAATAAAAGCTAATCATATCAATCAATCTGCACACCCAATGCAATATATATGTATATATAAAGACACAAAATATGATAAATCGTATTTATTATAAAAAACGATAGAAAATTTAGTTTCAAAGAATAATTCAATAATTTAATACAATGAAATTGTATATAACTCAATGGTGCTTTCATAAATTATTATTGTACTGTCAATAGCTATATTAAAATTTAAATATTTCTGTAAATATTATAGCGTAAGAACGTGTTTCAATATTTCATTTTTTGTATAATTAAGATAGATAACTAACGTTTGCATTTGCGTTACAAAATACAGCAAAGTTTATGATACGCCTGTAAATTCTACATTTTCAAATCTATCTTTGATATTTGAATCAGTAAACAAGATTTTTAAGTAAAAAAAAAAAAAAAACATTTGTAGTATCAATTTAGTTCCAAATTAAGTGCGAAAAATTCTAACGAAACTTAGGTTTTGGTAATGCCCCTCAATGAAGTTATCTTTCTAATACGTTAACTTTTAATAATTTTAGTGCACAAATTTTCATCTGCGTTAATGATATTAGACGCATAACGTTTATTAAATTTTTGCAAATACATAAAAAAATGTTGCACCCTTGCGAGTTTAATTATTTTCAAGTATAAGCAGGTTTTTGAATCTTGTTGCGATCGAAACTGCTATCGTTACTTTTTTTTAAATATGTTACAGTCATATACGAGTTAGAGATTGTAAAAATTATCAAAAAATCTATCACAAGAATTATATATATATATGTGTGTGTGTATATATATATATATATTATTTTTTTTATATTATGTTGTATATAACAATTGATGTTCATACCTGTCTCCTGAAAATGTTCGCGTACGAATATAAATTTTAACACCAAGGCAAATGAAGGTTGAATTTGTTAACAGCAGCCTATAATAGCCAAGTAGTACTTCATAAACTTTTAAAGTCGAGTAAATCTGTACTAAAATATCCAAGTATTTAGACATAAAATTTATTGTTTATATTTGACTGCATAATGTGAGTGAATAATATTAGTGATTTTGTGAATCTATAGTATTATGTTCCAAGTATGTGTGTTGAAACTCGAAAATTCGAATGTCTAAGCGTGTAGTACATATTTTAATGTTTTTTGTCTTTTTTTAATAGAGAACTAGTATTACGTGCACGCGCATAATAAATCCGCATTCATTGTTTAATTTTTTTTTTTTTTTTTGTTACGCTACGCGGTAACAAATTAGAATTATTTATTTATTCGACGGTAATAATATTGTGAATTATGAATACGTCCTGCTGCAGCAAAAATGTTAGTTCGTTATCATCATACAAGTATCAGGTTGAATTTAACAATATTTTGATGTTTTGAAAGTTTTTCTTTAAAAAATTGTCAACTCAAATCTCTGTTAACGTATACGTCAGCTCGTGGGTTATTTAAATAGGTATCATAAAATCGGTAGGAATATATTTGGAAAAGCTTTAAATGCCAAAAAATACATTAAAAATGTCAACAGTGATGTTTCTATAAAATATCAAGTACGATAAATTTCTATCAAAGTCACAAATCGATATTCGAAGAGCATGAATAAGATAATCCATTTCCTTTTTTTTTCAAGTCTAAATATTTGAACTCGATTGACCAAAGTGAAAAGAGGTAAAAAATTCGACTAGAAACGCTCGACATTTTTTTCAACTGCAAAAGCAAAAATCGCTTGAGGAAAAAATCGAGATTTCAGAATAAATAGACTTTCAAAATTCATTATTTCGCATATACATTTGAAATGCTGTTTTATACTTATTAAAGTAATATTTTTCTTTTGATGATTTTGCCATAGATATTATTAATAAAATAAAACAATATAATTTTCATTGATAAACACTTAATATTTAACATGTTCAATCTTGCACCAAAGTGTAAATAATCATTCTTTTTTCAACTGTTTTTGGTACTTAAAATGAATTACAAATGGCTTTTATAAGAGCTCCAAGTAATTCAATTCCTTTTTTTAATTTCAATTTTTTCACATTACTTTAATTCATTATTAATCTAGTAACAATACCAGAGATTTCAAAGACACAACTTATTCTGACGTTTTTATTATCACAGGCAACGTTCAATGTAATTCTACTAAATATGACTACAACATACGTGCTTGGAATTTTTTGTTTCATATTTCATTCTTGTTTTCTATATTCAATACAAAAGTTGAGAGTTTAGGGAGTAGGGTCACTTGGTTAATTAATTCACATCCTAACCAGTTTGCGTTAGTATGAACAAGATTTTACACAAAAATGTACTTATTACTGGAAATTCTCAATAAAGTTTAATAATCGCGCATAGAAAAAATGCTTTTATCATTTCGTACTTTTCCAGATACATTAAAGGTGTTAAACGAAATGCTAATTTGATTCACATGATAATTTAGCGTGTATTGATGTGTAAATGTATACAAAAACAAGCTCAACATTCGCATTTAATATTACTGTGCAATATCTACGCGCTTGATAAGATTTTAAATTTTCATAAAATCATAGAAGATATGCTCCTCAAACTTTTTTTAATATTCAATATAATTTGTTCATTGTCCATACAAAATTTGATCAATGGAATCAAAATTTTTGTGAAGTTTAGTTACATCCTAATAATCTACTTAAAAATATTCTGCATTTTGCTTTTCTAGGTACAAAGTAAAATACATCATGTAAATAGTAAAACTATTGAATTTAGAGCACAGATCTTTTTTTCATTGATAATTTACATGTATATCTGTTACTTTTTAATCGATTGAAAAAATTGTTAAGGCTGGCCATGTAAACACTCCTACAAAATATGTGTACTTTACATGCATTTGTGCATGTGGTTTTGATGAATGTTTTTCGAGTTTTTATGAAATATACCTTTTTTTAATATTTACAGAAAATAAAGAAAATGAATACATTATCCACTTTTTACATTTCAATAGTTGTAAATACTCTAGTGTAAAAGTGACAGATAGATGTCACAGTTATTAGTATTTATATATTTATAGTTCTAATTTTAATCTGGTATATATAAATTTCAAATGGAGTATAAATGGGACCAGTCAATAAAGCTCATTGTGATTTCAATAAGATTAAATGAATAATAAAAGTTATCAAATCTATCTATGAAGGCTTTACAAGTAAGTTATTAGCATTTTATATTAAATACTGTCACACAAATGACAGTGGTATTGATAGTTGTAAATAAATAAAATTTCGATTAAGTATCGTGAAACCTCAATGAAATTGATGAATACATCTATTTCTAGGGATATAGTTTCGTTATTTCCTAAACTAATTCATTGCTTTTTTCTTTTGCAATAGCTCAATTAACAATGAACCTTGAAACTTACTAGGTATATGTTTCGTGAAAAAAAAAGTAATACTTGACTATAGTATGATTAAAATTATTGGTAAACTTATTGAACTGAAAAAATTATTGATTAATTACTGAGTCAATAATAGTCTTAGAATATTTGTATGCTTTATGCATAAAGTCAATTTTAATAATTATAAATAATGGGAATGTTATGTATAATTTATAACATACTTTACTTTTCATTTTCACATAAAACCTTTTGTATTATGAAAAACATTAGAAAACTAACTTACAAAATAGAGATGCATGAAACTTTTTTCGCATTTTTCAAAATAAGTATATATTTTTATATGTATTTACTTTCATGCATTCATTCACACTGTTAAATTTTTCTTAATTCAAAGAACTTTGAAAATCGTGGTATGAGCATTTTTTCAGATTTTATAGCATTTTTCTAAAAAATATATTTATATATAGATTACAAAGTAGAAAAAGGGAATGTATTCATACAAGTGTATGTTGCATGCCTGTATACACACACAAATAAAAGTTCCAAACAATTCGGTTTAAAATTTTGAATAAATAAAAAAAATAAACAACTTATTCAAAATTAAATAATTGTCAATCAAAGTGAGTATTTAAAAATTATTTATATGTTTATGTGTCACAAAAACTTCGAATATTAACATTTTATAGACGAAGATGATTTTAAAATTTAGATTATATCTATATAAGTTTTGAAATAAATAATCTTTATCGTGTTACAATGAAATTCGAACAAATAAAGTGAAGAAAACTTCTTATCTAAACAGCACATATAATTTAAACTTCACGTCTAACAAATAAAATTGAAAAATTTCGAACTTTTTAATGTACATGTATACATATCCATTATTATACAGTGAAGACGTTTTTCTTTGACCATTTTAAGTTTCAAGTTTCCCTATACAGTACTTTATAATGTACTTTGTTATCATTTTAATATACTTTGGATATTGTAATGGCAGCATTGAAAAACTCTATTTGGAATAAAGAGTTGGCATAAAAGCAAAGCTGCTGGTCCAAGACTAGATAAAATTTGATTAACAAATAATTGTAAATACTGATGCTTCAAATACGTGTAAAATTGCTCTTACAGCTGTAAATAATTATATAACCGTAAATATATTGATGTATAAGAGCAATTCTAACATGCAAACAGTATTTTCCAACCTGAATAATTTTCTGAAAAATTGATAAAATAGCTATCAAACAGTTAAAACGAAACTGCCTCTCAACTTTTGAGAAAATTTGCAGATTGAACATTTGGAACATTATAATGAATAGTTAATCAATTAAAAAAATTAACGCAACAATAAACACTTTCGTAATAAATAAACCTAAATGATAAATTTTCATTTTTTTTTTTTTTTTTAATTTTCTGCCTTGCAAAGTAACTTCATTGTTCAACAAAGCCAGCGATAAGACTTATTATTGAACTAAATAATGGAGTTCTGTGCAGATCTTGTGAAACAATCATAGAAAATACTATTCCTATTCTCACCTTTAAACTATGTACAGTGTATTCAGCACAAGCACATGATGATTATTTTTTGCAAGAGTAACAATATACCCTTCTGATGTTATTTTCAATCCACAACATCTTGACACCTACATTCAAAAGAAGCTTTAGAGCAAAAGTTTTTTTTTTAAATAAGCTATTAAGTGCTAAAAAAACTTACTTTTACATAGGGACATTCAAACTCTGAAATTAAGGTACCATCTCTTGAAAACACTGCAACATGAAATCTATTTCCATGAGAATCTCCAATTAAAACATCACCAGCATCACTTATATCTATACCATTTGGGAAATTAGTTATATTTTCACAGCCAATGCGTCGTAAAAATTGACCATCCTCATTAAAAACTACTACACAATGGCCTTTGAAGTCACAGACAAAATATTCTTTACCTGAAATTACATTTAATTAGTTTTCTTTTCCTTGTAAAGTAATGAAAATTCTATTTTAAGAATATATTACCACTAATGGCTATATCACTTGGTTCTCTCATATAGTCACTACAATCAAACCATCGTAGTAAATCTCCAGTATCACTAATTACAAACACTGTTGGAGATACACTGTCAACTGCTACAATATGTCCTTGGCCAGTAACAGCTAAACCAGCTACAATATCAATGTAACGAATTGCTATTTTTTTAATAAAATGGCCATTTTTGGTGAATATTTGCATTCGAGATCTTTCATTGCCTCTATCACAAACCACAAATTTGCCACTGTTTCTCATGACAGCCACTTTACGAGGATACCATAATTGTCCCTCTTCTTTACCCTCAACTCCAAATTGAAACTTGAATATTCCAGTTTTCTCAAAAACCTTCACAATCATAACATAATTAGTTTAATAGTTATTGAAAAAATTATCATATGCCATTGCCTTATTACCTGTATTCTGTGATTATTAGTATCAGCTACAATAATATCTTCATCTGTACCCAAGCAAAATCCATGAGGTGAATTGAATTGACCTTTACTAGGTCCTAATTGACCGAATTTACAACGAATTTGCATGGGCGTCAATTTTGTATTGGATGTTCTATTGTGATTAACAATTGATGAACCAGATATATTGTTGACAGAATTATTAACTACCATCGGCATGTTATGCATAGAATCACCATTTATATCATCTGATGAAATAATGCAATTATGGTATTAAAATTTAGATTCGAGAAATTAATAGAAATGATCAATTTTAAAATTACCAGGTCCTTGAGACAATATTGGAGAAGTAGAAGAAGAAAGTGACTGAAAACCACCATTTAATAAAGAATTATTAGTCAAAGTAGCTAAATTTGGTGCATCAATAACTGGTGAAGGTCCTCGCCCCAGAACAAGATTGCTTCCATTGATTGTCGGAGAGTTCATATCTAACAATTTTATTTAATCAAGTTATTATACATTTTTCAAAAATAGTAGAATTTTAAATAAAATTTACCTTGATTAGCTAAAGAGTTTCCTAGTTTAACTAGAGCTTGTAAATTATTCAAAGCATGACTGGTCGAACTTAGATCGCCAGCAAACAAATCAGCTAAAGTAAATGAAGGAGTTGGACTAGGATTGGTACTCGGGCCTACAACCCCAGATGGATCTTTTGAAATATCTACTTTTTCAGCAAGGCTAGCGAGTTGTTGAAGATTGTATTCTTGAATACTTGTCAAACCATGCATCGAAGTTGGTTGAATAGGCACTGTGACTGGTGGAGGAGGAACATTGGGGCTAGACGTAGGAGGAATGATAAATGATGCATCACCTTCGAAAGATGATTGCATTGATGTAGGGAGAGAAATTGGAGAGCTTGCACTTATTGAACTGGGACAACCAACTGATTGACTAATAAGTGTTGGTGGGAGTTCAGTCATATTGTTTATTGTATCCACAACTGGCTTGGAATTTATGACATTTTCAGTGCAGACTTTTCCAAAAGCTTCCTGCAATGAAAAAAGGAGGAAATTTTTTTTTCATTAGTCAACTTTGAAAATTGTTCAAATTAACGTAAAAAATTATAAAATAATGAACTTACTTGGATTATTTTTTCAAATGAATTATAATCAGTTTGAAATTCAATTGAAGATGTGATTGAAGGCTTTGGCATATTTTTCAATAAATTTGTAAGCTGTTTGCAGACAACTTGTCTCAAAGATAATATCTCAACAGCATCACCATGTTCCAAAAGTCGGTTAGTGAACTCACAAGCAGTTTCAATTTTTTCCACAGTTTTTTCAACACTGTTGTATTTATATGGTTATTGTTAGAAAGTGAAATATGCATAAAAATTATAATTGAAATGAGAGTTTCTATTTGGTTTATGCTGTAGCATAATGAAAGATTCCATGTAAATGCAAATGTTTACATACAAAAACCACCAAACAGACACTTTTTAAAATTTATTTAATTACCTGTGGAAAGAGTCCATTATTTCGAGTTCTCTTTCAGAATGAATTTTTTCAAGATCATTGAGAGCTTTATCACGACATTTCTCAAGAATTGCCTTGTAACTTTGAAATGATTCAACAATCAAATCTTTGGCTTGATCACGTTGAGCTTGCAGTTCACTTAAGGCATTTCCAAGTTGGGAAGAAATTTGATCACAGTCACCAATTCTAGATTTACTTTCATTAACTAAATTGATGAGTTCTTCTTTTTGACGTGGTTCAGCATCTTTTAATCGCTCGTATTGATGGTCAGGTGCTTTATGTTCAATAAGTAAACATTCGTTACATATAGGTTCCTAGAATAGAAAAAAATAGAAAGAAAGTTGAGAAAAAATTGTAAAAAATACTTGCTTAAAATAACAGAATAGTTTCTTACTTGACAAGTGTAACAATAAAATTTAATGTTCTCAGATGAATGATTTTGACAAAATATTGGTTTGTGTATAGGTATAGCTTGATCAGATTTCTTAAGATCATCAAAAGCAATAACTTTGTGGGATTCAAAGCAACGCATAAACTGATGCGCAGTGTTGCAGTTTGGACAGAGAAAATTGGCACAATCGGAACAACGAGCCACAGCATTTTCCATTGCTTTGCAGGATGTGCAAAGCATAGACGTGTTTTTGATGGCAGACATATCAAGGATGTTGGTGAGCACATAGTCACTGGGTAAAGAAGCTGCACCTAATGGCCCAAGCTGAGTTACCTGCTGGCAAATAGGGCAGGCAAGGGCTATAATCTTGGACGAGTGATTCGCCGTATCATTTCTGTTTTCGACGAGCTTGTCTAGACAGGTCTCGCAAAAAACGTGAAGGCAAGACAAAACTCTAGGCGAGGAGAGCTTGTTGGTACAGAGTCCGCACTGGTTGAGCTGCGATACATCCTCGGTGTCGTAGTTCATGTCCTCCAGCGAGTCAACTTGATTACGAGAACTGAAGCTTGCACTTTTCTCGCCGAAACTTTCGGAGCCATCGACATCGTCGCTCTTGCCGGAGCCGCTGTGCGACGTGACGGAAGCGACTGAGTCGGTCCTACTGGACACGGCCAACGTCGTCGATGCCATTTTTCCGCTGCTCTAATTATTTGTCACGACTGCAATTGATCCTGACTTGTGGCAGATATCGTGGTCCTGGGTGAACTGATATAGCTACTCGAAACAGCTGCAACTAGCTGCTGTGCGGCTGCACAAGCATTGACAAAATAGACACAAAATGCGTCAGTATTCACTTACGTATATGTATATATATATATATAAACACGAGTATGTGTATGCGTTTGTACGTGTGTGTACAAAGTGCAGCATTATAAATCAATTATTCAACATGGCAATTGCATGGCAGACCGTCGCGAAAAGAGCTGCCGAGCTGGAAATCTTACTTTCAATGCATCATTAATTAACGTACGATGTTAGCGATAATATTTTCGTAAGTAAAAAGTGCGTCTATACGTAAGTATGTACGATTGCCAAACTTGAGCGCCCGCGATGCGCCAATTGACCCACGATGCTACACTGCCGAGTTACAAGTGAGAATTCGATAGGATAGACCGTTTACTCCCTCAGACATTTGTGCAAATGGCAACGTGCGCTTTAGGCTCACACTTTATAATGAGCCTGTTTTATCCATCAGCAGTGCAGTATTATGTTAGTAACAAAGTCATAGGCGTATACGTCGGGTTTGATATGTACGAGTTGGTGACCATCGTCGCGAAAAATACAGCATAAGTAGCGCGAAACTATGCTTACACGCGATGCATATACATACACATGGCGCGTGTGTAGGTAGTCTATTATGCGGATATTGCGAACTCGAGGAAGATGCGCAAAACTGCAGCATAGACCCACGAGCAAGAGAGACAGAGGGAGGGTGAGAGAGAAAGAGACGGAGAGAGAGAGAGAAATGACGAGCGGGCGAGCGAAAAAGAAAATGACAGACGAACATCGCTGCCAAGATGCCTTCAGATATTTTTTTATTCTCAATTTTTCTCGTTAACTCGATGAATTTTATGAATGCTGTTGGTACATGTAATACGAATGCTGCATTCTATATGTAAGGTTCGAATAAAAAATCGGCACTCCGTGGAAATGGAGGATGTCGGAAAAAAGAGAAGCTCGAGTACAAGTGGAAGACGCGCGCGCGGCTCGGCCAGCTGCATGTAATTCGCACGAATCATGTCTACCTTCGCAGTTCCAATAAATATATCCAAGTTTAAACACACGTATGTACACATACGTACACAGGACAAACATGCATCGAGTATTGTTTTATTATACTCGTATTCGTACGTTATTAATAAAAGTAAAAAAAGTGCAAACAAACCTGCAAAGCGGCGATACGAGTGCGATGTACTCGAACTAGGGGCTGGCTCTCGTTGTTTTCGCTCGAAAAAGTTTCGCCGCGTACTGCTCAACGTATATCCTATGGAATACTGCAGATGCACAACTGACGCATTTGTAGCATTCTATGAACTTATGCTGTAAAATTGCACATGATTTATACGCGATAAGGTTTTAAGGATTTATCAGTGTCTTGCAGTCAAGTCCGAAATCGGTGTTCACTGTTAACACTGCATGGCGTTTACTTGGGTGGAAGAGTAGTGTGCATGTGTGGATGTTCCGCATATACATGCATATATATAAATTTATACATGTATAGATATAGATATATGGATGAAACGATTATATGCACACGTACACGTAAGGGAGGCTAGTACTCGTCGCGCGCGTTAGAGCAGTTCACCTAGCCCGCACCACTCCTCTCTGGCCTCTGCGGTAGCTGCTGCTGCTGCTGCCCTGTAGGCCAGTATACTGCAGACTTTTGCACGATCTATAGATATATGCACAAGTGCGACTGCCAAGTTGGTGCTGCTCCTGCGGCTGTGTGTGTGAATCGATGTAACTATTACGTGTCTGTACTCTGTATATATAACGCAGGCTCGGGCTCGCACAGTTCTGCGAGTTGCGAGCGTCGTCGTCGGACGTCGTCGAATAAGTCTCGAACTAGCCTTATAGCACACGCGCACTTGTTTCTTGTGCGCTGACAAAAACATACATTAGGCGTGTATGCGCGCAGAAAATATATATAACTACCTAATGTGTATTTGTGTACACACGTATGTAATGTACCTTCATATAGCCTGACTTGAGGTTCACAAGCTCGGCAACGTTTATGAGCCGCTATTTCATGTCGGGCTTTTATTTTCTGCAGTCTGTCCAATGCAGTCTAGAGATGTATACGCACTTACTGTAAAATTGTAAAGTTGTTGTACTTGCAGTAGCGTCACCAGTGACCATCCAACTCATTTGCTGAATGCTGACTGACGAGCTTGAGCATTTTTTCATGCGTTGCACTAGTTGTTTATGTTCTGTATGGTTAAATATTCGGTGCACACAGGCAAAATCCTCTCTTTTCCCTCGCCCGATCTCCCCTTCAGTTATTTATTTTAACTGCAAAATGGGTAGAGCTGTGACATTCTACTATGCGGAAATAGCACGGCTTAGATATAGCATCGCACTTACCTGCAATTATGAGTAAGCTGAAAAAATTGAACTTTGATTCTATGACGAATTTCAGAATTCGATTATCAAAAGTCGACTTTTGTTTTAAATACGAACGAAGGTCCTTTTTCGAAATTTTTAACGGATTTAAATTTTCATTAACTTCGTCATCACTGACTTGAAAATGTTAACAAGTGATGATCGAAAAGATGATATTTAATTATTACAAGTTTTCAAAATAACTTTTCAATTTGAATTTCGTATACAATTACGTTCGAAAATGCTTACTCGTACTTATTGAACATGAATTGATAATTTATAAACTTAAAAATACAATTGAAGAAATTGAAAATTAAACATAAATTCTTATGATTTTTTAAAAATTTATTGTCAGTTATTTTATATAAAACAATAAAAAACATTAAAAATAGATTTCAGTACAATCAGTTATACATTGTTAAAAATGAGCGCATCGCTGCCTCTCGTCCATCGTCCTTACGAAGCGTGGACTGGATATTTCTCATCACATTTCATACAATATTTATGTATACGTAAATAATTATATTCTACGGAAATATATTATACAGTGATACCGAAATTATCAAAGTGAGATCAACAATATAAATATTGACTATAATGTGTTGACTTAGATTTATTTCTTCTATGTAGATAAATAGGCTAAAGACACACAGCCCATCTCAGTCTTCTCTTTGCGAATATCAAAAGCGTGACAATACAAACTTAAAATATTTTTATTTCTGGACCATTTAATTTTTCAAGGAAATTTCAGGCACATGAGAATACAAACATATAGACTGCCGAGATTTGAACCTTTTGACGGCCTTCTAAAGGTAACTAAAAGAATCTTCTGTAATACGTATTATCTATATATACAAAGTTCATATCAGAGATCGAGCCTATATACAGGATTTTCGGCAATCCAAAGGTTCAATCCAATATATAACCAGACAAAATCTATTTTTGTTATTAGGCACTAGATATCGTCATCACGATCAGTAGTCACTATCATCTTCATCGCTGTAATCTGTTTCCGCTTCGTTGATGTCTACTTCATTTACGGCTTCATTTTCTTTGTTTTCATAGTCATCTTCAGACATACTACTAAAATCGTCATCATCGTCATATTCTCCAAAAAGAGCGAGCTCATGAGCGTCGAACATACAATTTACCAGCATGTCATTGTTGTGCTCCCGATTATTTGTATACTCAGTACGCGGGCGATCGTCGTTTTCGTCGGAGCTACCTTCCGTGAACGGGCCTTGGTCTCTTTGCTGTGCAGAACCTTCAGAAATACCGTTACCACTTGACGCTGGAACGTGATTTTCCGCCCTGCAGTCATCAAGGGGCCTTTGTTCGAGTTTAGACACTTGAGCTGGAGTAGGCCATCCGTAGTCCGATTCAAGATCCGAGTCTAGATCGGACTCGTAATCCGAAAGATCGTGGTGCTCTTTGCGCTCTTTGCGCGGCGCTGCTGCTGGCTCGGGTTGAGGTGCAGGTAGGACATAATTTTCACCGAATATCCACTTTAGGCACTGAGTATAATTTTTACTTTTTGCAGTACTAATTACCCTCTTACCAACTTTACTGGTAGGTCTGATCTCGAGGTCACATTTCGTCAACAATTTGATCAATCTTTCTCGTTTATCCAACACGGAACGCACTAAGTACCACTCTAAATCTTCTTGTTCACAAATTCCATCTTCGTACATGGTGTCGATGATTGAGTCGTCGTCGATTCCAATTTTAACCATATAAAGTACATTACCCCAATCAGTAAACCGTTGTTTAAATAATCTGTCAGCTTCACTTAAACGCGTTGGATCGATGTCAGTCCTCATTTTTATATCAGTAGAAGTTATTTGTTTTTACTAATTTAAAAATTACACACAGGATTCAAACGTATTTCTTAACCTATATATAGATAGACTATAGATATACTGTAACACGCTGCACTCAAAAACGACCTTCTCTGGAGAAAACTTTCACTCAAAATGATTTTGAATGACCGATGCCGTATTCCAGTGTCGCCGCGTGCTGCATTCGTACTACATGATCGAGAAAGTATTGAACTGAACGTTAGCGGTTAGCCGACAAGACGAGATGGCGCTTCGAGCTATCTGATGCAGTAATTGCTTCGGTTTTTCAAATTAAAAGTCCCTCATTTGAATTCATTAACGCGCATTGCGTCGATTTCGAAATGAAGAAAAATGATTTTCAAGACGAGTTTCATGCGAATGTTCAGACATCATCTCACGATTTTTGGGCGATAAGTCAGAGGCTAAATTTCCATAGCGGTAAACTCGTCGCACCACAGAGGCTACCCATTCTTCTGAATCAAAAGTTAAAATGGTCATTTGATGAATGGAAAGGAGTCAATTTAGATCTTATACAAAACGATTTTCAGTTTTACAAGGCTCGCAGTCAAAGATGCGATATATTTGTTGTCGATTTCGAAAGAATTCAAACGACTATTATTGATCAAGATTCTTTCATCGAAATATAGCATACCTTAGTTCATATAAGAACTTACACATTCGCAAGTATTTTTACTGCTTTTTTGCTGTATAGTACGGCATTTTTATAGTTTATAAACAGGGTAAAAAAGTAATCGAACGTGGGTGTTGCGAACGCCTGTACGGTTGTGTTTCGCGCTCAGCACTCTGAAGTCTGAAGCCACTGAACATCAGTACCATGCGGTACTTCTCACAGTACACAAAATTCGCACTATATTTCGCACACGTTCGCGATGTGTGCGCACGCATCCGTTTATTATTGTTATTATACGCCTTATATGTTGTGAGTATAAGTATGTGTATATCTGTAACGTGACATAAATATAAGCAAACTACTACATGTACACGCATAGTAACATACATGGTATACACTCACACAAGCCCACATCGGGCTTACATTAGCGCGCAGCTGCGAAATTTTAGCAAGCAAGCAGCAGCAGCAGTTGCTCAGTGAGTAGAATCGAGGCATATATAGAGAGTATGACTACTGCTTCTCTCCGTCTTTATCTCTCCAAGTCTCGTATCGATATAGCTCTTGACCAATTTCTTTTGTCCCTTCGTATCTTGACTTTGCGTCCCTTGGATCGCGCGGTCGGCTGAAAAAGGTACGATAAGTATATCGAGCAATTCTACAAGTATTCACGGACGACGAAATTATCATCCAAATAGTGTGCGTGTGTGTGATATTTCAGTCGAGCATATCGCCCTCGTGTCTATGTGTTGTGTATGTGCGCCTTCACCTATGTCAATCTGTAAGAGTGTGCGAGCTGTGAGTGAGTGTTTTGTGTCGTCTCTTTGTATGCATGTGCGAGAATTCGGAGTCGAGCTCGACGTTCAGTGAGTGGATCCACTGGATAACGTCAATATTATGGCCACTATCGGAAAGCTACTTTTATGCAAACCCGAGTTTCTAACGTTGCTCGCTCCCTCGCTTGTTCTCCTTCCTTTTCTTTCTTCTTCTTGTCTGCGACGTCCATATGTATACACATCCGTCTATATACGTAGCGCAGTATGTACATAGCTAAATAGGTATGCCTTCACCTAGCTATATAGATATATGATGTATGTACCTAATCAGCAAGTAATATCGCACATAGTCTATGTGTGTGCGAGAGAGGGCAGATTCTTCGACTTCCTTTTAAATCAGTTCCATGTTAATCCGTCACGATCTTGTAGCTACTATCCAGCGAAATTTTCTTCTTTTCTTACTTGAACCATAACACATAAATAATATCACTGTCATCTACGTCATATTTATTCACTGAGTGAGTAGTTTAATGTAAATATTAGAATCATTTCTTTCAATGACTTCAAGTACCTCATCATCATCGCGTCAGCATTGCTAAAGTTACATCTAATCATAATAACAATTTTTCTAAAACAGATTTTTTTCACTACTTTTATTTATACAGCAGGCTGAAAATATTCAATTGATTGACGTTCATCTGGATCGGACAATATGACGATTTTGTCAAAAAAGAAGCAGCCATCTCAAAAAGATAGACGTAGTGATACTTCGTCTAGTTCAGACGTCGATGGTGTGCAAAGTGATCTTGGTTCCCAGTCTCCAATTTCTATACCAAATTCCTCTTATCAGGTAATCATTAAATATTCATGATTTGAAATTTTTATCAAAAGTATTTTATCCTTCACTCAAATACTTGATACTTTTTAAAGGTACGAGCAGCTAATGGCTTTGCAGTAGACTTACATACTGTACAAGCTGATCACAGTACTAACTCAATTATACATAACAACAATGTTTCATATGAGGTAATTTTTTACGAGTATACCATCAGTTCATTGCTCATAAATTATGTATTCTTATGAAAAAACTTTTTAAATACTTTTAGGCAAATGCAGACTGCAGAGAAGAGAGTCACTTTGAAGAACCCATTAGCTCTGGTATAAATAAACGTCATCGTAGATTATCCAGTCCACACAGGTAAGCTATTAAGAATTTATTTTTATGTTAAACCAAAAATTTTACGCATTAGAAGCCTTTAAGCAAATCACAAAAATTTTTCTAGATCTTGTAGAGTCTCCCGTGCTAAAAGAGAACGTGAAAGAGATAGAGTACGTGGTTCCAGTGTTGACAGTACTGGTGAACTAGAAAGAGAAAGAGAGCATGAAAGGCAGTCCACTCCACCAACTACTCCCAGTAGTTCTTCAACAGGTATGAGCGACCTACAGTAAAAACCTAATAATCAATTTGATTATTAAGTATATCATATTCCTAAAAATAATTTATTTTTTATTATATTTTAAAAGCTGATGATAGTCCTACTTCAAGCTTGATGGCTCTTGCAACAGCTGCATCAGATTTAGAACATGAACATGAACACGAAGTAAATGGTTATAATAGTGGTGATGAATACACTGGTAGAACTGGACCTAATTTAACCCTTGCAGAATGGCAAGAAGTAAGAGACAATTCTAAATTTATTTTACTATGATTATGTATAATTTCAATGTCAACAGTAAATTTATAATTTATAATAATTATTATATAGCGAGACAAATGGTTTGAAAAAAGAATGAAAAAACGAGGGTTTGTTATAAAAAAAATGGGAGAAGATGGAGCTTGCTTGTTCAGAGCCATAGCTGATCAAGTTTATGGTGATCAAGATATGCATAGTGTTGTCAGAAAGCACTGCATGGATTATCTAGTATGTTGCTTTAAAAAAAGAATTGAAGATTATATCAAATTAGTTCTAATCCTATTCTTTTCCTTGATAATAACTTTATTTTAGGATGCAAACCGAGAATTTTTTTCAAACTTTGTTGCTGAAGACTTTTCTACTTATGTTGACAGAAAACGACTAGAAAATGTTCATGGAAATCATATAGAAATGCAAGCAATGTCAGAAATGTATAATCGTAGTATTGAAGTTTTCTGTTATAGCACTGGTATGTTGTCTATTAATTTTATTAAAGTACCATTTAAAATGATTAAGCTTTTTTAACTTTCTTTCGTTTCGTTTTTTTATAGAGCCAATAAATATTTTCCATGGAGTACATAAAACTGATAACGAACCTATCAGATTATCCTATCAAAGAGGAAGTCATTACAATAGTATTGTAGATCCTTACAAGGCGACGGTTGGTGTTGGTCTTGGACTACCTCAATATAGTCCTGGTGCCGCTGATCGAGCATTAGTCTCCGACGCCGTTAGACAAAGCGAAGACTTACACATTGAACAGGTAAACATTAATATTCTGAGTCGCTCTATCTGGCTATTTCAATTAAAATCAATATTTATATCACGCTTATTTTTATTTTATTTATTTATTTATTTTTTTTGAATTTCAGACGATGCTTGAAGATAAAATAAAAGCTACTGACTGGGAAGCTACAAATGAAGCAATTGAAGAACAAGTTGCCAGAGAAAGCTATTTGCAATGGCTACGAGACAATGAAATGAGAAAAGCTGTTGGTTTTCAATTTGTAAAAAATGTTATCATTGAATAATTACTTTGAATAACAATTGATTTAAATTTTTTTCAGAGATCAACAAGTGCTAGTTCTACAAGTACTATAACAAGTTCTCAAAATAGTCATTTTCTAGGAACATCTCAAAGGAGACACACTTCTCCTCCCAAATCAGTCTGTTCCTCTCCAGATACTGCAACAAAAGTAAATTTTCATACATTTATAATATTATCAATTTTGGACTGTTCTAAATTTTATTAAATCATTCTTTAGGGAAGTGATGGTATCAGATACAATAAAAGATCCCCAAAACATCAAATTGCATCAGCACCTCTGTCCACTGTCAATTCATCTTCTGTTTTACAAGAACCTGTTCCTGGCAGCAGCAAAGAAACTAATGCATCGAATGAAATTGCATTTGTTAACCGTCTGCCTCCTGAAGTTTTTGGTACTTTTTAATTATTAACTTGGTAGCTATAAATTACAAAATTACAATGGGAAATAACAATTATTGTTTAAATTTCCAGGTTTAACTGATTGGGAGGACAGTGATATTTTGTCTAAAGTACTTGCCACGTCACAACAAGAATATTTAGACAGTCTGAAACAATCGCGTGCTTCGACGAATAGTGCAGACGATTCAAGCAAAAGCTGAAAATTGTTCGAAATCATTCAATGTTACAAAGAAAAACTCTTGTATATGTACTATACATGCATATATTGATGACGATAATTGTGTGCTTAAAAAAAAGACCACACAAAAATCAATTTGTTTATATAAATGTGCACGTTGCACGGTGACGTGCAGACAAGCTTTAGAAAAAAATCGTAATTAATGAAAATTATAAATTTTATGTTTTGGAAATTGATGCAGTATCAGGGTTTGAATGAAGCGAAATCATTATTAACTTATTTTTCAACGTTATAAAAAAAGTTTTTATTTAATTTTCGAAACTTATGATTAAAATTGTATGATATAATGTACATATACACCTTCTTTCTCTTCTCCTCTCTCTCTTTCTTAAAAGTTAAGATTATTCTTTTAAGTTGCTCAAATTTTATGAATGATCTTTGATCTTATAATGTAGCGGTAATTATAAATTTAGACTTAATCATTATCATAAAAATTATAATAAATTGAAAGCTGTCAATGGCGATAAAAAGTAATTTATTCTTTTTTTTAATAAAATCATATTTACTATACGAAGTAAACAGTTATCTATTCATTTTCTATACCACATTATGAATTAAACTTAAATCTGTGCACGCGAAAGGACAAAAAGATATAATGTTACCGTAATGTATAAGCTATTTAAAATGTAAACAATCAAGAGGCACCTCGAGTGACCGCGAGGCGTCACGAAATCTTGTTTTGTTTACCCATCGTAATTTTATCCTCGCTTGCCAGTGCTCATTGCCATATTATACATACTCGAGAACAAAAAGTGCGAAAAATTATCCCACAATGGAGACAGGCAATTTTGATTTTGAAACTCTCTTGGGCGAAGGAAGTTTTGGGTAAGAAAACGAGAAAATTTAAGAAAAAATTCCATTCCTCATTTTAGTATACTCGAAATTTGACCAATAGTAAGGTTTACCTGGTGAAACGTCGCAAAGATGGAAAGCCTTTCGTCATAAAAGCTCAAGAGCAAAATGCCCAAAACGAAATAATCAATAAGGTAAGGTCACGCATATATTATGTACGGATGTGCAAGGGCGTAAGCTTAGTTTAATTAATCTTATGGGCAATTATACACGAAGATGATCAAGGCAGAAGTCGAGTGCATGCAGATACTGCGCCATCCAAATGTCGTAGCTTATCACGGCGCCTGGAGCGAGTCAAGTAAATTTTTCATCCTCATGGAGTACGCGACCAACGGCACTTTGAAAAATCTCTTGGACAAGCAAAAGAGCCCCTTGACCGAGAACGTGAGTATTATTTGCCGATTATGGAAGCCGATAAATGCCAGCAAACGAGTGAAACATTGGTCGAACAGGACGCCATGTACTTGTTCGCTCAAGTCGTTCTAGGAGTCAATCACATACACTCGAACAATATCTTGCATCGAGATTTGAAGCCGGACAACATCATGCTGACCGGTCGGATGGGCGATATCGTGAAAATCGGCGACTTTGGCCTCTCGAGGGACCTGCAGGAAAGCAACATGAGCCACGCCGGCTCCTACTATTACATAGCCCCGGAGATGCTGCAGAAGAAGCCGTACGACTTCAAAAGCGACATTTGGAGCCTAGGCGTGATCCTTCACGAGATGCTGACGCTCGATTTGGCTTTTCCAGCGACGGTACTTTGATAATAAAAGATATTTTGTATCTATAATATCGTAGCCGAACAATTACCGACGAGTCACACGCTCATTTCAGAGTATGGAAGAAATCATCGAGATGATTTGCCGAAACAAGCCGAGACTCTTTCAGAGGGAACAGCTGGACGTGTCGAAGGAGACGAAAATCGTCGTTTGCAAGATGTTGATCAAGGAGCCGAGTCGCCGGCCGACCACCAAGCAGCTCATTCTCTGCCCGTACCTGCTGCCCTTCGTCGCGAGGGTTTACTTGAATCTCGGCCGGGCTTACTCGGTGCCCGATGAGCTTTTCGATCTCAAGATCTTCCAGCCTTATCTCAAGTCTTGCGATAAATCGAGCGATCAAACAAAAGATTATAATGACAATATTTGTACGTAGTTAATATTATTTATGTTATTTATATGATCGAGGTCGTTATTCGTTGTTGAGCTATTTTCGATTTGTGTATTTTACGGAGTAGTTGAAGCTGGCCTCGCCTCCGCTGGTCTCGCTGAAAATTAACAATACAGAAAGAAACGCGTGATAAATAAATTGCAATGTCAATTGGCTAGAAAAAAAGGCACGAGTGTAATAATTACTTGGACAAGCTTGAGACTGAAATTTAATATCGTCGATGGCGAATCCTCCATTACTAGCGCTTCCCTGCAAAATCAGACGATACGACGATCGTGGCTCTATCGTCACTTGGGCCCACGTCCACAGGGGCTTTGGATTGTTGAAGCCCTTGGCCGTCAGCGACCAAAGCTAAAAATGATTAAATAAATGTTTATTAGCTCCGATGAAAAAGGTGTCGACGAAATTCGACGGACTAGCTGTGTATAACTCACGACTTGCTCGCTATCGTCGAACTCGCCGGAGGGCTCCTGCGAGTCGTTGGCGTCGACGTCGTCGTTCGGCGACATGAGAACGATCTTGAGCTCGGTCGACTCCTCGACGCCGAAGGCCACGAACCAGAAGGTGAAGCAGGAGGGCTGTTGGGCCGCCGACGACTGGACGAGGGGCGACCTGAGCTTGACCTCGCGCCTCTGATTCGGCGAGAAGATGTCGAAGAAGACAAAGTCGCCGGGCGAAGAGAAGGTCTTGTCGAGGAGCTGGGCGGGCCGATGGCTCGGGTAGGCGCGCTGCCACTGGAGCCTCGGGTCGTTCTTGCCGCTCGACGGGCTCGTCTGGTTCTCCCAGCCGCAGAGGCCCTTCTCGAAGCTGCAGTCCTGCGGCCTGACCGAGGCGCTGCTCGGCTTGACGCTGCAGTTGCCCGTGTAGAAGGCGATGTCGTCGATGGCGATGTTGCCGTTGGCCCGGTTGGGGCCCCAGGTGCCCTCGAACACGATGCTGTAGTCGCGCTTCTCGGGGCCGATGGTCACCTGGCCGTACTGCCAGCTGGGGCCCTGATTGTTGTAGAGCTGCCAGAGGGGCAGGGCCGAGTCGATGCCGTCGCCGACGGGCTGCACGAGGACCCTGAGCACGCCCAGGCTCGGTCCGGCCGCGTCGATGAACGACTCGAACATGAGATACCAGAAGCTCAGGCAGAGGGGCTCGCTGTTGCTACGGTGGCTCGACTTGATGTCGCTGCTGACGAGGTAGGCCGAGGCCGAGCTGCCGCCCCGGCTGTTGCTCTGCAGCGACATGAAGTACTCCTGGCGGGGCCTCGTCGTCGTCAGGGTGTGGGGCTTGCGGTGGTGGCGCGAGTTCAGGCTCTGCTGCGAGACGCGCTCCCAGTTGACGCGGTTCCGGCCGCTCGAGTGGTGACTTCCGGCCGACGGGGAGCCAGCCGAGCCGGCGCCGATCGGCAAGGGATCCAACGAGTCGCCGCCACCGCCGCCGCCGACGCTCGACTCTCGCCCGTTGATCCAGTCGCACTCGTCGATCTCGAAGGCGCAATCCCGCGGGTAATGCGCCGGTGCGGCTACTTGCGGCGAAGCTGCGAAGGCGCGCCCCCCAATTAGCTAATTCCGTTGGTCAAGTTTGGTAAGGCAAATATGTTATATCGACTCACTGGGACAAGGTCCGCTGGTGAAGGACACGTCGTCGATGGCGATGTCGCCCATGGCCGTGTTTCCCACGCTGGCCTCGAAGATGAGCTGAAAGTCCTGAGTCGAGGCGACGGTGACGCGCGAGTCGAACCAGGAGTTGCCGGCGTTGCCCTTGAGCCGCCAGATCTCCTGGGCCTGGACGTCGTCGGCGAGGCTTCGCGCGTGCCGCAGGTGTATGCCGAGCTGGCCGATGCCCGAGCCGAACATGTGGAAGGCGAAGTGCATGCACTGGGGCGAGTCGACGGCGCTGGCCGGCAGCACGACGCTGGCCAGCCGGGCCACGTCCCCGGCGCGCCGAGGATACGCCGAGTCGATGTAGGCGTAGCCGCCCCCCGTGCTCGAGTCCGTTCGGTCGGTCACCGGCCCGGTCGTCGGGTTTTTGCTCCCTCGGCTCTGTAATTGTACCTTCCAGTGTATTTTACACGTCTCTTGTGCTATTCGTGCTATTGCATATTCGTGCTTACGATAGACCAGTCAAAGTCGTCCTCGGCTTCGTTGGTCCAGTCGCAGAAGCCACCGGCGAAGTTGCAGAAGCCTACGCAGGACGTGCCCGGTTGCAGGTCGATGTCGTCGATCGCCACGTAGCCCCGGTAAGATCGCGACGGGTCCTTTTCGTCCACGGGTATGGCCTCGATTATCAGCTACAATCAAGGGACTCGAGCACGAATAGAGGAAGGAATCCCTCGGCAATGGGCGAGTATATAAATTTGAGTAAAGTCTAGGGCTCACCGTGTGGGTATCCGGGTAGGTGTAGAGCAGCTGGCCCTGCTGCCAGGTGCCGAGGTCGTGGTAGCGGGCGTTCCAGAGGATGCGCTCGTCGAGGCGCGACTGCCTCGCCGCGGCGACGCTCTGCAGGGGTCCTTGGCTAGTTGTAGCACTGCCGCACGAGTAGACGCCCGGCGGTGCGGTCTCGTTGGCGCCGCTCGACTTGCTTATCGTCGAGCTGAACTCGTCGTAGCCCGAGTGCAGCAGTATCCTCATGCCGGCGGGGCTGAGGCCGTCCATGGCGTACTTGAACATGAGGCAGGTGCCGGCGACGCTCGTGCTGGCCAGCTGGGGACTGTGCAGGAAGCCGCTCTGGCCGACGCTCGAACGCCTCTCCGAGCTCTTGGACGTCTCGACGAAGCCGTAGCCGCTCTCGGGGGTGCCGCTGGTCGAGTCGATCGTCGGCCCGCCCAGCCAGTTGGCCGTCAGCCCGGTGCTGGCCTGCCATTTGACCGAGCCGCAGCCGTCCTGCCACTCGCACAGCGACTGCGACGGCAGCGGGCCAAAGTCGCAGAAGGCCTCGTCGACGCTGACGGTCGGCACGACCAGCGGCAGCCGATGCTGCTGCTCTTGCTGCTGCTGCTGGGGCTGCTCCGCGAGGGCCACGGGCGAGCTCGCGTACTCGATGTCGCTGATCGGCCCCGAGGACGAGTCGTAGATCAGCTTGCTCGAGGCTTTGCTTTTGCCGCTGCTGTTGCTCACGACGAACGACTCGAGCTCCTCCGAGTTCGAGGACGACGAGACGCGCTTCGAGCTCTTCAGCCGCTCCTCCGAGTGCTGCTGCTTCTTGCCTGCAATCAACGCGATCGCTGCGGGATAACTCGAGCATCGAGATCGAATCGCGCGCGCGAGCGCCGCACCGCATCGGTATAAGTGACTTACCGTAGAGCAGCGAGTAGGAGACATCGGCGCCGAAGCGCTTGGGCTTGATGGTCGAGGAGAAGAGGAGCTCGGCCTCGGCGATTATTATCAAGAGGAGCGCCACGATGCCGCACACTTTTCTCGTCATCCTTTCGTTAATTGTCGATGCTGAGGCCCAATTGGATCGTGTCACCAGCGGCGGGCGCGAGAAAATTCATCCTTTCGACGATGTATACGTACGCAGGCGAGACCGGGACACGCGAGAGTGGACTAGTTGCGTCGAGCCGCGGCGGGCCAAAGCCTACCTGCGTACGCGGAGCTGCTTTATACATAATAAAGGGTCAGCGCACGTCAGGCATGAATGCCCTACAATTGTTGTGTGTGTGTGTGTGCGCGTCGCATTACGTGCAGAGCTCTGCGTGCGATAGCCGTGTTGTAGCTATATGTAGCACATAGCCGCGACTACCTCGCATGCATCGGCCGCACACTTGCACTGCGCGCTGCATTTGCAATTATACACGCGTGCGTGTGCTCTCTCTCTCTCTCTCTCGCGTGGGACGAGCCGATTTGCCACACCGGAAATTTCTTTTTCCTTTTTTTATATACCTAGTTCACTTCTAATAATAACGGTTCTTTTTATCGATTTCATCAGCATATACTGACCATAATGTACGTTATACCCTGGGCGATAAATAATACATAACGTGTTTGACTTTATTTTTCCTTTCTTATTGTTCCTTTTTTATTTTATTTTATTTTTTTTTTTTTTACAATCACAAATATGAATATTTTGCCGATTTTTATCAGCCACGCCACTCTCGTATTATGAAGCCAATGATCGTGTGTCTATTGTATTAAGCCGAGTGCGTGCATTTATTTGACGACACATTTTCTTCGACGCTTCAGCTAATATGTACAAGCATACAATATACATTTTTTTTCTTCGTGAATAACAAAATTTCAATCGGGTGCGAATTAATAATTGACGGTAGTCACACTTATAAAAATATATAACAATTGTACAATATATCTTCGACAAGTATCGATCGACATCGCTGCTATGTATAATATTTTAGAGACGCTAACGGGGCTAAGTCGATGCAGTCTTGTTATTGTTTGCTTCAACGACCGATTCCGCTGGCTCGCTCTCGTTACTTTGGGCAATTTCCGTGGCTAATTTTACTTCGTCGCCGTTCGCTAGCTTCGGGTACTTGTCGCTCAGGAGACAGGCGTCTTGAACGTACCTATTGAATATATCACTTTTGTCCAGATAAACATGGTGTCCCGCACCATTGATCACCTGTTGAATCGACGAAAAATTGTTATGATTAAAAATCCATCCAAGATGATAATATCGATCGATTAGATTTTGAAAAATTCACCTGTATATTAACGTAAGAATTAGATCTGATTTGTTTAATGGCCTCTCCGGACGTGTTGTCGATCCAAGATCTGCTGCCGTAAATAAACGTTATAGGTACTGACGAATCTATCTGGTCGATTCTTTTTATCATTGGATTTTTTGCCCATCCAAAGCCTTGCATCATGGCATGGAAGGCGCTCTCTCCACTGCAATAAAAAATTAACAACTTTTAATCTTTCCTGTAATCCACGAACGAATGTTAAAATTCTTAATTTTAAGAAAAACTCACGAAGGCGTTTGTGCGTTGCATTGATGTATGTACTGTGAAATTAAACTAGGCTCCTCCTTGAGAATGGGAGAAAATTTTCTTATAATATCTGGCCTCGTAGTCTCGATCAGCCACTGGCCGAACGGTCCGGCGAATCTCACGGCCCAGAGAGGATTCAGCGGTTGCACTACGTAGGCAATGGCTTTGACCCACAGGGGTATGTTGCGCTTTTGTACGACTTCGCTTGGCTTCTCGGGAAAGCCCCAAGGATCGGCGAGTATCAGGTGTTTTACGTGCTCGGGATGTTTGATGGCGTAGGAGGCCGCCAAAAAGCCACCCATCGAGTGGCCCAGCAATACGAATTTGTCCAATTGGGTTTCTCGCCTCCATGACTCGACCGATCGAACCAGTTGATCCTCGGCTTCTTTGGCGTCGCTGCTGAAATTCGGTCGGCTGCTTCTTCCAAAGCCTGTATGAAATTTACGGATGTTATTATAAATATGCATATATGCGAGACGCATCTCGACCATCCACGGCGGCTGAAATTACCCAGTAAATCGATGGCATAAACCGGCCGATGTTTTGCTAGAGAGTCGAGATTGAAGACCCAAAGTGCGACGCCAGCTCCGAGGCCGTGGAGTAGCACAATCGGAGTTTCCGTGGATTGTTGATTCAACGACAGCGTCCAAATTTTGTCGGAGCTTCCCACGACGGATCCGATGTCGATGTAAGAACCTCTATATGATGTTTTCAAATCTACAATCAAATTGATTAAATACATGAGTATGAATCTGTCGGGTTTTTTACAGGCCTAAAAAAATCACTTCGCACTCACTTACATGACAAAATTTTTCTTTCGACGGTTCTCAACATTGTGGCCGATGATCGGGACCAATTAAACCATCCTCCAAACCAGCTGAAAAATTCGAAAAACGTTGTGCAAACTTTTTTCGGAAGAAAATCAATCGGAATCCCATACATCCTTTGACCGTTCGTTAATTATTTAGAGCTTGTACTTCACGAATGTTAAGAATTAAAATCGTGCAATCAATAACGCGTCTCTCGTTTCACATTTTTTCACACTTGAAATGCCAATCTTGAAAATACATGCTCTGTAAATTTTTCACAACGGATTATAATTCTTTGATAGTGATTATCACATCATTATCTTGTATGAGTCTCAAAAAAATTACAAATGATTCAACATCAACAGGTATGAACTTGAACATTGTATGTAATTATCTAATTATAACGTTCAAGTTTTCCGTGATTATGTAAAATAATTGACATTGGATTCAAGTGTTATTTATTATACTCAAAAATACGCGATGAAAATTAAATTAGAGTTATTTTTATTATTATTTGATATTTAAAAATATATATTGTTTACTAAATGTTTATTTACATATAAATGAAGATGAATAATACTACGATTGATACTATTTTAACATGATAACATGTGAAATATTTCATGTGTCTCTGGTTGACGTTTAATTTGAAACATGCGGTTAAAAATGATGCAACACTTTTTTAACAGTGTCGCGAGTAAACTGAGTATTTGAACAATTTATCGCTTTTAATTGCCAAGCACTTGAAATATACGCTTATTACATAAACAGAGAAGATATTTATAAGTCAAAAGATGCACTTATACCTATGTAAACATATCTTGCAATGTCTTGTAACATTGAATATTTCGACTACGCAATCGCGCAAATTATATATGTCACTTTAAATTAAATTTAAATGAAAAACACACATAAAATCTGTTGTATCTACACACCTGCTTGTTTGCAGCACTGCAATTTCATTACTTTCTGCCATAGATCTGTTTTTTGTCTTCTAACCTTTTTATTATTTATCACGTTTTTCTATAGATCAATGCGCAACGTACAAATCACAATCGAATTCATGAAAATTGTATCAATTTTACTGGCCTACTTGACTCTATCAAACAATCATTGAGAGACACACATTGTACTACGCGTTTGCTATCTGCCAACGAAATCATGTTGACTTCCTGATTTCCGTACGTAATAATGTGTAACTGTCATTTTTCCTATTCCATTGATGACACATAAATTCCCCACAAACACGTATTCGACCGAGTGAGGCGTCAGTTTTGAGGCAAACTCTACATTTGCTCAAATCGGTGCGCTAGTTTGCGTTGCAATGACACCGCGAAATCGTAACGCGCCCTAAATGAGGGAATTTAAAGAGCTCAAAATGCATAAATAAATAAAGTGCTTACTTAACATTGATGAAATTTTTTTATTTTTAACAAGTTCTTTTTTAATACAATTTATGTTACAGATAATAAATTTGTTTAAAAATATAATTTAATGTGATTGAGCAATTTCGGAAAAGAATTCTAAAATATTTTCTATGGTAAATTCCAATGTAACATTACTATCTGGATAGCACCTTTGAATAAGTTTTTCAATGTTGGTGTATTGAGCAATAAATTCACCTTGCATTTCGCGCCAGACAACCTATTAAATACGATAATAATATTCGTTAGTTTCACATACAATTTAATCTGTGCACTAAAGTTAAAAATTACTTGTAATAGATTTTCTTCCTCGCACAAATGCTTCTCCACTTTTTTGTACAAATGCTCGAGTCCTTTTTTAACTTCTCTGGCAGGATATTCTTTCACTACTCTTCTCAGTTCTTGTCTGCTAAAAGCCATTTGATAACTTATTTCCGATTCTTTTACACCAGCTCCAACTTTGGCTTGTACACCGTCGAAAAAGAACTAAGGAGAATGAACAAAATGTTATTATCAACATTGAAACATTAACAATTATAAACTTACATTTAATTTCTCCAAAGGTCTTCCAAAGTAACGTGTCACATAAGCTTTCAAAGCTTCCTGATATTTTTGTTTTGCTTCCTTTCGTTCATGATCCAAAACTGAAATTTTCAACCGCGCCAACGAATCATGTAGGTGGTGGAAATTTTCTACAATTACAAAATGATTATTCGTAGTTCCGATGATTTAAAAAATTCCATCTTTAATATTGCTTACCCATTTTAACAACTTCTGGCGGTGTCTTATGATGTTCCGTACTATGACACACAATTGAATCGAACATGGTATTGATCAATTTTTTATACCACTTTTCTAAATCCACTTTTCTGTCTGAATTTTTGAAGATCATTTCCGCTGTCTGGGCAAAAGTACCGAAATTTTCAACGTAAGGGAGTATTCCGCACTTGTGTTTTCGATTAACTTTTGTATCAAGTATAGATTGCTGTTGAGCTTGCATAAATTTGTCAAAGGCTCGTTTCGCGTGGACGAGAGATGAAGCAAACGTCATGGATAAAAACGATCCTGTATCTTGGGCTGACATAACGTGTTCAGAGAGTCGCACCAAGACGTACAGGCACCAGCTGACAAAAAATTAACAAATTTTATCATTTAATGTGATTGACAACGAATTAAAAATGTTTAGTTAGTCTATAACTTACAAACTATCGATTTTTTCCAAAAATGATATTAAACTATTCAGCTCAGTTTCAAGCGAAGGAAATATAGCAGACATTGTAGCCCTGACTTGCTCATTAACTTGTCTTTCTAATCTCGACAATTGGGTAGAATCTGTTGAACCTGAACTCGTAGTCAGAATATTGCATAAATCATCAACGCCACTATAACCGCTGCTGCAGCTTCCAGTTTCATCTCGAATTGGCTGTTGACTCGTCTGTGAAGAATGTAAATATTAATTCTACAATTTTTTAAAACCAATTTCAATTAGTAAAAAGAAATATTACTTTGGTCGTTGGTGACAAAAACGAGTCCAAGTGTAAAAATTTGACGCAAAAAGCTTGCTCGGCAAGACAAAGAGGCTGCAACTGAGACAAGACATTGTCCAATACTGAATCTAACAATGTGCCTTCTCCTTGGGGTGACCATTGTTCATTTCCCAGTAAACAAAGCGGAGGTGTCAGAGCAGCAAAAGCTTCGATATCTCCTTTAGCATTGGCGCTGTTCCCGGGTTTACTCGATGGATGAGCTTCGGGGAAAAAAAAATCGCTCTATAAGTTAATTACCGCAAATAAAGCTGCTATCAAACGAAATCTATTTACAAGTACTTTGTTGCTGTTGAAAATGGCCGACAATCAAACTATCCTTAGCGTCTTCGAAAAATGTCTTGAAATTACGCTGATAAAGCGTGCTCATAGTTTTTGTATAGACCTTCGTTAATTGAACAAAAGCTTTTGAGTCCAGCACTCGGAGAAGTTTCATGAGTTCGGTGTAGGGCTCTAACTCCTTCTGTATGGACTCGTGTGACGACAAATTGAAATCTTTCTTAGTTCCAGATGCGGAAGAGCTGAAACTTGTCGACATGACGTTCCCAGGGGTCGAGGCGCTTTCCGCGATATCGTTACCCTGACAGTGCAATCAGTATATTTGTGCTGCTATGATTCTATAATCGCATTTTCTTAACTTACCAAATGAATGAAGAGATTGTTCAAGTGTCTAGCTACCAGCAAAGAAAATTTCACCCTGAGTTTGTCCAATTTCTTTCTCTGCTCGGAAACGGCACTGAGTTTGTCCAAGCCCAGCGGCAATTGAAAAGAAACAGCTCTGAGCAATTCGCTTCCAGCTATGGCAAGCTCGTCCTTATGTCCTGGCAGTTCGGCTTCGTTGAGTATTTGTATGTGTTCCGGAGAAATCGTAAGTTGAGTCTGCAACCGAAATTAGTACATTTTTTGATTTATTTCTCAAGTATAATGTGGAGATATGCAAAGTATTTGTTACTCTCTTACAATAACCAGCTCCAATTGTTCCAATAATTGGCGAGCATTCCGATTGGCCAAATGGATAGCTTGATTTTTTTGACCAACTCTCTCCATGGCTTCTCTTATATTTCCTAGGGCCTCGTCGTAAATAATTAACTGAGACTCGACGGTCGTGGCTTCTTCGATTGCTACCTCGATGTCGTTCATCAACTGCGATACTTGCGGCTCAGATGCCAAAACGGATTGTATGTTCTCGCCATCCAGTACTGATAAATCTTTTGACAACGTTTCCATAAAAAGTTCAGCATTGGAAATGGCATAGTAGCAGTTTACCATCAATGATGATAGATCCTTGGTTTCTTTATTGGTCGTTATAGGTTGATATTCCGACGCGGTCATCGGTGATTGTAAAAAATCTGTAATATTTAAGTCGTTTTGATTTGAGTAAAATAGATTTTGATATTTTTCAAAATCAAGAATTCACCTGAATAAACTTACCAGAACTAATTCCATTACTATTGTTGTCAGTAGAAGCAACACTGGACAATTCAGTTGTCATACATTCTTTTGGAATATTTTTAAAATCCGGTCTTTGAGGTAATCCAAATGAAAAGAAATATAAATTACTAATAAAGTTTTGACGCTCTTGAGGATTAGTCGCAGTCCACTTATAAATTTTATCAGCGTGTATTTCAAGATCCATAGAATCTACATTGATTCCATCTACTGTATGAATATCACTAAGAAGCCATGATTGCTTCTTTTTTAGAGCACTTTTTTCACTGCTTCTTTTAACTTGATAGACAACATGAGTCTCTGGAATATCCATTGTCGACACTAGGCACAAGAAACTTGTCTTCTTTTTTTTGTATGCTTTACTAACATGACAAATACTTAATAATTTTTCATCGCTGAGAGAAAATATTTCTCTCTGCAAAGTGTGTCTTGTTGCAGCCATTGTTTATTTTTTTATGAGACTATAGTAAACTAAAGTTTATAGGCACTGAAACAAATTCTCATCAAACACACATCCACAGACAAAAAACTTTTATCAAATTATATACATCCCACTAAATAAAGGTAATAAAATTGTATATAGATTATCAAAAAAGATAGAAGTTATGAAACATTTTCCAAACACTTTGCGAAATGCCACTTTTATGAAGGAAGGGACATTTTTATTCCACTGGTAGCATATTTAAGTATATACTGTAAAAGATTTGGGATAGGACCACCGAGTGTCATCATCACACTAGCCACAGCTGACATCAACAATTGGCCTCTGCTCTGCCGTATACCGTTTATCGCTCGATGTAATTTGACGCGCGAGTGTAAAACGAACTTAAAGTTTGGGCAAATCCACCAGAGGCGCTCGCTATTGCACCAGTTAGACGACGTAGTCTGGTGCATTGTTCCTCGCAAAATTGATTCGGAAAATCAATAAATTTGGTCTCTAACTCATCGAACTTGTTGATAAGGAGCACCTGAACATCGATAAAAATGGCTCTCTCGGCTGTGAGGTACCCAGTGCTGAGAAACCCATCGGTAAAGTATTGCTAATACCATGCCAATAAGTGTTTCCGATGACGATGAGCTACGCGAGATTGTGCGAATAGTCCCATTAGATCTGGCATTAAAGGCCTTATTTAGAAATTTCAAAACTAATCGTTATCCTGAAAATTAGTTAACATATTCTTGCATAATATTACATAATTTTTTTCTCGAGTCTTTATAAAAGAAATTCGTCTATAATGCGAGTAGAGTGAGTTACTTGTCACGCATGTATGTACGCAGCAGTCTGCTACATTCATACAGTATATTTATACGTGTTGTCTGTTATGTAAAACCAGCTCTGTTTTATTGAAATTTTTACATTCCTGGATTTACATTCAACGTAGAGATGATCTCGCGTTTTGCAAATAATCAAGTAATACTCCTTCAATTGTATCATTTAATTAATAAACAGATTTTCTACTTAATGACTTTTACCTAACCTTCGCAATATTTTTTGTTCAGGCGAGGCACTATGCCGTAGCAGCTGCAGCTCAAGCTTCATCGTCCAATGTAAATGTCAAAACTCTCAACAATAAAATTACATTAGCTGCCGTTGAGAGCTGTAGCCCTGCAGCCCAAGTTTCAGTTATTTACAGGTAAACTATTCATTCTTTTTCAATGTCATACAATTTTACTGCTTATTAAGGTTGTATTTGAAACATTTTTATTTATAAAATTACAGAGCAGGTTCTCGAAATGAAACTTATGACACCCAGGGTACTGCACATTTGCTTAGAATATGCACCGGTTTAACTACCAAGCGCTCTTCAGGCTTTGGACTAACAAGAAATATTCAACAACTTGGAGGAGATTTATCTGTCAATGCTGATAGGGAATCGATCTGTTATACTTTGAGAATATCTCGTGATAAATTGTACGAATCTATCTTTAATATTTTTTGATTTTTATTTATTTAATCTAAATAACAAAATTTTTCTAAAGGGAGCCAGCTCTCCAATATTTGGAAGATGCAGCTACTAAACAATTATTCAAACCATGGGAGATTGAGGATGAAACCCCTAGAATAAGATATGAAGTTTCGGCAGTTCCAGCTCCTGCTCGCTTAGTAGAATTGCTTTATAAAGCAGCATACAGAGAGGGATTGGGTTACTCTCTGTACTGTCCAAAACGACATATTGGAAAGATTAGTTCAGAATCTGTGAGTTACATATTATCCAATTTATGCATCCATTCATGAAAGTTTGATCTATGTATGAATGTAAGACAATGGATGATACTTAATTTTGATCATTTAATTACAGTTGAGCCACTTTGTCAACAACCATTACACTGGCTCAAGGTGTGCAGTTGTTTCTACGGGTGTATCTCTCTCAGATATCGAATCGTTTGCATCTGTACTGGAAGTGAATTCTGGAGAGGCAACAGACAAAGCAGCAAAATATCTTGGAGGTGAAGTTCGTAAAGAACGCAATTCTGAATTGGCTAGCGTTGCTTTGGCTGTTGAAGGAGGATCTTTAAAGAACCAAAAGGAAGCTATTGCTTTTGCTGTACTTCAGAAAGTAGCAGGAGAAGGCCCACAAGTTAAATGGGGAGCTTGCAATACTCCTCTTCATAAAGCTTTATGTTCAGCAAGTCATGATCCATTTGCAGCTGTTGCTTTCAATGCAAGCCACAGTGATAGTGGTCTATTTGGATTAATTCTGTCAGCACCTGCTGCGTCTGCAGGAAAAGTAAATTACCTTTTTTTTTACTATAACTTTTTTTTATATAAGGAATAATACATCATTGCTTTAATCTCTATATTCTCAATAATAGCTTACTGAAGCTGCTGCTAAATGGTTAAGAGCTCCTCAATTCACTGATGCTGATGTGGCTCGTGGTAAAGCTGCTTTGAAAGTAGCTGTACTTGAAGCAACCGATAACGAATCTTTGTTACATGAAAATATTGCTCAGCAAGCTGTACATTTTGGAAGCGTAGTAAGCATTGAAACTATTGCTCAAGCCATTGACAGCATCACACCAGCTGATGTTAAAAGTGTAAGTATTATTAACTAATACATTATAAAACTTTTGTTTTGTTGATTTAAATAAATTTCATCATTAAATAGTATGAAAATTTATTTACAATATACTTTAGACATTTTTTTAACAAACATTAATTCATTCTTTTTACATGTGTTAAATAGGCTGCAAACAAGGTTTCCAAAGGAAAATTATCTCTAGCTTCAATTGGCAACATTTCGTCGGTTCCATATGTCGAACAATTGTAAAATGATTTAGGATATGAGCATTTTCTGGCATGAAATTGTTAAATTTAAATTCATTTGTTACTTATTGAATCAGTCTAAGAAATAATCATGAATAATATACTACATAGTATTATAAACAAATAAATGAATAAAAAAATCTAAGTAACAATAAGGATTCTTTTATTAATATAATTTTACTTCTTCTATAGAGTAGAATTTGTTTGTGTCATTTTGAATATATTTAATCAGTTGTCCATCCCTTAACTTTTTGAACAATGGTTGTAGACTAACAACATTTTGAACAACATTAATCTGTAAAAAAAATGTCAATAAATCATGGTGTAAATTTATGCAAGAATGAAAATAAAATTAAACTTACATAAGTGGAATTGATTTCAGACAGTTTTGTTAATAGCTGTAGAACTTTTTCGTCTTGTGATAATAAATAATCCTGGTAATGTGAATCTATTAAAAGTGTGATCCATCTAAACAAGCTAGTTGTAATGTTGTGATCAATATCATTATCAATGTTTTCATTATTTGGATCCACTTTCTCAATCAAGCAAGTAAATAAATCTAAAATTTGATCAAAATTCATCTCTTTCTTTAAATAAGATATCAGGGCTGGATCTGAGTACTTAATTTGAAATATTGCCTTGAAGAGCTGGATATGTTGGATATGCTGTTTACTGATTTTTGATTCTTCTGGAATTTCCATCATTGAGCAATTTTTTCTATTACATATAGATGTATAAAAGTATAAAAGTTGAACTAATTGTGCTTCCGGCAAATGTTTGAAATTGTTCAGACACCACACAATTGATTCAATGTCTTCGGATTTGATCAATTCTGGTATGATTTGTTGTTGTATTAAAGTGTTATTGAAGTCTTTTTGTTGGAATTTCATGATTTTGTCTGTCCCAACTTGTAATGAATCATTGGCTGAATTATTCTTAAACTTTGTTTCTTTAACCCAGTAAACTTCCTCATATGCTTTTTCTTGTGAACTCAATGATGAATTCAGCAAAGAGTCCATTTCTTGAGCTGGTAAAAAATATGGTACAAAAGCTAGATGTTTATTTGATGCCAGCAATATTTTGCTTGATATTGTCCATATTTTAGAATCACTGGAATAACACTTGAGTTTTTGAGATGCTTGAACAAGTTTAAATTGTGTATTAAAAATGAGAAGTACAGCTCCTTCTTCATTTAAATCTGCACCATACATTGCTATTGTACTTTCATTCAGCGCTACCATTGCAACAGGGTGTTTACAATTGACAGCTTTCATATCGCTAATTAATGTTCCAGGAAATGTTTCATTAGAAGAAGACAGAGAAAAACTATAAAACTTTTCATCCGACCCTATAAAAAATATACCGTAAGTTTAATGTAATAATAAGAATAAAAATTGTAAACAGTAATAACACTTACACAGAGTTAATAATTGAGCATCCTCCTTATTTGAAACTATTACATGGCCAACCAATTTTTCAGATGATCTTTGAATATTGAATCTTTTAAGATGTTCAACATCTTCTATAAATGTTTCTTCTTTCAAAGGTACCATGATACACTTATATTTTGTTTTTAATGTAGAAATTGCACATAGGAAAACTTGATCTTTCATTTTAATTAATGTAGAGTTAAGTATTTTCTCATTTGATTCTAAAAGTCCTTCATTTGTCCATTTTTTTCTATTTTCTAATACCCACTGCAGAGACACAGTTGAACCATTTTCAAGAAGCAAAATAGTTGGTCCACTTTTCATTGTTAAAATACTATGAATAGCTGGAAATTTGATTTTCTTGACGTTGTCAAGATCTTTTTCATCTTCGCTCCAAATTTTTATGTTTTTACTGTTAAACACTGCTATATATGATTTAGAAGACTCATCGAAAACAACTTGAGAAGTCAATCTTTCTTTAGATGACCAACTGCTGACTTGTTTTAAATCTTGAAGCTGTTGGATATCACAATTATTAAAAAACGTTTAAAATATAAAAACTATCGGATAAATATTTTTCACACATACCTGATATCTTATCACAATATTTTTCCCTAATGTTACAATGACACAATCAGGTGTCGAATCAGCTTCAACCCCAAGCAGTTGTTTATCGATCAAGGGACACAAAGTGTTATATGAATTTAATCGTGCCATTTTACTAAAGCTGTTGATATTTTCGCAACAAATATTTTGATTAAATTGTCGTGCAAATGAATGAAACGCCCGGATTCAAATGAGTTGCTGTGGGTTCACTATCGAAGTGCAAGCAACATTCACGTGCACTAATATCGAAATAATAAAAAAATTTATTTCACCGATTTACGTCTATAATAGGCAGTAAAGTTGAAACAAAAATAAAATTATGCCGGTCAGGCAATCAAGGTTAGTATTCCAATTGATTCACATGTGCCGAGCAGAAACATGTGTGTAGAGAAAGTATGACGTGAGTTCAAAACTGGAATCAAGCAAGAATGCTGTAAGTTAGTGACATGGGGATGGGCTGGTGTGTCACTGGTAGTTGTATGCGTGACAAGGAATGACGCTCTGATCGATTGGTATAATTCCCTGTTGATAAATTCTTGCATAATGAATACCTATTAAGGAATTGTATAAAAATTTCACGACGGTACAATTTTTATCAATGGTCGACTTAGCACGTGTTCAGTATCCTTTTTTGGACTGACAAGAAAGTCAGGCCGAGAATATTGAATTTAATAAAATTAATTACACCAATTATTACCGCATTTTATGAAAAAGTAAAATGAATCTAAAATTTCGTAAGAAAAGTTAATAAGCCGCAAAAAACATCCCTAAATCAATCAACTATAACTATTTGTGATTTCATACTCATTTTTGGTACTTTTAAAAATCCCGCGCTATGCACTACGGAGCGCTGGAAACTGGAGATGCAAAACATTATTGTTTGCCCCTTAATGGCCTTAATTTTCTGTCATCATACAAACTGACCGATGTGTGTAGTCTGCTGCAATTTCATCATGATTTTACAACTCAAAATAATCATATCTAATTAAATGTCCACGTGATATAGCTGAATTTCACTCTGCTGAAACAACATGTTTGCGGTGTTTTGGGTTCTCTTGCACACGGTGCACATAATCTACAGTGTTATTACTTATTTACAAGAGGGAATTGCACTGTTGATTTCAGCTTACAAACAGCGAACTTTTTTTGGATTTGGAAAAGAATATTTCGATCAATCGACGTTTGAGCGCATAAAAACGTATTGTTGCTTTGATCGAAGCTCCAAGTATCCGAAACATGTAGCGCTCATTGTTAGTGATAGAGTGACATCGTCGATAGACGTAAATAAATTTATTAATTGGTGCATCGCTGCTAAAATACATTACGTTTCTGTTTACGATTGTAAAGGTATTTGATATTCTATTTCATTGTGAATGATAAATTGATCATATCTGCTTGATATCACATTTATTCTAGGTATTTTGCAAAAAAATGTGAAAGAGATTGAGAAAAAATTTATTCAGCTCAAACCTCAAATGGCGGAAAAAATTGAATGGAACTGTCATTTAATAGATTCAACTGATAAGACTATGTTAAAAATTGAAAAAATATCGAGTGATGTATCAGAATCTAATTCTGTAATCCAAAGTAGTGATTATCATAAAATACAGTTTTTATCATATGGCGATGGCAAACAAAAAATTGTTGATTGTATAAAATCTATGGTGAACAAAAAATACCTTACTCAGTGTAGTATGGAAGAACTTCAAGCTCTACTAGATTCTACATTAAGTACTGGATTTCCAGATCTTGATTTAGCTATAGTAGTTGGAAGCAGTATGTGCTCTTATGGCCTTTTGCCTTGGCATACCAAAGTTACAGAGTTTTTGTAAGTTAACTTTATTCATTATGCTTTTTTTTTATAAATTACAATTATTAATTAGATTTTGTTTTAGTACTGTTCCTGCCAATTTTAATGCATCTTTTGAAACCTTCAAAAGTATCCTTATAAAGTTTAGTAAAAGTGAACAGCGTTATGGTAGATGAGTTAACATTTTGTGCTACAAGGCAAAATCATGAATTTCCATATTTTTGTACCATAAATTTCATCAAATGATAAACTTGTGAGTTTTGAAACGACATTCATAACCATTTACAGTAAAAGTCCTGTTAAATGATTGGAATATCAACTTTTTGTTGTATAAAATTTTTACTTAGTGTATTAAAAATGTATTTTATGATGGAAATTAAAAATTATAATCTGTAAATAAACAAAGAAGAAAACTAGGCAATATTTTTCAATTTATATTTTAATAACTTTTAAAACGTGTGAATAATTAATACATCATAAGGTCCAAATCATTAATTACACCATATATTTAAAATAACAATTTGCTTATAATAAATTTCACAATTCATAATCAAATGAACAGTGTAGAAAATATCTTATCAATTTTAATATTATTTATTCTCTATTTATGATTTTTTCAAAGTGAGTGAAAATGCAATTGTATTTATGTATAGTCAAATCAAAAAAATAGGCTAAATTATAGAATTACAACGTACAAATAAATGACTGTCTCATTGAAAGACTAAATATTACACCGAGTAATTTACATTTTATTGAGATGTTTTGAAAACATTTCATAAATATGTATGTAACATTTACAGATAAAAAATTCAAAAATTGAGTTTTTCATCTGAAAGAATATGTAAATATTATTTCATAGCACAATTTGAAACTTTATATAGTAATATAGAGAGATACTCCAGATCGTTTTTGTATAAATCAGTTAAAATATTAATTTTATGACATGTTCAAAAGAATTTCAACATTCTTATTGCCTTAATTAATTTTTTTTTTTTTTTTTCATATTATCTATGTGTTCCTTATTTTTCCAGGCACATAATTCTTGTCTATACAAACTTCTTGCAAAAACATGTGTAAACATCTCTCATTCTGAGCCAATGGATGTCCAGCGATTCTGAAAAAAAAGAGTATTAATTAAAGAAAGTGAGCTAGCATTGAGATGAATTACTTTAATCTTTGATAGAAGAATTTCTAAGAATTTTTTAAAAACATTTTTAACTCACTTGTTAACAAAAACTTCTAAGCCCTTTCTTCTGTCCTCAATAAAGTCTTCTTCAAATATTCCATCATCTCCTCTAAATGGCATTTGTCGTTTCCATGCTTTGCCTGGTAGTGGAGGTACGACAATCTGAAATCAAAATGAATGGATCAATTATTTGAGATACAATTGAGAGTACAGACAACAAAAGCATAATAAATCTGATAAAGTGTTACATACTTTACTATCTCGTTCTAGCTCATTTCTCAACCACTCAAAGTCACTGTATCTCCTTCTTACGCTGGAGTCTTTGACTTTGAAAACTGGTAAATTTGTCTAAAAATGAAAATTACACGAATTAGGCATAATTATTATGTAAATAATATATGTGCGGATATTTTGGGGTAAGTGGAAGTATATGTTTCATAACTAAATTACTCATTGCCAAACAATTTGCGATTACCGCGAGCGCAAGGAGGGGTAACAATTCGTGTACTGCCAATTGACTCTGAAGCCAAATAAAATTATTTATAAACTTTGCTCGTACAACGAATGTGTACGTAAATATACAACATGCATGTGTGAGTTCGTGTCTGTGTTTCAAATCATATAATGAAAAGATGTTCAGCAATTTATATACATAAGGCGAGTACGTGCGCTGCGTACAGAGAATTAACAGATCATCTTCAAAGAGCTGTGTGGAGAGAGAATAGAGAGAATAGAAAGAGAGGGAGAGCGTGTAATGATATGTTTTTCGTCAGTGTATACTGTTCACGCAGACACTTGTTGCCAGTTTGCATAATTCATAAAATCAGCGATCAATTGTGTGCGTTTGTGTGTACAAAAGAGAGCAATCGAGTAAAAGGAGGACATTTAATAAAAATTCTGATTCTCTTAGTTACATGCTCACGCACAACGAGTGGATGTTGCGAGCGGAGGCAACAAACTGCATGCAGCCGCATATCATGCCTCTTTGTTGCGGTCAGCCGCTACGAGTCGACAGCACGATCGACACGCATTGCATGAGCTGTACAATTTAAATGCTCGCTCGATCGAAGGCTATTATAATACAAGCGTAGACGGCGGGAGCAATGATTCACGAGGACTTTTTGGAGCATAGCGACCGAAAAGAGCCGAGGATAATTGGCAGATACGTTGACGTAAACACAATTTTTATGAGAATGAAAAACACCCATCGTTTATCGGGGCTGCGGTGCACGCGTGCCAAAGTATATAATATACAGTACTCGAGAAGTCTGCAGGCACCGAGCGCGCGACACACCTAATCTAAATATGAAAATCTACAAGCTTGGATTAAGGAATTTCAGAAAAATTTCAGCAAAGATCCGAGCGAAATTGCTATTGATGCTAATACATGCATGAATCGCAGGAGTTCCTCGCGAGCCATACTGTATATCGAGGTAGTCGATGTATTATAGCGAAGAAAAGAGACGGAGAGAACGACGAGGTATATTAACTCGAGCGAGAAAGGAAAGTTCGAGAGAGGCGTGCATAGTCGTGGTGCCGTTTGCGTATCAGATAGGAAAGAAAAAAAGTAAACTCCGAGAAGATTGGGGACGAAGTGCACTCACCCTCATGCGGACTTCGTAATCGGTGTATCGTTTTTTGCCGAGTCCGTGGGTAATGGGATTGATAACGTCGATCTCGAGGAAGTTGGCTGGCGCCGCATAAGCGTCGTCGAGGGTCTGCTTCTTGACGTTGAGCCGCCTAGTCGCGTCCACCGTTGTGTCTGCCATTATTTATAATAGTCTTTGGGGGCACACACGTACTTTTGAAAAACAAATCAAGCACAACAACAGGCAGCAGCGCGAGGTCTGCGACTCGGGGCGCTCAGTCGCCGTTGCACATATACGCGTTGAGTTTGCAGAAAGCGTTAAGCTGCACTTGTATGCTGTATAAACTTGCTGCTGCACACACAGACACACGAGCAGCACACACGCGCACACACGTCACACTGTACAGTAACGGGTTGCACACACAAGCACTCGATACGTTATACGTAATACGAATCGCTATATGGACTCGAACGTGTGTGTTTATATGTGAAGAACCGCCGGACGTTACATCCACCTACTGACTGCCGGAATTTTGTTGCCCAGTTGCCATTCGCTCATGACGGCGATTCGGTATCTCTGTCTCTCTCTCTCTCTCGCTCTCGCTCCTGCTATACAATGACTTCTTTACGCATCTGGCGCACGCAGACACTCGCGTATATATCAACACGCACGCCCAGTTGCTACTGCGCGAGATGTGCCTTTGCCACTCCGCCGTTGGCCTGTGTGCACTGTCAATTGCGAGAGTTGCGACGGTCAGATAAACACGCCAAGTGTACAGCGCGATATGTGGTATAATATACTTGTATAGATGCTGCAGCGCTCGACTGACGACGCTCGTGACGCTCGCGCGCGGCCTGTTTTCTCCGTCTCGTTCTAGCGACTGCGGTGCACGCGCGACGTCGAAGCCGCGATCGGCGCCAATGCAACTTATACACCTTACAGCATGTACTTACTTTGTACACACACAGGCATTATGGTCGCTGCGTAAAAAGAGAGAGGATCACGTGCATTTAACGTATTAATAGGCGCAAAGGCGCTCTTACTTAGTAGCGGCTCGCTCAGGGGTTGTTGTGTGAGAATCCTTGACTGCTCGCAAACGGCGAGCCACTCGCGCGACCATTCGAAAATTCCACTTGCGAAACGCAGCAGCTTGCTGACTCATTGTAAAATCCTACGTCTATTTTTCAAGCTGCAGAGCTGCACGCTGAAGGAGATAAACGCGTAAAACCCGATGATACCTTGGGTTTTATAGAAGCTTTGGAATTACCAGCTCCAAAGATAGGAGGTTCACACGGTGAGCTGCAAAAAGCACGCATCTCGCGACCAAAGTATAAATATTCGCTCTCGTCGTGAAGATTCTTTGAGCGACGCAGATAGATGAATTATTCAGAGAATCGCTCAGCGACATAAAGTAATTAATCAGCCGGATGATTAAAATTTCAAATGTCAATTAGGATTTCTAGGTACACATCCACAAACATTCATAATGTTGACACACATTTTCGAAAAGAAAAAAGAAAACATTATTCATCCGTATCTGTAACGTGACTGTGCCGCTGTACGATATGCCGATTCTAAGGAATTGATAGCAAGTGTGGAAATTGACAACCGGTGCATATGGAAAGGATCAATATAGGCACATCATCTTTGGCAGCCGAATAATTTCGGCTACCTTATGCTCGTCGGCTTGTCTCCCCGCGCTGCGATGCACGCAATGGCATAACGACTCCCCCTTGAGCGAGTACACGTCCATATATATCCTACCTGGAATGTCACTTCACGCTCCTCTCTTGGCAGTCTCCTGTGTGTACGCTGCGTGCCTACACCTATATAGATATAATATAGGCGCACACGCATAAAAAGGGGGGGAGATGAACGCAGTTGTCGTCGCATCGGCGGCTCAGCTTGCTCCGTCCGGACTCTGGATGGAAAAGGGCATTCATTGACTTTTCTATTTATAAATTGCCGCATACACACATACGCGCACGTACCGCGCGTCAAAGCCATTAAGCATAATACGTGAATGATGCCGAGAAATCAGAGCCGCGTATTGTTTTGACAAAGCTCATCGTCGGCACGTACAGTGTCACACGCTAAACCGTAATAGTGGCTGCGCTTTCAACGCGGAGAAAGGGAAGTAAATAATATAAAACTTCATGGAGGATCATACATAGCGGATCGCCGCAGGAGCACACAAAGAGATATCTCGTTCGACACATCGCGACGATGCGGATCAACACGCAGACTTGAATTCCATTTTGTGTCTATACCTAGTGTACTTCGAACCCGTAATATCCTTACAATATTGACTGTGATTTTTTGTATTATCTAGTTCGAATTAAGTTAAAAAATGGCACTACCAGAAGGCACGATTCTTTTTGCCAAGCTCGAAGCTCTGAAAGATATCAGGTGAGCGATCTCGTGGACGAATCAATGTCATTCACTTTCTAATCTTTTTCCGATTTTAGATCTAAAACCATTCAGTTGGACAAAATTAAGCAAAGAATTTTTCAAGAGGTTGAGCTTACTGAGCAAGAAGAAAAATGCTTAATGGAGTATAAGCAGGAAATGGATTTGCTTATGCAGGAAAAGATGGCTCATGTTGAAGAACTAAGACAAATTCATGCTGACATAAATGCAGTAAGTTTATAATGCTTCAGCAGATTTTTTTGTTTTTCAATTTTATAATGCCTTTGCTACTCTATCATTTTCAGATGGAGTCTGTTATAAAGCATGCCGAAGAAGCAAGAAATCGTGCTAGGGAATCAGCTAAAATCATTCATAATAATGACTATCAGCCCTTAAAACATGATATTGATAGAATGAGAAGAGATTATTTGGGATTAGAAAGATTGCCTGAACTTTATGAAATAGAATCGGATATTACTCCAGAGTGAGAAACTTGATTAAAAATTTAAGATTAACTGTATTATAGTTTTTCTTGTAACTATAATTATGTTTTGTTATTTAGTTATTTTGATCGAGCAGTACAAAAGACAGACTGGCGGGTGGATGTGCGAGGGGATGACTTACTTCCTCCTTTAAATCTTCATCCACATCCTGGAAATAATGCATTTTTAGCTCCCCAACCTTTACAAGGTTCTAGCAAAACCGAACCAAGGCCACTTCCACCTGCACCTGGTCCACCAGCGCCAACATTCAGGTATTCAATGTAATTTCGCTTGTTACTGAATTTTATTGAACTTTTCTAAAATTGATTTAAAACTAATCATGTAAAATTATTTAATAATAGGCAACAACCACCACCTATGAAATCATGTCTTTCTTGCCATCAACAAATACACAGAAATGCACCAATATGTCCCTTATGCAAGGCCAAGTCTCGATCTCGTAATCCTAAGAAACCAAAAAAGAAAGATTAGAAAAAAATTACTTAAAAGATTTATTTAATCATTCATTTAATGGTTCATATTAATCGCATAGTACTTAAAATATAATCTAAAAATATTGATTCTAGTAAAAGAATCAATATATTTCATAAATTGAATTTTAGCTCAATTTATAAACATAAGCCATAAAGTATTCGTTTTTAGTTTTTTTAATAATTATTTTTTAAATATTTATTTATTAATGTACACAACTACTTTTTTTTGTGTAAATTTATAGAATAAAGTAACAAGTATGTGAGTATATATATAACAATGTCAGCTAGCTATATGTGGAAATTTTAATCAATTTATATATGATTTTCATAATTAAAAATATACCTAGTTACGGATATATTTTAAAATTTTATATCAATAAATGTTTGTAATAACAAAAATAAAAGAGTTCTCATTCGTTTTGTAAGTTTTCCTAAAACGATTCTTAACATTTAAAATTCTCGTGAAATGTAGCGCCACTGTCTGCATTTTGTGTATTTGATTATTGCAGAACTGGTAGCAGTCAGCCAGGAGTCAGCAACTGTGAATTGCATACTACTTGCCAAGTCGAGTCAAAACACTCCGCATTACGATATACACTTTTTCGTCTGCTAAATTTCATGTTATTGGGTTTAAGACCAGCAGAGGCAAATCGCTCAATGACAGTAAACATTTTTTGGCGAATGATTTATCCGAAAAAATATTGTACAAAAAAATAAATATGAAGCCGGTTCCACCAACAATGAATTTGAAGCAGGTCTCTATTAGATTAGTATTTAAAGTAATATCGCACAATCAATATATTATATCATTTAATGTAAAATATTTTTTCCAGTTCATGGCTAGTAGAGAGGTATTAAAATTGTATAGAGGTTTTTTAAGAACAATAAAACTAATTCCTGATCAAGCAGATAGGGATTATATGAAAAATTGGGTGCGATCCGACTTTAAAACATATAAGAATGTAACGGATGATGTAGGTATCAATAATAATATCATGTATTTTTGTTCTTTGTGAAAAATAATAAGTATTACAAATAGTTGCAGTTGAAGGCCTTGATGGCTCATGGAGAAAATTCTTTAAGAGAATTACAGAAGAATTTAGCAAGGGCTCATTAAATAATCTGTGATTTCTTAGTGTACCAAAAAACTTTATAATTATAAAGCACGCAAAACGTTCTTATGAATAACTGTACATATTAAAAAACATGAGTGAAATATTTTTAACATAAAACTAAATAAAAAGTGACTCTATTTCACAACTTATTAAATAGTATAATAAATACATTACCAATAAGTAATATACTGAAAACTGTCATTACAACAAATGCTATCACCGAACGGATACTTTGTTCTTTTACTGTATTTTTCAGTCTTTGGTCTATCAGAATACTTATAATGTGTTGACCGTCAAAAAAAAAGCAAGGTATAACATTAACAATGGCTATTCCAGATGAAAATAGTGCTACATATTTACATAGCAAAATTAAAACTTCTGGTAACTGTGGACTAAAAAATGAATATCTTGGAACCCAATCAGACAATTCAATAGTATAATAGATTTCTAGTGGATTTCCATGAAATATAACATCTTTGCCTCCATATCTTTGAATCTGAACAACCTAAAAGTATACAATTTTTAATTGCACACCTTGATTAAAATTTTTCTTATTTAGTTTTTTTAAAAACATACTTTGGTTGAATTAGTAACTGTAGGTTTAACACAATAATCACTAGCCATGCTGCAATGATCATTACTCTGACAGTAGTTGTGGGAACTTGATATTATAGTCCGAATGGGCAGACAGAAATTGACAGATGATGAGTGTGGAGCTTGCATATCAATTATGCCTAAGTGTTCAAAACACAAATGACCATTATTTTTGTAATGTTTATCACAACAATTGTGCATATCATTGGCATCATTTTGCAAAAATGAAGATTTATCTGATTTCTAAAAGGTTTTTTTTTTCGTTAATTTCATCATATTTAAAATTATAGAATGAGTAAGAAAAATAAACTTTTACCCTGACTATATTATCATTTACACAATATCCAGGTGTAGAAAGTTGAATAGCTTGCTGAATGCAGTATCTCCAACTAGTAGAATCATGTACTGAACAATCATTAATTTTGTGAACAACATCACCATTAGAAAGACCAACAGGTCCTAAAAGTCCAGAGTTCTATAAGGAAACAGGCTGATGAGTGAGCAGAATATATAAATTAATATTACAAGAAATAGTTTTTTAGAAACTTGCAGGATAAATATGCTTTATGTAAACTCCTGTATTTTGGATAAAAAATGGTTTAAGCGATATTGTTATGAGTCCTGCAATCATCATAGCTAAACCAGTTAAAATAACATTGTGCCATATTCCAGCACATAGAATACGTAGCCGACTTTTGTGCCCTAGCATGCTTAACCCAGAATCACATATATTCACATATGCCACTGGCAGTATGAAAAATATAATCATTCCTGTTCCTAAAAAGCGAACATCTTCTTTGACTGCTGCCATAGCATGTCCAAATTCATGAACTGAGCTCGATAATAAAAGTGCAATAATGTAATACCCTATTTCACTGAATGGAATGGTAACTCCTGGAATCTAAATAATGACTAAAATATATGATAACAGTATCAATCAAGAATTCTTTTCATGCTATTACCATTATTTCTAGAGTCTCTCCAGAACCAATTTCATTAGGATCAACTGAATTTTCTTTCACAAAAGCTTCAAATGTCATTTTTAGTAGAAGTATGATTGAAATTGGTAAAAGTAAGAGAGTTACAATCATTCCTGTATTAAACCATGCAGCCCAAAATTTGGATCGATTGAGACCCCACTTCATAAGAGATCGATTGAAGGCTGTGGTAAACCATTTTATTCTTAAAAATTGTATATCAATGCCGATATTTTCCAAGAGTACAAGGTAAGGCAAATGCATACATGACTGAAAAAAGTGTAAATTAAGAAAATTGAGCTGAATGTAATGTGATGAATCAACAATTTTCACTCACCACAAAAATTGTGTTGAAGAAATAAAAGGATAGGTGTATAAATCCTACAATAACCAAAAATAAAATAGTGTCCATTTTTTAATTAATTGAAGTATTTAGTTAAAAAAAATATTGATCCAGGACTGGTCAGCTTGAAAAAGTATCAATACAAGCATAGGGACCATTTTGTTACATTGACGGTTGAAAATCTTATTTCATGAATAAGAGAGTAAAAACACGTGTGGTCTATTTACGACGGCGATGTTTGCAAAACGTGCGCGGAGACCGGGGCTTTGTAGGGGACAGGTGCACACGCGGCGCGCCGTATCTTATCATCTATAATGCTATATAATACAGTCGGAGCAAGTCTGTCTTACCAATCGAGTAAGCTCATTGCGACAGTGCAATATTGTATATTTGTATATCTGTATACTACAGCCGGCCATGGTCTATGATAGATTCTCTTGAGCTGTAAGGTTTTCGTTTTAGATGTCGTTGCTGGCCGATGACTTTCGTGACGCAGGATCATACGATGCAAGTGCGCGCTCTGATTGGACGATTCACTAGTCGTACGATCGCATGTGCTGCGAAACGCACATTCGTATTCGCATTTTGACAAGCGCATCTGGCCGCTCCGAAAAGTGTTTGCATGGGATTTTTGCAAATTTGCCTATCGTAAAATAGCGTGTCGTACTTTCGATCGGCATGCCATGCTTGTGAACACGTAAACAATTGTGCCTCGTCTCCTGCATAATATTTTAGAATCAGTGGCAAAATGAACGACGACACCTGGGCCTCGGTCCAGGAGAGTGATTTCTCTGACTTCACGAATGAAAATCTTTACCTCAACGAAATGCCCATCCTCCACGGTACGTATACTGTAGGATTATGTGGCTTTACGTGGCTTTCATTCCCTCTAGGCCAGGCACCGATTACTATTGTTTTCAAATGAACGTGAGAATGTGGCCACATGCTCGATCCGTTCGTGTGCATATACTTACCTATTGTTTACTCAATGATGTACTGGTCGTTGCGACGAGCTTTTATCGAAACTCACGACGTTGTAGTGACGTACGCCTAAAGGACACGCTTATCGCGAATTATTATGCCCGATAATCCGCTGTATGCTCTAACCTTATAATACTAATATTTATTCATTTTATTTCAATATTTTCTTTTTAATGTTATGACATTTGTTTTTGTATGACAATGACTTTATAGTAAGTATTCATATTTCTTGACAGATTTCATTTCCAAGGAATTGATGGAAAATGGGCACTCAATGGATCAAATGCTGTCAGAATTTGATGGCTCTATTGATACCTTGGCTATGGGTGGAAATGATTTAGATTTTAACAGTTTTTTAAAATCTGATGACATGAAAGACTCTCCTTACCTTCCAGTTCCTAATTCAAAGCAAATCAACCCTTCTTCTGTCATGCTTGGTAATCAATTATCTCAAATTCCTTGCCAAAGTCCAATGGATCATACTGTACCAATACAACAAGGACAAGAACAATTGCATCCTCTCCAGTCACAAATTTCACAAATTCAACAGCAACCTTCTCCAATGCAAACGCAACCTTCTCTGATGCAATCACAATCACCTCTTATGCAATCGCAATCATCACTGATGCAATCTCAATCTTCTCCAATGCAATCGCAACCATCTCCAATGCAATCACAGCCCTCTCCAATGCAATCACAACCTTCTCCGATACAATCTCAACCTTCTCCGATGCAATTACAAGCAGGACCAATCCAGTCACAGAATTCTTCAATTCAATCACAAAGTACAGTTTTTGGGCAACATTACACCATTGCTCAAAATGTTAATTTTAATGTTCCACCGGTTGTTGCATTGGCACCAGTATCTACACAATCAAGGCAGTTACTACTGCCTGCAAAGTTAATAAAGTCAGAGCCTGTTGTTTACTCTGGAGCTTCACAAAATGTAAATGGAAAGCAGGTTCAACACCAAATTCATACTTTAGTTAATACTGGAAATGGCACTGTACTTGCTACTGGTAATTTTCATTTATAAAGTTCTAAGGGAATATTTGTATATCTTATAATTTATATTTAATGATCATTTTACAGGAATTCCTCTCGTTTTGGATACAGATAAGGTGCAGATAAGCAGGATTAATACAAATACAAGTTCTTCTCCTCCCAAAGTTAAAGAAGTTAAACGCAGTGCTCACAATGCAATAGAGCGTAGATATCGAACATCGATTAATGACAAAATAATCGAACTTAAAAATATGGTAGTAGGAGTTGATGCTAAGCTAAATAAATCAGCTATTCTGAGGAAAACCATTGATTACATAAGGTAAGTTTGGTGATATTATGTTGAATTAGTCAGGAATAACTTTGAAATCTTTGTTTTCTTAAGGTTTTTACAAAACTCCAATGCAAAATTGAAAGCAGAAAATATGTCATTGAAAATGTCTTCACGTCACAATCTTCGTGAATTACTTGCTTGTGGCGAACTAACTCCTCCACGGTCAGATATCAGTGAGCCATCACTTTCTCCAGACCCTAATCCGCTGTCTCCGCCATCTCCTACAATATCTTCAGCGGTCAAAGATGAGCCTGAAATGAAGATGCATAGACTTCCTAAAATTTTATCTAAAGGAACAGGCATTGGAGATCAAGCTAGACTTACTTTGTGTGCGTTTTTGTTTGTGGTTTTGGCTTTTAATCCAGTTGGAGTTGCCATAAACAAGGCTCATCACTTTGTCTACAGAGGTCAAATACCTCATTACGATGGTGGAAGGTCATTAACGTCGATTGAAGGTAGCTCAAAACAAATTTTTCGTCTTAATTTTGTTTAATGAATTAATAAAATTTTCTAAAATGATTTCAGATCACAATGATAACAAAATTTGGAGCAATATGATAATATTATTGACAAATATGTTCCTCTTCATTTATGGACTGTGTCGGATACTTTTGCACAGTGATCCGATTCTCATAGACGAGGGTAAGCCAACAATCGAGTTACATCGCTGGCGACGTCAGGCTGAATTTAATTTGTCCAAGGATAACTTTGAGCAAGCAGATCGTGATTTAAATCAATGTTTAAAATTCTTTTTACGTCAATTGCCTCTTACCCGAATGGAAGTACTTGGTGTTACTGTTTGGCAGCTATTTCGTCAGATGCTCAATCGTATCTACGTAACTCGCTTCATTCTTTACTTTGACAGCAGATTTGCACCGTCTAATCGAAAGCAGGCCGAAGTATCGGCTATGGAAATGGCTATAATTTATCAACATATACTGTGCCTAAAACTCGTGCGGCGCAGCAAAGAATCAACGATGTATCTCGCTCTCACGGCACTTAATTATGCCGAAGCTGCTGGTGATACTATGCCGAAGGCTTTGCTTGCAGAGATTTATGTAAATGTTGCTTTGAGCTTTAAACAATCTATGTTTCCACTTGTCCACAAATTCTACTTCAGCAAAGCTCGAACTTTATTAACTACCTGCATTGTACCTCAAAAACTTAAGTGGTTGAACGATGAAGACGGCATGAAATTCATCATGAGTCAAAAGTTGACTTACGAGTTGAAAGGTGACAACGATTTTACCCTGCAAAATAGTAAATCAGAACCACTTGCATTTGCAGCTAGAGTGTACAGAGAACATCTCATAGCTCAAGGATTAAAATTGTTAGCTGGTACCGTCGGTTATGCTCATGCTTCCGGATTATTAGATATTTCAAACAAAATCATGACAGCTGCTCAAATTGATCTTTGCTATGGTAGCTCTGATAAAATAGGAGTTATCAGTAAGTGTACTTATTATTTAATTTTATTTACTTTTGTTACTTCACAGTTGAACTTAAAAAATATTTTTTACAGAAGTGGAAGATAAAGTTGGCTTGTGGTGGGGCGCTGTTATGTGTGTAGCGGCAAACGTCCGTTTAGGAGAAGACGATTCTGAAGCGTGGAATATTGTTGAAAACAAATTCCCATTTGAAAAAAGCTCTGTCAACAATAATCCTTTACCTTTTGCTGTATTAATACTCTTACAATCTATGAAAAATCAATTAAAGCCGTCAACTAATCGTATGGTGGATCAAGCTAGTACTTTCCTTGAACATTCGACTGTTTATAATGACTGCAAAGAACAATCATCTCAAAATGTGTTGGTGAGTTTTAATAATTATTTTAAAATTTCCAGACAACTTTGATCATAAGCATCAGGCCATTACGTGAGTGCATTGTAGTTGCATTGCATTGATATTTAAAACATGCAATACTTCTTCAGTGCAACTCCCGTGGTGGGTAATTGCAACATTAAAGATTTCTTCTTCACGCATTTTTACTGAGTTCAAATTTATTGTTAATCAATATTTATTCTTTTGCAGCTAACTCAGTTGTGGGTGTGCGATTGGCTACTTGAAATAAGAACTTCTTTATGGGAGAAACAACATAGTAGCATGAATCAAAAAGAAGTTAACTCTGCTCTTGTCGGCTTTCAACGAGACCTAGCATGTATGCGGAAGCTTTGTCAACACTTACCGGTGAGCATGATTTTTTCAGATATATTTATTTACCTGTTGAAATAAGACAATTATCAATTCTCTTTATTTTTTTAGTCTGTATTACCTAGAGTATTTCTTTACGAAGCAACAACCAGAATTATGGCCGGCGCAACTCCAGTAAAAACCCAAATTCTTCTCGATCGTAGTTTACATCATCGCAATTCACGATCCTCGATTATTTGCGGCAAAGACCGATCTCACGAACACGGTGGTGGAGACCGTGAACACGCTGCTGCCTTATGTTTGGCCTGCAGACATTTACCAGTTTTGTTACTCGCTTCACCGGGTGAACGGGCTGGTATGCTTACCGAGGCAGCCAAAACTTTAGAAAGACTAGGGGACCGTAAGCGTCTGCAAGAGTGTTACGAGCTCATCAAACAACTCACACCTGCCATCTCATCTAATTGAGATGATGGATTACTTCAACTGCGAGCGATTGAGGATTAAAAAAGTGAGCTGAAACGAGTCCTTCAGATTTTACCAGTAGTTTTACTTTTTGTTTTAAATTAGTGATAATTCTGACTGATTGTACATAAGTTTAAAGTCTTTTATAACTATTTCAAAGAATCAATCGTAAGGGAATCCTGTGTAACAAGTGAGTTTTTCGAACCCGTCTTTGAGATTTATATAAAAAACATTCTTAAAAGGTGTTATGATGTTCTTTTTTGATTTCGTTTCTCAAGGTCATCATATAACCTTTTATAAATAACTTGATACAAAGTTTAGTTAACACGTTTGGAAATTTTCCTAACTATCCGCTTATATATTTATCAAACTTCACTTTAAGTTTCAAATACATAAGCTTACAATACACGTTAGTACTAAGTCTTTCTATAGCTTATTTATTTCTGGTGATATAAATTTTTTATTTTATTTTACTATAAAAATGTTATATATTTAACTAAATTTTAATATTAATACCCTAGAAATACAGAAAAATAATATTTTATTTCTAAAACATGTAAATTTTTGTAATAAATGTATGTAAAATATCGAAACATTTGAAGTATATTTACTATAGCTTTATGCAAAAAAGAAAGTATAATTTTGAGTATCAAATATTTCTAAATTATGTATCGTACTGTAATATATCAATATTTTAAACTAATAAAATCAACATCTTTTTCGGCGAGAGAACAAAGAATATAGATATCGTATGTTCATGCAATGATAACAATATCAAAGAGCAAAATAATATACTTGACAGCCAACATTTTTTTTTCAGTTAGAAGATTATAGAAGTAAAAAACAATTCAACAGTATTTCATACCGAAAAAATCAATCTTCATTAATTAATTATTTCAAACAAGATTTTAATGTGTCAAATCACGTTACCAGTCTTGAAATATCCTTTTGAACATTTAATTACAATCAATTACTTTTTTGGTGATACGCTGAATACTTTTTTTAATGTAAGTAATGTATTGTAACTACATTTCTCATTGACTACCACTTCTACGTTGCGACGCTTCAAGAACATAATCATACCATGGAATCACAGACGATAATTTTCAACGAAGATTTTTAAATACCGATATTTTTTTTATTTCTATGGTATACGCATTATAGATAGAAAATAATAGCTATTTTGAACTTTGTGCAAATTAAAAAAGATAATGTTCATCTATTTTTTCGGTGTAAAAAGATTTTGTGTGTACTAAAATATTGAGTCTCAGTTAGCGTAAGGAAAATATAGTTGAAAAAAAGTATTTGTCAAAATATGCAAACAAAAGTAAGTTTTTGTTTAAATTGTATAGAAATATATTACTGCATGCATCTTACCATTCGGTCTCGTTATTTAATCGTATCACATAAGGACCTCAGCAAATTCGTCCTATCTTTGCCCTCGTGGTAGCATCTAATTACATTATTTATAGGCCTATTCGTGAATGTCATATTCATCGTAAAAAATATATTCCACTGCGAAACAGTAAAGTACTGGGTTTTAAAACCTTTTTGAAAAAAATTCAATTTTTTACGTACAAATGCGTTTACGTTTAAATTATGAGTTTTAAGTTATTGAAAGTAATGTAATCATTGGGAAATCCGTTGTTACAAGTTGAACAAGGTGTATCAAATAATTTCAAATGTTTTTGAATATGTTCTTGAATTATTATTATTGATTTCGATGTTAACAACTTTACAATCTTTACTTCATGAACAATTATATTTATGATGGATGGATGGTTGAAAAATAACGCAGAATTATGTCATACGAAATTCTGTGTATTGACAAAAACTATTTTAAGTATCACTCTAATGTAATTAATTCTAACATACGTTTTTACAAGCTAAAACTTTAACACTAATCTTCTTAGACTTATTTTTTTACAGATTTAATCGGTTGCACGATTTTGAGTTGAACGAGACATATTATGCTTGTTTAAAAAATTTTTTTCTAAGAGCCTATTGCAGAAATTTGAGTGGAAGCGGTTACCCTTTTGGCAGGTTTCTTTTCTCCACATTAATTTCAGACTCAAGTCAGAATCATGCAACATTCAACATTATTCAAAACAACTTGTATCGTAAGGCCACTTCACTTCTATCGTATATAAAATTATTGATGGTATAAAAAAATTATCACTCTAATATTTATAAGATTAAAAAACGGGTACACGTGTATTTTTTACAATTTCGAGTAGAAATTACACAGCTTGGTCCCTATCTGATGCATCCATAGAGAGAAAGAGAAAATGGAGGGAAGACGAGAATAAAAGTGAAGGGATGTATTGGATTATTGTAGATAATAATGACGGTGACTGTGTAATCATTTTTCTCGCGATGCATTACTATATACGTTATATATAAGTTTTTGCTATTGTGGCGAAGGCGTCAGACGTCGGCGGCTATATTTTACATCGGCTCGTCATTGTGTAGTCGATAAATCCTCAGCGTCCTTGTCCGTAAGTTGATCAACAGCAGCATCTAAAACAGATGTAGAAAGCGATAAATGAGCGTTATTTTTTGTCCACGGGCACTTTTAGTCACATCCAAGTGACAAAAAAAATTAAAAACTCAGAGACTCAATTTTGTGATCGATTGACTGGATTCGCTTTGTTTTTTTTGTTTAATGTTGTCTTGCTGAATATGCGCGATTCAATCCTATAGCCACGATGCGATTGTAATAATAACGTAAAAAATAACAGTAGCAGCGGTTATTTGACTCGATGCAATTATACTAAGGCATAACTGCAAAAAAATTTTAAGCGCGTCAATATATCATAATCATGATCGTTTGCGATTGTCAGGTAAAATTAGTCATGAATAATCATCACAAGTGAATATGAAGATTCTCTCACCACGAGGGAGATAAGTCGCGCACAAAGCAAAACGCAGCACCTAATTCAGTAGTACGTAGCACATACAATATCGTATCGATCCGATAACGTCTGCTCAGATATCGGTAAAAAATTGGTAATTTTTTTCTGGATCCAAAAGTACTTCAAGTGCATTGTTTTTGAGGATGCACTCTTAAATGAAAAATAAAATACTCGTGCAAATTGATTTCGATAATCTTTCTAACTTATTCGGTGCTTTGTTATAGTATTAAGAAAATGCGCCATATTTCACGTTTCAATTGATTTTCCGAAGCTTGTAAAATAATTCAGATGTAAAAATTCAAAAGCCAGTAAGCGACGTTAAATAATGGGCAGTGCAAAACCAAGACAACATAAATACAATTTTTAACAGTATATTTCGATACCATTAGTCTTTATAATTATTAAAATATGTACACAATTGTATAAATTCATTAACATTCAATACTTGGCATAGCTATAAAATTACAAAAATAATTATAAAACAATAATGTGTTGTACACTGCCAATTATGGATTCCCCTCGCACTCGTTCGTGAGTGAGATAACATCATTGTTAAGAACAAAATCAAAATTAAAATTCAATCGTCATGCTAAAAAGTGCTCAATTAAAGATTACATGAGTTATCGGCAACAGAGTTGACTGTTTCTCATACGATGAGAATAAATGCGCCGAAAATTGATCAAGTAGTACACGACTCTGAATCATACGCATTCACGCACGCACACATACAAACACGTGTTTTATACATACATGTATAAAAATGAAATATAAATCGAGCAGAAATTCGGGCAAATAAAGTTAAAAAGTAATATTTCGTTGGAGAAAACCAAACGCACATCGTTGATGATGGATCCTTGGATGCGAAGCTTATTACGTAGTAGGTCAATGGCCATGCCCAGCGTGAGAGTGTCCGTGATCGTGCGAGTGCGCGGCTGCAAAGAGAAGAAACAGAAAGACAATTCATTAGAATGATTTCTCTGAAATTAATTTTTTATGTTTATAATATAAGAAAAGTTGACGATATGAATAACAAATGAAAATTCAAATGGAAATAATAGGATGAAATGTGGCGATTGCTATTGTTGGCGTTGAGTGACGCGTGAAAAAAACACGTCGGGGGGTCGATGATTCGCTACGAGGCGCGAATCGTAAATTATCGCTATTCGTTCGATTCGTCACTGTCTCGCGAGCGCAATACGCGGCAAAGCTCGCGATCGACGATAGCCCGAACCAATGGGCCGATCGATCCTCGAAACTGCCACGCGAAATTCCTCGGAAGAATCGCGCGTGGCCGAGGCTCCGATCGGTCCGGCGGCGCAGTGGTGCACTTACAGGCGCTGGCGAGCTGAAGGCCCAGCATGAGCATGAAGCCGACGATTATGGCGGCCAACTGGAGCAGTCCGCTCTTCTCGTTGGCTCTCTCGCGCGCCAACACCTCGAAGAAGACGACGTAGAGCAGGGTGCCGGCCGCCATGCCCTGCAGGATGGTCGGGGTCGGGCCGAGGGTCTCGCTGTCGTTGCGAAAGTGCCCGAGGGCCAGGCCCAGGGCTATGCCGAGCGGCGTGACCATCGAGAAGACGCTGAGGTAGCCGAGTATGGTGCGCTTCGAGGCGCCGGCCACGTACAGCTCCATGCCGACGCAGAACGATATGACGAGCTTGTGGGTGGCGATGGCCCCGGCCAAGTAGACGACCGACATGAAGGCCGGCTCGAGGCCCACGGCCAGACCCTCGAAGATGGCGTGGAACGACAGGGCCAGCACCGTCAGCAAGCTCTTCATCGAGTTGCTCGCGTGGTGGTGGTGGTGGTGGCTGTGATGCTGATGAGGCTGCTGCTGCTGTTGAGCTTTAGCGACAACCTTGGCTCTGGATTCCTCCAAGGCGTGCGGCGAGAGGACAAAAGCGGACTTTGTCTCGTGGCCGTCCTCGTCGTTTTCCGCCTCGGGGCGCCAACTGTTCCTCGGCTGGACGACCGTCAGGGAATTGCGCGGCTGACTCGAGGCGCTGCTGCACGTCGTGCTGCCGTTGGACTTGTTGTTGCTGCCGTTGTTATTGTTGTTGTTGCTGCTGCTGTTGTTGTTGTTGCAGCGGCGCACCGAGACCGTGCGATAGAGCAGACTCTCGGTCGAGTCGGGCTTGCTGGTGAGGGCGGCGTGGACCGTCTCCTCGACGAGGTACACGAGGAAGAAGCCGCAGCAGAAGAGCAGCTCGGCGAGGCTGAGGCTGCCCAGGTCGACCAGCTGGTGGGTGCTCTGGTGGTAGGCCACGGACTCGTGGACCTCCGGCGCCAGGTGGAGAAACGTCGTGAACAGGAGGACTCCGCCGCCGAAGCAGAGCAGCAGCGACGTCAGGAGGCCTTGCTGTGTGCGAGCAGGAAGCGATTAGTCGCGAGACGCGATATGTTGAGTTCGAGCCCCGGGGCGATTTTGTCGAGAAACGACGAGAGGAAAAATCAAGAGAGAAACGTACTTGAGCCGTCTCGGCGTACTGATGCGTGTCGACGGTGAGCGTCGAGGCGGCCGAGTTGTTGGCGCTCGGGACGCTGCTCATTACCTTGCGCTGCGTCAGGCTCTTGCGCTCGCGGCAGCGGCCAATGAGGAGCGGCAGCATGCCGAGAACCAGCGAGCCGATCCCGAGGACGATCATCGAGCCGATTTTCACCAGCAGCAGGATCGTGCTCGAGGAGGCCCCGTTGGCCACCGGGCTGACCTCGCTCACGACCGACGTCGAATCCATCCTTTAGCTTCGATCCTCTCTTTCTTCCTAATACTCGATTGCTTCACTTGCTTATCGTTCGTATTTTCACGGTTTGACACTGTTTCTCTTTTAACGATCTTTCGATCGTTCAACGCATACTTGCACGGCAGCTCACTCACTTTCCGCTTCAGCTGTTGTGGGACACTTTTTGTTAGAGAAAAAAAAATACAACACTCCGTTCGATGCAAAACTCGTACGTGCAACGCACACAGCACCGATAGTTGAACAATTTTACGAAGAATAATTGAAGATTAATTTTTCGTCGTTGAGAAAATCCAAAGTTTCGTTGAAAATGATTGGAATACTTGGTAAAGTCACTGGCGTATCGGAGCGGTGCGCACGCACGTTTTTCTGTTTGCAGCAACGGTAGTATCGCGTACCAATGAAGCTCGCGCGCTCACGAACTTGGCTCGAGTGAAAGATACGCGCAGCATCTCGCCGACACCTGCCTAATAAGTTTTGCGATCATCACGCGCCGAAGCATTACGATTATGCCTAACGAGGCAGTTTGTTTTTCATTATACGACTACTCATATCGTCAAGGAAGAAAGCGTGTAGCGTTTTCTCGCGCCTCGGGCCGGTTTTGCGTAAATTATTCAACGCGCTCCGAGTCGCACGGATCCATATCGCGTAGCGATTCTTAGAACGACTTTGGCAAATTTCGTTCGAGTCTAAGCGAAAAAAATGCCAGTGAAAGCGAATAGAATGAGGGGAAAAAATGGCAAAAAGTATTCGGACGATTGCGCAAGAAACGAGGATCGCGCTTCTGCGCTACAACGAGTCGGAGCCGAGCGCGCGGGACTTTCCAAGCCGCCGCCGATCGGCTCGCTCGGCCGAGTACGAAATTAATTGACTCCGAGCGCAACTTGGCGAATTAAGGCCGCAGCTTCCGTTTTCGTGATATTATGTGTATCTAATGACACATGATTGCCGTACACACGGCGTATATTGTACGAAATAGCGCGAAATAGCAATGGTCGCGCTCGAGAATTCGACTCCGCGACCGAAGGAAGCGACGTTTCGCAAGCTAATTGGAGTGACTGCGCGATAAGTCAAACTGCCACCGAGATGGACGCGAAAAATCAAAACGTAGCCGAATCCTGTTCGTCCGTATACGTCACTCTGCAGTCGGCTCGAGCTTCCGATTATTGCATTACGCAGATGCGGTATGCGCTGTTTTGAACGCGTGCCACAGAGAGAGAAATTTCGTAAACGATCGATTTTCAAAAACATTTGACTCAGTCGGTAGCGCCTCGAGTGTCTTGCGCGAGCGTGTCAGTACTTTTTTTTTTTTTATTAAAGCATCCATGATGCTACGGTATTTCGATGAAGTACGACGATCGCAATACTTGATTGCAATTTTATCAACGCATTATCTATACGAAGGAATTTAAATATGTAGATAAAAAGTGTAGCCGATGACTCGATAAGGATTTTCGTTGAAAAAGTTGTAGCCTCGCCGGCGCACCATCGCTCACCGAGTCTCAAAAATGTTACCCAACCTCGAGTGGGTAAACAGATCGCGAAGCACCTGTTTTTTTTTCAGTAATTTTTCACCGAGACACTCGAAATTTTGTGGTCGTCAACCTGAGTGCTCGAGCCGATTACATTACATATTAGAACTGACGAACGACACGAATAGAAGCTACTCAGTGGCGTCGCGGTAGGCCACGTAAGACGACAACAATCCATCCCGTGCATTCGATACACGCTCTGCTATATATACAATCGATAGTTCGCGTGCGCTCGAAATTTCAATACTCGTGCGTTGTATGCGATGCACAGACTACTCGATCCACCCGAGGCGCGATATGGACTTTTTTTTTGCACTTACGGATTTCCTTGTAAAGAAGCGAATGAAGAAGAAAAAACGACATCGATCCGTGAGCGAATAAATAATCATAGGCGATGGTAATCTTTTGAGATGCACATCACGAGACGTAACACATCTTGGCTCGATCGCGCTCGCAGTGTTTATTATAGGTGACTCTATCGCATCGCGCCAATCGATCGGGGTAATTGTGATTGATATTTTTTTATTTTTTCTTGCGCTCTCTGGCCGAGGAAGATTGATTAGCCTGATTCGACGCGTCTGTTGTTCATTTGTTTATGTTAAACGCGTCGTTTACCCTCGGGCGCTCAAAGCTCGAAACTATACGTCCAGTGTGGAAAATTACGCTCGGAAGATTTTTCGACTACTCGCGCTTTTCATTCAAGAAATAAAAACGAAGGAAAACAAAAGCTTTTAATTTCCCTCGTGACAATGACCCGCTTCGTTATTTTCATTCCTTTAATATATACGTCCAGCAGCGCGGCACGATGAAATTATTTAAAATTGACGCATAATGCGCGCGCGCGCGCGGGAGTTACATATCTCCTCATTAAAATGTGTGCCGCGTAATACGCAATTTGTATTGTCTTCTCTGATTCGCAATACAAAATATGTATACACACTGTTTGTAATATGGAGAAAGAGAGAGAGAAAAAAAGGCACGAGCCACGAAGCGTTACGTTTGTATTATTTAATTTTCAATCTTATCTGAGGATAAAATCTGAACAATGTCGCTCGTCGATAATAACGATGTTGGCGCGACTCGTCATCGGATAAGTTAAACAAAAATAAAACGAGATAGATTCGAGTGCGCTAGAGAAAAAAAAAGGAGTACCCGTGCGTGTGTACCGGCTCGGGCCTGTATATATAAAATGGAGGAATGCTCGGCAATAAAGCGCGCGCGAGCGCGAGTGTATATATGATTTACGGTTCCGCGATCCGGCAGAGGCTGCGGCGGTGGCGACGCGAGGATCAAGTTCGCCGACTATTTTTCATATACACTTGATACATATTACGTATATATAACTTTATATAGCAGTGGTAATTTTCTAATGGACAAACGAGTTTTGCGCGACGCGTATACTTTCACGACTCGAGCCAAAAGAAGTTGGTACATATTTTTTTGTTGCTTCGTTTTCGCGTCTCTTGGCGAGATACGCGCACTCGTGTACACATCTGCCTCATGCCGATCAGCTGGGAGCTCTGCTATAATATGCCACTCGTAAATGGCATGTTTTATGTAGATGCACTTTATATTTTCTGCTATTGTTGCGGAATTCTTTCGTCGAATCAGGGAGAGAGAGAGAGAATCAATGACTTATTACTCGGCTCGAGGAATACTATTATCGATCATTTTGTTATTGGCGCGCTTATACATGGACTTTTCAACTTTTTCCCGCGATCGCTTCATAACGCGAGGCAGTTGCGGCGATGATTTATCGCGCATCACGTTCGACGAGAGAAAAGCTCGCGTTTAATAGGCCCGCGCGCGTACACACATATAGCTGGCACACAATCCGTCAATTAGTCTTATCAATAAACTCAAGTAACAGTGGCAGCGGTGCAGCGAACCGAGAGCCGAGTAAATAAATAAATTGCCGCACGCGTATAACTTTTACGTATATTGCGTACGAGAGCTTAATTTATTGTGTTTTCGTCGAGGAGAAATTCACCCGCGTAAACAAGTCTATATAGGAATCGCGTGAGGTAGGCCGTTTTTTCTCCCAGCTGCAGCGACGACCAACTGTGCACACGAGTCGTCGTATGCTACCCTATTCACCTACGATTTGCGGACAAATTAAAATTTTGGCTCGTAGGATGCTGCTGGCAGGCAGGCAGGCAGGCAGAAGGTCGAATTAATATCTGCTATTATGACTGCACTTTATCACTCGTCAAGCATGTGTATCATAAGACCTGCTTGAGCTGGCACTGATCGACTCGTTGAAACGAAATGAAAAGTCTTAACTTGTGAGGCACTTTGTTGAAACACAGAGCGTCGAATTATTATTATTTTTTGTACTTGTATACCGCGAAAGGAAGAAAAATAGTGGATAGCAGAGTGTCGCGCGCGCGCTCAGCTTTGCGGGCCCGCTGCCGATACTACGATACACGTCCGACGCGCGCGGCTATATCGAAATGAAAATGCGCTTTACACGAGCTCCAGCCGAGCTTATAATAAATGTATAATACGTGCAAGTGCGCGTGTGTATGTGTGTGTGTAACAAACGCGGCGTACGCGCGCGCAAGCGTGAGCCCTCTTTCTCTCTCAATCTCGGCTGCTTCGCTCGACTCTCCTTTGGGTTGTTCTCCGTCGGAGCGAGAGAGAAAACATCGTTCGAGAGCGAGAGAGAGAGAAGTAGGAGGAGGTACGCGTTCGTGTCTGTGTGTGTGTGTGTTTGCAGCACAGACGTAAGCGACTACTCGACACGGCCTCTGGAGTAGGAGGTGAAGAGCTTCCAACACATCGCTATGTGGCGCACTTGTATGTGTGTATGTGTACACATATAATCGTTAATCCCACTACCGTGGGCTGCGAGCGTAAAATAATGCAAAACAAACGCCACGAAAATTGACAACAAAAAGATATGAGCCGCTGGCGCTGATTTTTTTCTCCCGTTCTTTTTTTGCTACATCGCCGATGCGTGCGCGCGGGCGCGCGTTATGTAGAAATACAGTCACGGCCAACCGGATGCCGGTCTACCACCGATCTCGCGCCTCCGTATACATCGTGACCGGTATCACGTGAAACTCGAGGCCCTGCACGATGGGTACGCCGACAGACGCATGCCAAATTAACGTAATAATATTTCGCTTCGCACTATCCTGCATCGATCTTCGTATTACGACATAGCACGAGATGCGACAGGCGAGAGCTTTTCGTCCTATATGTGTTAGTCGCTTTTCAAGCAAGGGAATGCGAGTTGCTGAAAAAAAGAGGAGAGGGTAAAGAATCGAGAGTTTTTTTCGAGGTCAGCCGGTAGAAGTGGAGGGTAGAGCTGATATAAAGAATCCTTATCGATTATCACACGTACGTATGTGTGCGAAGGAAAGTTCAGAGCGTCTCGGCTTTCACTCGTGCGTGCAGCACACGAGCTGCTATACTCTCACTGAGAACAGGGGCGCCTCTCGGCTGCACTCGTGACACACGCTCACATGATTCGCTCGCGTATCATAAACGCTATCCTGGCATTGGCCAGAGCCCCTCAATGGCAGGAAAATTTTCACGATCGAGGTCGAGCCAGCTCGTGTGCGTTTTTCGTACTGCCTCGACCGACCGGTTCGATCCTCGTGCATACGAGCGCTTTATATACCGCACAGGCGTCCTCGTGGCTCAATATCTGCTGCTGCTGCTGCTGCTGCTGCTGCTGCTGGCCAAGAGATGAAAGGAGCGAGGTTTCACTCGCTGCGTGCACAAAGTCGCGTACATAGCGGCAATTGGATCAGCGCATGTATATAAACGCGAGCGCTCCGATTTGGCTTAATTCAGCCGGTAGAATCTGTTTAACCGTATTACGCTCTCTCATAATCGGGACAGTGGCACACGACTGCGCGCTAGCACGCAGCCGAGTCGAGCTTATAAACTCCGCGTCCAACTTTGTACGCGCGTGCACATGCCGAAATATACAAGCAAGCTTTCGAGGCATCGATTTCGATCAAGCTCTCTGCCGCTCCTCCTTCTCCTCCTCCTCCTCTACCTTCTCCTTCTTTTCTTTTTGCAGCTCTCTTTACATCTGTATACAAGTGCTCGAAAAAAGCTCGCGTGTTTCGAGCGAGTTTGCGAGTCTTTCGAATATCACGCTATAGGCAGGGTCGATTCTCGCGTTTAGCCCGCCAGCTACAGAAGTAGAACGATGCGTATGGAAATTATACACGTTCGTTGGCGTCGCGATGCTCGTGTGGCTGCGTCGAGCCGTGCGAAATCAAATTTAACGCAACAAATGGGGATGTTTGTAGCGACGCGCCGACAGCCTCGTTATCCTCTTTACGGAGCGCTCGCGTAATTCAGCTGCCTGGTCGACTGCCACGCGCAGTTAGTGCCGATTAGCTACATGCCGTAGCTGCATCGATTGCAGACTGTCCCTCCCGAAAATAGACTCGAGCTTGTTTAATCAATCGCTCCGGCTCGTCATCGTTGTAAAAGTCGTCGTCGTCGTCCGATGCATCCTCCCACCCACGCACACGCTAGGTACTACGAGATAGACGTAGATTACGTTTACGCCATCGTCTCTCACGACTTTTTCGATGCCCTATATCTTATTTGTTCCGTGCTCGTTTGTTTGCATTTCGATAATGGCCAAAGAGACTGATCGGAAGAGAAAGAGAGCCACGATGAAAAACAAAAGTAAATACGAGAGGCAAAGATACGAGCGTGCCTTCTGCGCGTGCCCGATACTCGAGTACTTGTTAAATGTGCATTTAATCCAATGTTATATATAGTTCATAATAATCCTGATGGATTGTTTTGACTGGCTAGAGATTGTCGACTGTGGCGACACGGACTAGTCGTCGATGATTCACCAGCTACTCTCCGTACGTCTCGCTGCAATAAATAAATGAAAAAAGAAAACAACTGCACATTGGCTGCGTGCACACGAGGCTCGCGCGCGCCTGCGGTGAATAGCAAAATTTTCGTCGCGCACACAAAGAGGCCAGCGGACTTTTTTTCCTACTACATCTCGCGCCTGAATTATTTATACACGCCTACGATTAGCTTTTGTTGTCCAGCGAAAATCCACTCGAGCCGATACCGTTCAATTACGCGACGATCGTCGCGGAGCTGCATGTGCTGCTGCGCATTACCGTTAAATAAGCCATGCAACGCACGCAGCTCCGCGAGCGCATGCCGCGCGCCCGGTATAACGGAGCAAAACGGAGCGGCCCGCAAACTTTCCGCGGCGTTATTACACAACTTTCGCGCGCCTCATAATTGTCAAAGAGAAAGGCTCCTGCCAATTAAAACAAAACAAGCGGAGCAAAAGAAAAGAGCTAAATACGCGATGTCGAGAAGGTCTGAATGGTCGGATTACAAGGTGTATTCGAATTTTCAATAATACAGTATCATATCGACGTTTTTCCACAATTGAGGATACGGTTTTGCCCACGGCCACGGGCAGTACCATTCAAAATATCACATCTTGCTGTTATTGAGGACCGAACGAAATTCTGTACTGGCGTATTAGGGCAAATTTGACCAAATAGCATGGGAAATACGATAAATGTGGAAAATAATAAATGTTCCACAATGAATTTTGTACTATTATCATTTTTAATTAAAAGTACATACTTAAATATGAATTTAGCAATGTTTATCCTACTAAAAAGTGTTGATAAACAACATTTTAAAATTAAATTAAAAAGAATATCCAAGAGATTTGAGAAAATCTGAAATATTAAGTTAGCTGTCTATGGACAGCCATCAGAAGCGAGACTTCTCTAAATTGAATTCATTGAAAACATCAGAATATAAAGTAAAAATTATGAATGAAAACTGAAGTATTGAAAAAATTTTTAAAAAATCCAAGTTTAAGCAAGTCAAAAATTGAGAAAAGTTGAATAAAATTCCAGAAAGAAAATTTACCGAAGAAAAAGGACCCTGAAGTGGCATTTTTGATATTTTGCTCATATAACTACATGAAAGCACCAAATAATATGTAAAAATTTAGTTTGCAACGCACGTGCTTTTCTGCAGATGGATTACGAATTTTTTACAATTTCTCATTGTATGTCGATTAAATATTGCTCATTGCGAATAAATATTTAAATAACGTATCGATCGCTTCTGACTAATAAAGTAATTGAATTCTTGTACCGTTAATAATATTCCGTTCGTGTCAAATCGTTGAAAAATTATGCTTTTGTTCATTAATATTTGCGCGCGTGCAAAAAATGAACAGCTAGAATAGTTGCTATGAGAATAATGACACCCTGGCAAAGTGCCTCGTGCAACATATCTCGTCTGACGTATCTACATAGAAAATGACACGCGAAATTTTCTCAGTTTTTTCCACTTATCCATGTTATTGGGTCAGTTGTTTCTCTTTCTCTCTCTTTCTCTCTCTATTTCGCTGCGACAGGACTGGTTACTCTCGCGCGCTTTAGTCTATTTCGCCTTTCTACATATGATCGGACTTTGTGTGCGTGTCCCTGTGGTAAACCCGCGATACAAATCTCATGCGCGAATACGTCTGTTTGTATGATTTGAAAAAAAGAAGCCGATGTGAATAACCCGCGGGTCGTTGAACTTTTCGTGTCCACTGGTCACTCGCTGGACACATACTAAATTAACATTGCTATGCGTTGCTAGCGACAACGATCTCGTGTAAAAACTATACACATATTAGAGGGGAAAACGAGTCAAGGAATTTTTTTCTTCGTTTTTTTTTCTTTCGACGAATAATAGGCTCGTTATTCAATTTCAACGTGTCGCATCGGTGCGTAATTTCGTCATTAATAAAGTAACACTTATCGGCTCGATAATTTTCAAAGAATCGACGCTTGGCGAGAGAGGCGTAATTTAGCATCCGATCATCGGTGTCATGGATATCGACATCAAACGTGCGGGAATTTTTTGGTCGATCAAACAGTCGATGATTATTGAATGCAGCATCTAATGTGTATCACGAGACACCGATTGCCAATTTTTATTTACTCTTTGACTTGGATCGCGGTGAAGATGAGGCCAATTCGGCTTCTAACATTGTACAAAAATATTATTAATATCCATCGAGTTACGTTACTAAACAAAAGTAACGTGTGCGCACTGTATCGTAAGCGAAAAGTCTTGTATTTAAAAAAACACTCCTCGTCGCAGTGTAATTTCCTGCCGCAGCTAATTATATATTACGCCAGACGCCCCGCCAAGAGAGATTAATAAACATTAAGAACTTTAATAAATTTTGCAAAAAACCAAGAGCTATAATCACGATTGTGAGACGGATCAGGAAGATCCATTATACAAAAAAAAAGAAGATCCGCCAGCCATTCACACGTCGACCAGTGTTTACATCCATGTACTTTGACGTATTTACACGCCGGAGTGCACAAAAACAGAAAAAAAAACAATATACATCCAGGCGGTAAGGAGGCACGTGTGAAAAATGACGCAGTTCGTCTCGGCGAG